AAGACGGTACCGCTTTGTATATGTGCGTGATGTATGTGGAGACCAAGTAGTGAACCCAGAAACCACTGAAGCCCTTGAACATAGCCACTCGCCGGTTAGTATGCACTATTCGCCGCAAAGACGTTTTAGATTTGCGGACCCATACTTTGGCTACCTGGGTGAAGATGCTTTGGAAGGACTTCCAGACGCATGTCGGTCTCCGAAGACCCTCTTACTTTGAGCTCCGAGACCAATATGGCCTAACAATGGCAGCAAGGCTGTTGAGACAAGGAGTGTTGCATTTGCCATGAAACCCTAAATGGACAGACAGGTCAAGATCGTAATAGTTACAGCAGCTACCCAAAGAGACCAGATATGTTAATTATATATACCAAAAGCTATGGGTTCTACAAGATGACTTTGTCTTGCTGTAACTACGGCGGATCGGTTCGAAGGAAGACACGTTCTCCAGCTCAGGTGTGACAAGAACCTAATTCCCCTTTACAAGCCCTCACCATGGCTAGACAGCAAATATTGAGGGCTCTTCCAAGCAAGTCGGAGGCTACGTTAGATGAGGGTCTGGCGCCGGTTGCTGAGCCCAAATAGGAGGCTAGAAGTAAATATATACTGGATTAGGATCCCGGCGGCCGGTTGGCCAGGGCACTGTGTGAATCATTCCCCCGCTGTCACGTCTTGCTCTGAACCAAAGCCCACTTAGCTTCACGCGCGGCATCCAACGTTGGACTATGATCTCGCTGGTAGGATTCTATCATCCCCTGCTCTGTCTTTGGCTGATCCGTGGTTGATTTGTCTTTGCGAAGCAGCCATTTCTTTCCTCCGCCATAAAACCTTCTACGACGAACACTCTTTCGACCTGAAACGAGCTTGTGGTATTCCCCCGGCCTCTTTTTCTCGCCATGTCTCGGCGGAGATGAGGTTGTAATTCCATGACGGTCGGTAGTCCTCAACACGGGCATCACCTCACGGTAGACCTTGCCGGAGGCGAATTCAGCAATAGGGCCGAGACGTGAGCCTTTTGCATGGTCAATAAAGCCCAGCTAGATGTGCGTTAGAAGCGGTTTCACAACCCAGGTGGCTTCGGTACGCACTTCAAGAGCCGTCAAAATGGCCTTGCCTGTGACACCGCTCTGAAAGTCCGTGGTCCCCTCGGTGAGACAGCGGGTGATATCCAATGCTGTCGCAAGAGAGTCAACACGAGCAAGCATCGATGTGCTGTCGCAGCATCCACGGTCGCCGTCTTTCTCGCAGAATGTATCGGTGCAGTCCGAGCATGGCCCTTTGGATTTTTCGATCAAACCCACAGCGAGCTGGACCAGTGCTTCACTTGTTTTGGCCCAGCCTTCGGGAGTTTCGTGCTCGATATGATGAATCGCCCCTGGAATAGCATGAGTACGGAACTGTTCATAGCTTGACCCGGCCACCCACCAATCTTCACAACCCCATGGTTTGTTATTAATATGTTTCGTAGGTTGAGCACGGTATGTTGTAGCCCTCGCGATGCCAAAAATCCAGTTCCGGTCAGGACCTGTCCCAAGTCAGTCTTGTAGGCTTTGTGAAGGGATGCCTTTAAGAGTACCTGCTTGACAACCGACCAGATCTCATCGTGACAGAGCATGCTTGGCCATTGCTTCGTGCCCAGGACTACGTCCGCCAGAGTCATAAATGCGTGCTCAGACACGGTATAGAAAGATCTCTGATCCACATGGAGGAAGGCTTGAATCGGCATAAGCAGATGCTGCATTTGGTGTTGATCCAAATTCCAGCGATGGAATTCCTTCATCAGCTTCTCAATTGCGTGAGATGACCTCCCCATGACTTGCGCTGGGTATTTTCGGATTCCATACAGCTTTGTGTCATCCTGGGTTGCATAGTGTCTGGCCGTTACCTGGTTTGTCGCCGTTCGCAAACTGACTGTGGTCATCACATCTAAGCGGGAGTTAAATATGGGGCGATAATGGACGACCGGGTTTCCCCAGGAGACCTTCGGCCGATATGTTGCATGTTGATAAACTGGCTGTAGCTGGCGTTTGGAAAGAACCAAAGGTCGTAAAGTGGCCGGAGGATCCGGCATATTGTTCGTAGGCGTAGAACGTAAGAAACTGTGAGTGTGGTATAGTATCAATACGTGAATTCCAGCCAGAGAGATAGAGAGTTTCCAGCAATAGCGCCCAAAATTAGCTGTAAAGAAAATAATGAAAAAGAGAAAAAAGAAAAAAAAAGAAAAAAAGAAAAAAAGACAAAAAGGCAAAAAGAAAAAAAAAAATTCTAATACCAAAATTAATCAGCCATCTGGCTGGAGTACCTGGGAAATGCATATTACAGATTACCATGTCTTTGACAGTTGACGACTATGGGATATCAATGAGATCGAACGAAACGGAATTAAATACGGAATATGCCATCAAATCGCACCGAGCTAGCGATAGCTCTCTCCTGTCTGTCGAGACTCTGACCACCCAAAAAGACCACAGGGCTTTTGTGGCATCATTGAATGCCAGACCCTTACCATGACCAACAATCGACCAAATCTCCCCGATCCGTGTGACAAAGCATTACGAATGGCCACAACGAGGGCATGCATGCCATATGAAGTAAAGAGCGAATAGGCACTCACATTGGGCAGCCCTAGACTTCTGGTGTCATAACCGCCAGTCGTAAAATCCCCGGGGGACTATGCAAGCTCGTCTGAGGGCGGCTGGACTGATAAGGATAGGGAAACTGGGGAATCCTCGAGATGAAGGGGCTTTTGTCCTTAGAAGTGCTATCCATCAGATAGTTTGCAACATCTTTTGATCAATGTCTCAATAAACACTCTTTGTTCTATCATGACCAAGCTTAATATTGGCTATTACCATAGCAGATGAGTTGGTTTACGTATAATTGGACTCGTGCTGAACTCAGCCTCCGGGCCTCTACTGCAACATCTTCCAAGCCGGTACCGCGCGTGACAGGTCGATGGGAGATAGCCTTTCGAGTGCTGAAAGAAACAAAGAAGTTCAGGAATCCAATTGCAAAATGGAAATACAGCCCCGAGCCTCACAGAGAAGCCAGCGCTATAGGAAATGGAGATGGAGCACACCCGAAGGCCAAACGGCCATGTTTTCCCATGTATTTTCCACCGCCTTGCCAAAGCCTCAGGATATCCAAAGCAGATTTGGGTCTGTCCCTCGTCGTTTTTGTCACTCCCCGCAATAAAATTAGCGATCATTCTTTCAATATAGAATAAACAGCGCACATACTATCATCTCTGGAACCATCGATTGCCACCGAGCATTTAGAGATAGCATTTAGTCGCCAAAATTGGCCACTTTGGTCTTGGGACCACTTGCTTGGTCTTGAGACCACTATTTTGGTCTTGGGACCACTTGGTGGTATGGATCTGGGGGGGGGGGGGATTTGAGGAAGCCTGAAAGTACATATTTCGCGATCGGCCATTAGCCATAAATAGATCCACCGTGACCGTTGTTGTAAATATCTAACCATTTCCTCTGGAGCTTCAAGTGTTCTTGGTATGCGGTTTGGTAAAGTCAAGATGGCACCGAGTCTGTATCCCACATTCTGTTTGATGTTACTCGTCCTGATTCGATACGCCTTCGCACGTCCGCTCTCCTCGGTTGGAAGCATAGGCGTTGTAAATAATTGCAAAACGCCAATCTCCTTCAAGGTCACAAGACAGGGGGATTACCCAACGAGCATTTTAGAGCCTGGACAGGCGTACCGGGAGACGTATCAGTTTCCCGCACATGGCGGGACGTCCATGAAACTGGCAAAAGACACTGACAGCTTACAGAAAGGAGAAAATGAAGTACAGCTCGAATATACCTGCACTGACCAATGCTACGTAGACTTTTCCCTAATCAATGATGTGGCTAAGTTTCCAGGGAAAAATACTACACTATCTTTAAGACCAAGCGATCCAAGGTGTGACACACTAATCTGTACTACAGGTGATACAACCTGTCGAAACGCGTATTATACCCCAACCGACGACTACGCCGTTCGTGCGTGCTCCCTAGAGGCTAGCTGGACTTTCACACTATGTGCTAGGCCCTCGGCACGATAAAACAAAGCCATTTACGTCTCAGAGGCCGAGATGAAGGAGCTCGCTCTCCGTGCAGTGTTAGTCGCGTCCAATCCTGAAATAAGGGAACCCCGGCTGACCGTCTATCTCAAAAAGAAAGAATCTACGAGAATCATGTGCAATGGCGTTATGACGGGCATTGGGGGGAAACAGAAACAAATGCCTACTAGATACCGATTGAATATATACTACTGAAGATGGTTGTAGGAGAGAGTAGAGGCGACCATCTACTCAAGCATCGTCTAATTTCCGGCCGCTCATTCATCAAAGCTAGTGGCGTAAAGTGGAAGAAATAGTATCGAGTGCACTCCGCCAGTAAGCAGCAGACCTTTCTTCCATCTTCTCTATTGGCTGGTTGCTTTCAAGGTGGTATCATTAAGAATCATCCGTCCAACACCAGCCCACTGCACCAGCCCCGCTTCAAAAACCAGCCTTCGAGTCGTGCGGAATCAAGTGGTTAGCTCAGGAATGGGGACGCTCTTATAAGGCCGCGGGACGGATGGAAAGGACAGAGACTTGTCCACCAGTATCTGATACTGGCCCCGCTTGGGTGTTTTAGTGCTCGAACATGTCCAGGGATTAGACTGTCCCAGTAGTCAAAGGGCTGTCGACCAGCTAGGCTGGATTTTTCGTTCCACGCTTCAAGCTCCTGACCGACGCCTTTTCGCAAAAAGGGTAAGATTTGATCGCCAAACCCCCTGTTGAAGCCGACTTCGTAGGAGTCATCCTCCTCTAGGATCTTCTTCATGTAACGTGGGCCATCTAAAGCTATGGTCAGCTCTCACGTAATTTGATGTCAGAAGCCGATGGAAATGCCTTGTTGTGCTCCAGCTCCACGGGCCCGAAAGTAGTACAAGGTTCCGAAACAGTGAGCAAGCTCAAAACACTCTGGTAGCTGGGCCACTATACTCAAATTGGGTCAACTGGGGATTCGGAGGCCATCGGTACTCCCATTATACGAACTTTCACGAAGGCCGAGAATAATGACCCACCGGGGCCTTTCCCAGCAAGGATAGAACGACACGCCCATCTTCCCTGTGCTATGGTATAGGGTCTGGGTACGACTTGACTCTCCACGGGCTCCAGCGTTCCCCTCAGTAGTATTCGGCTGCCCATAATTGACGTGTACGTCTCCCATAATCAAAGCTCCTGCAGCGAGGGCTTCGGGAGGGGGTAGGGGAATCTGACCTAGAAGCCCTTTCGTCCAGCAGCCAGCAAGGTATCGGGCTGCCGTCTCCACTCTGAAGATGTGGCCTTGCCTCGCGCAGCCGCCAGGAGCATCCTCATTGGTGCCGACGATCACAAACCCGGTATAAAATCCATTGGGGATCAGCAGCTGCGAACCGACAGTTGCGAGCCAACAGTCCTGGGCCCAGATCTGGGAGCGACTGCCTATAATCACCGCGCTAGATCGGGGTGTGCATATGATGCGAAGAGCCAGCGCTGAGACAAAGTGCCCATCATTCTTTGAACAGAATCTTAGTTGTGACATCTCAGCGACAATCCACCTGGCAATGCGACGAATCTGGGCTGGTGCGTAATCTGTCTTTCCGAAATGGTATGCAATCAATGGCGAGCGAGTCCGCTGGCTAACGCCGTCCGGTTCTAAGCATTGAAAGTCTTTTGCAACGAGCGCTTCCTTGCTTTCCTTTGCAAGATAGTAAAAGTGGCCCTTGCAATAGAGAGACCATTCAGAATGGAGCTTTCCCTTTAAGAGACGAGACCACCTCTCTGGTGTACCGACCAAATAGACATCATGCAGACTCTCCTGTCTCATGGCATTAGAAATGAGCTCGGGATCCTTCAAAAGCCCATGGATTTGGAGATGGCGCTTTCCAAGTAGGGTGAGATTGGAGACACGGAACAAGGAATTGGGCAAGTGGCGAAGGTGCCCTACGCCTGGGAGCGTAGCAAGCCCACTCATCGGCATCTGGTAGATGTGCCTGTTGGTAGGTTCAACGTTTTCATCTAGGATGTCGGTGTTTGAGGGGCCAGTGAATATCCGGTCCATAAGTGAGCGAGGACGTTTGAAGAACATCCTTGTCTCTTTCAATCAATGAGAGTTCAACCGAGAGGATACTGAAGTTTGGAGCCGAACCGCGTCGAGCGACGTATCAGCGATCCGTGTAAGATTGCTCAGATCCACTTGAGACCGAAGATTATTTATGTGAGAAGGTCCTGTTCGTATTCACGGCCACTGATTCCTCTGCTCCGGTAGCCTGGGATACGACTTCGTTTTGCTTTTATTGGGTTTTATTTTAGAAAAAGACGAAAGGCAGGAGATATGTTAAGACGTGTAGAACCTTCTCATTGAGTAAGGTGCATCCATCCGTACCATGGGAACCGTGCCAAAATTCGCTCATCTTTCCCATCTCCCTTCAGATAATTGCCTTCAACCTAAATGATAACATCATCGTTTGTAATATTTCTCACGTCCTCTTATATGCAAAATGACGTTTCATTTTGTCTATATTTCACCGGCGAAAACCTTCCCCGCAGGGCGCTGGGCTCGTAGCGGCAGATTATGTGTTTCCATCGTGGACTACCACCAGCCATTATCTGAGCCATTGACAGGTGTGGCTTCCGCCAAAAATCTGCTTAGATCAAAGCAAATTCGGAACTGGTCACGAAGCAGGCATGTTACACATGAGAATCCGTCGGTGGCACAGACTTGCATGAAATGTGATCGCCTCAGGGCTTGCTAACCACCGTTAGAGGAACGGCATAGTCACAGGCAGAGATGTGAAAACCTTGCCCAACTCTTCCTCGAACCACTGCTAATGATACTATAGAGATTAAGTTTTATAACACTAAAGGATGCTTCTCATTTGAGATTTCTTTGATAACAAATCGATGCTACCTCACCAGAATGGATCGTCCTATAGTACAAGGCACAGAATATATACGTAACGGATCCAATTGATACGCCCATGTCATCAAATTCCAACAAGTGATGTGAAGCAGCGCGGAAACTGCTTTCAAAGGGGCTCAATGATGGTGTGGTTTACGTGCGCTCTTTGCTCAGGGTCCGAAGAAACCCTCGCTATTTGGATTCCGGGGTGACAGAGACACGAGGGGCGGAAACCTCTTGCTGACCACTATTCAAATCGAAGTGATAAAACAGCCTCCAGCATTCGGCGCCAACCCAGACCATGTTGGTAGACGTATACACGTTTCTCTTATGCTGGGACTCATTCCTTGGCGGAAGTGTTATGCTGACATAGTTTCCGTAGCGGTGAATATTCTTCTTTCGTTCTAGCGCTGCTGCTGCTTTACGATCCTTTTGTTTGGTATTTGCATATTAGGGTATGAGTTGTTCCTTGGACGCTCGGCCCTTTGGCTCACGCGGTCTCTAAAGAGAAGCAATGTATCCTGATCGCAGAATATACCAAACGCGTGTATGTTTGCACCACACCATCATGCCATTTTTTGAACTTGAGCTTTCTGTCTCCGGAATTGATGATCTCTGTGGTCTTGTGAGCTACCTTTCCTGTTCTTGTGGGTTGTGCTCATCAACTTTTTAGCCAGGAAAGTACTCTCTACTCTATAACTCGCTTGAGATGGTGATTGTTGTCATTAAGGTACACTAGAGATATCTATTCCCGGGTAGCGACATCCTTTCGTTCTTTTTTTTTTTTTTTTTTTTTTTTTTTAGAACTCCATTGCCTCACGCCAGCGCGTTCCCCGTGAGATGAAAATAGCCATCCAGACCTGCTCTCATGATTGTGAAAAGCTCTGCCGTCCTTGAGGCGCACTCACCTAGGATGAGAGCTCTTCATTTTGCACTAAACGTATTCTGATTATGTTTGATCTCCTGGTGCTCGCTTTGTTCTTGGAACGGAGGATTTCCAAGCCAAGAGACCCTTCGCAGGAGCAGATCTAGTCGATCGGGCCGCTTTGGTCTCGTCTTGTGAAGTCGATTTGCCTTTAATAGCGAGTGCTCGCAGCGACCGATCGCTTCGCTGGACAGGTGCGTGAAAACCATGGAATACACGTATGGACAAACAGTACATCGAATTGATTAAGTTCTGTTCAGGTTCTTCTCCGGTGTCTCCCCCTCATTCCGAATTCGATGTTGCTCTGATAATTATTGACCCCGGATACTGAAGCTAGAACATTTGGTAATGACAGTGAATCAAATCCCAGAAGTGTCTGTAGATACGATTCCGGCACTTGCGGCCGGCCTCCAACACTCATAAGCTGGGACACTGCTGGAAGAAGACAGCTCTACCTAATTGATTGTGCTTTCTAGACTTCCACATCAAAGCATGACGATCATGAACCGCATTTGGGGCAGACTTGCTACTAGTGTCTCGAGTAGAAATCACAGATACGCTTACTCTGGACAGAAAATGTGAAAGAGTAGGCCAGTGAAGCTAGCTTTGCATTTCTCTGTAGAAATTGAAGCCACTCGGAAGGTTGGAGATCGGTTCCTTCACCGCACTCAGGTTGATCTCGAGGGGTAGTGCCAGTGATTTTTATCTGTAGGGATCATCAAGCTTCACGATCCCATCTACTTAGGAGACCTTGCAGCGTAGGGAAAATTCATGAGTCAGTTCTGTCCCACTCCACCCATTCCACAGAATGCAAATTGCCCTACCGCGTCACGTAAGTTTGAACCATCACTAAGCCTTGTTGGTTACAATTGCGTAAATAGCGCGGACTGTTTCTGTACAAATCCTCAACGCTCATGCCAAAAGTGTGACGGAATCTTGGGACAGGGTGGTTTGGGTTTGGAAGCCCCAATCGTCACGCACAGCTGAAGCTGGGGTGCCCTGGAGGATCTCCCCATGCTCCTTATGACCTGAAGCATCACTCATTTTCACGAAAGTCCCCATCTGCACTAGTAGCGTAAGACTAGATACCGCAGAGATAAAGAAGCCCGAGCCCGCAACAAGTTTCCAGCTTGACGCCCTCCCTTCGTATCGTCCTGTCCCCCTTCTTTGTATCTCCTGCCGCCTCAGGCACGACTACAATGTGGAGTTTGGCCTCCCCACTAGTCCTACTTTGCATCCAAGGTCTTTGTTTGTTGGTCGCCTCGGAGCTGTCAGTCTCACTTCCTAGTCAGACTGGGTCCTCCTGCCAGACAAGACGGGTCGGCGTGACAACTGAGCGGGTTGTATCCCGCCTGGCCAGGGACATAATTACAATCACACTGACCTCAACCTCAACGGACACAACAGACTGTACATGTACGGAGACAGCACCTAGCACAACAGCTAATACCGAAGAGACCCAAACGACAAGCTCGCTTCTGGCAAGCTCATCTCTACAGGCCACAGCGTCGCGGACTAGCACTGACGTCCAGTCCAACTCGACAGACACCACAATTACAAGCACTGTCCCCGCTTCTACCAAGACAACTCTCCATGATATCTCCACCGTGACAGACTGGAGGGCTACCACGGTGGTGAGCTTTCGTACTGTCACTGCCGACTCGCCTACTCCCTTGCCCAGTAAATCTTTCACTTCAGATATAAGCACCGGCTTGGCGGTTAGTACGACAAGTGACCCCACGCAGGACCTTAGCGTGTCAACCCGATACACCACGGTCACGGTCCATGATACTAGCTATTCAACACAATGGGAGACCACAGCACTTACAGACGCAACACCAACCAGCCAGTCCGTTTGGTTGCCATCTAGCGATGCGTCCACTATGTCAGAGAGTGGAGCCCTCCTACCATCCTCAGCAGGCTATGGCCAAAGTTCGACAGCCACGACGTCGACATCGACAGCGCTGGTATTAGATACGAGTGCGATCGATGCTTCGCAAGTGGAAACATCGGCGACAGGTAAATCGAGTCCGTCGAGTGAGTCCGCGCCATATGAAAGCACCGGCTCCGTCACTAGCACAGAGGAAGTTCCCACTTTGGATCCAAGTGCGTCAATTCTATACCCCACGGTCACAGTCCACGATACCAGCTCCGCGACAATTTGGACAACGGCCACACGGTCAAGCGACACGACGGTCATCCAATCAACTTGGACATTTTCTAGCGATTCATCCACATCGCCAGGTGGTCAAGTCACACTTTCATCGAGCATGAGCTCTGTCGGGAGTCCAGCACCCGTGGTGTCAACCACCACCACCACCACCGTAGTACGTACGGGCGCAACCGAGAGCCCACGGGAGGTTTTATCGACGACGATTGTAGCCACTACCACGGGCGATGCGGTATCTTCACCATCTCATCAGCTATCTACACACCCCAGCGACCGCTCAGCCGACCCCACAGAGGGAGGACTTGACTCTGCCCCAGTTGGCACCACGTTCACTCTCAGCGATACAACATACACAACCGCCGTCAGTGCTCACACCGTCCCCCAGTCTAATGCAGACGGCTCCGGGGGATTTACTGATCAAAGTTCAATCGATCGCCCGACTGAGTCGACAATAAGTTCGAGGGCCCGGTCGTCGCCCGAGCCGATCGTCACTCTGGTCAATCCTGTCTCTATATCCGCAGACTCCAGCGAAGGGCAGGCTCAAACTGATGGCAGAAGTGACACAGCAACGACTTCCTCCCGTAAGTGTGGATCTAGGGAGGATGAGACTGCGGTGATTAACGTGATTAGGGCTATCGCTTTCGATCTGTCCGACCAGAATCAGCAATCCAACGTACACGCCGACATCCCTACCACCTCGCGACTACACCTGGGGCTGCCCGCCACACTTTCTGTGTCGTCCGTCTAGGAAAACGGCCCACGGGGAATGCAACTTCGAGGCTGGACCCCCGGCCGATAGCTATTATTGTGCGCCCGAGGAGTGTATCCCAAGTCCTCCTATACCCCATACTTCATCCCAGGGCTCGACGACGTCTTCCGGTCAAATACGATACACTGTGGCCCCAGGGTTTATCAACTTAAGCCCTCTCCAGTTCGGCCTAGGGTACGAAATTTTCGAGTTCCTCCAGTCGCGTGCAAAGACTCTGCGAAAACGGGCTGTGAAAATCCCAGGAAAGTGCTATGACTCGTGTAATAATGCGATGGAGGCGGCCGAATCAATCACCAAGACCCAGGAGCTATGCTCGCCGGGTTCTCCATTCCAGGTGTCCCATCGCGCATGCAGATCCTGCGTCGAGTCCGGCTCGGGGGTCCGCACTTCAAGTTCAGCTCTCCCCGAATTCCAACAATTCCTCTTCTACTGTGAGGAATCAGCCAATGTCACGTTAACGAAACAATCCCCCTCAGCAGCGTATAGCAGAGGGAAAAGCTCTTCGTCACCGTCTTCGACAACAAGTACGAGAGGTACGGCATACCCGAGTCCCACGCAAACCGTCCGCATGGGGACGTATACTCTCTCTGATGTAAATTCCGCGTCTACCTCACGCATCGAGGCAGCTTCGTCACGTCTTCCGGCGTCGACAACATCCCACCGGATTTACACGGGTGGAGCCTCCTGGCGCTGCCCGGCACGTTTCCTTTGGGTAACCACGAGTGTATTCCTACTCGGTCTTTGGTGGACCCTCTAAGCCTCGAATGCCTCTAAACCTCGAATGCCTCTAAACCTCGAATGCCTCTAAACCTCGAATGGTTTTTAGCATCAGTTCATTGTCCGGAACCAAGGCCCACCCTTTTACTCCCTATGTATAAGCCTGACTTCATGATCCTCTGTAGTTCTTCTACGTCAATAAAAGGGCTATAATGCAGTGCATGCCATCAATCACCCTGTATGGACGTGACATTCATGCTGAGATAGGAGTCTAGCATATCAACCGAATCGGTTAGAGTTGGCAACATACGCCATTGTTTCCCCCCTTTCTTTTACTATTGTTTTTTAATATCCGTTTTCTTTCTCTATTTCCTTTTTCCATCTTCAGTCTTCTATTTACTGTAACTTATTACGTCTTTAATCTCCTATTTTCTTTTCACATTTTCGGATTCGCTTACTATGTCCGTTCTAAGTATCCTATTTTGCTCATCCATTTTCCGTCAACCTTCTTTCTCATTGAACGGTCATGCCTTCTTCATTCTGTTAAATTGTCGGTGAAAATCCTCGGCTTCGGCCTCTAGATCGTTTCTTAAACCGGTAGTGAAGTATGTTATTCCATTAGATGGTCCGCGAGAAACCTTACCACGGCTTGTATAGCAAATGGTAAAAGATTGTTAGAAGTGCTGCATGGCTGTCTTTAGTCAATGTCGTGGGACTTTATTATTCTCTTTGATTAACGAAACTCCTCGCTCTATTTATTTTTATAAAAGTAGTTGACGAGAACATTGGACTAGATAATAGGCTTTTAAGACAGGCCATTTTGGCCTAAATGCTGCGGGCTATATAGACATGCCACATACGCCTTTGCAAGATACTATATTGTGAAATGGACCTGATTCCTGAAAGAGGGAGTAAGATGGGTGGTGGTCTGTAACGCGACTACATGAAGAAAGAAACACTAGTAATGGTGAATCTCTAACGTCTATAAATTAATGGTAGACAGTTTTACCTTTGAAGTAACGTGAGTTTGATCCAAATTCAACTAGCCATGCATATATAAATACATAAGTCGGGTTAATAAATCAATTGGTCAAGAGGTTTCTTGCCGAGAAATTGAAGCCAATCTAACTCGTGTATATATATATATATCTAAATCGAAGGAAAAGCTGCCATTGGTGGGGTAAGATGTTTGATGTATTATATACACTGAATGGATCAAGACAAGTATATAAAGAATCTTATGGATGGTGAGCGTTATATTTCGAGATATTTTTATGTAGTCTATGAGCAAATTAGGAATCATACAGCAGTCTAATAAGGCAAAGTGAATCGACAGTTTTATTATCATATGGCGCTAATGCAAATGCTGTACTATAACCAATATATTATAAAATCCACATATTATCTTGCTGATCTTTAGTCAGAGCTCTCTCCTCTCAAGATTAGGCTATCCAATTACACGCGGGGGACGTTTTCACGTTCGTCATAGACGCACAGGTCGTCATTTCGGAATCGGAAAGCCACGGCGCATGTTCACAACTAACAGAGTCCGGCTCGTGGCTGTGCTGGTAAGTACGTTCGATTTCTAGTCAGAGATCTGTAGAGCCCCGTATAACTGGCTAGAGTGTGTGGTCGATTTGACGCAGAGGGGCGCCGGTCCTCGACTCTTTCCGTTCTACCTGCCACTGGTCATGGATCCCCTTTTCTAGTGCGCAATCCTTGCGTGATATTAAAATGCAGAATGGGTGCGTTTCCCCTGTATGGCTCCATTTTCCACCAAATCGGCTGTGTCATTCCCAGGCTGCCCGTAGAATGGAATAACTCACGTGCTGCCTAGGCTTGTTCGCTAGATTCCGAATTGCTTGCCGTGCGGACTAGCTTTAGCTGTCACTGAGGATAGTGGAGATTTCACTCCGTGCGTGGGAAGTTATCCCGTGGGTCTGTTCGGTGCTGCATATTACCGTCATATGTGATACATAACTATAATTGAGTACTTCATCTCCAACGTTTATGATATACAGCAGGAAATACCGTAAGCGTTGCACATACCTATCATAACATAACCGTCTTCTAATCGCATTTACATTTCTTTGTAAAATACACGAACGTCCCTCTTCATACTGAATAGAACTATATAAATGCCAACTCAATCGTATTTCGCACTATTGGGAAGACCCGGATCTCCAAAATTGAAGGCTCCCACATCTCCTCCCTCCGTCCCCATCGCTCTGAGCTTAAACGAGCTATTCGGATGCGGCAAAATGCCACGCCGGAGCCAAGATTCTACAACGTTTGGCCGAAACAAAAGATCACTTCTGACCCTACCGCGCTGGAAATTGCGAATGATCTACGATATGGTTGTCAGCAAAAAGCTGACGGTGGCGGATATGGCGGAAGCGGCAAAATGCAGCAAGGAATCCATAAACCAAATATGCCAGTTGCTTCAAATCCTAGCCTTTCAGGAGGATGAAAATCCTCCCCCGCCATCTCCGACAGTCAATATCAGTATCTTACCAGCGGGGTCCTCTACCCCTCCATCAGTCACAATTTCGGCGACATCTACCGCTGTGGACATTTACCTGACAAGAAACATCACGGTTTCTGTCCCTCAACCGGGCGCCATCGGAAAACAAGAAGCATGACCGACATGAATGCGAAGAAGATAACCTTTGAGCAAGCTCCATGATCGCTTGCAACAAATAGTGCGCCAAAGCCAATACGTCTCATACTGTAGAACTATCTTGATTGTTTTGCTTGCTGGCTGGGATACAGCGCATGCTGTTGCCCTTGAACATTGTATATAGAGCGTAGACAGATCTTTTTATCCTGCTTATAGCCGACTTTGCTTTCCGGTCCTTAGTCGACTAACTATCTGTCGTGCGCATGTGGTGGAATGCCCGCGTTGAGAGATAGCTTCTGTCATGGAAAGCGGCTCACACCAGGTTAGAAATAGATCGGAAGAATACCATATCGTGCCTGTTTTATTAACGAAAGTGAGCTCAATCGATTTGTGTGATTGCGACTTAGGGAGTGACCGGGACTTAAGCTTGTCAGTCATTTGACCCGTAAATAAATGAAACAGATAACGCCGAAAGGCTTCGAACCTAGCATAAACTGATAGTGAGATGATAGCTAGGAATTGAGTAAATCTCAAAACTATGGTGTATATGGTCCAAGAATATCTTTCTTTCTTTCTTTTTTTTTTTTTTTTTTTTTTTTTCCAAACGACTTGGATGTCTTTCTCGCAGGGAGATGACTAGCACCATTGTTCGTTATTACCATGACACATATCGAGGTACAAGCTCTAGTGAAGAATCCGGAAACGGTTTGTGGATGATTGGACAATTAGGGTACTTGCTTTCCCCTATCCGCATTGTGGGTAGGCTTGGTTTCGTGTTTCTAAAATAGCCTTACGTTGATAGCTTGGTGAACAGCTGCCTACCCGTTCTTAAGAATGTTTGTCTCCTCCTTCACTCCCTGCCTCCCTTCCCATATTGTAACGCTTGTGCCTTCTGGACGTAATGAATGCGCAACAGGTATTGCAGCGCACTTTTTCGATAGGTATGTTCGGGTATGGCTGCCTTCAATGCGGGTCAAAATCTTCATTCTGCTGCGTTGTGTCCCTCAAATATGAGACAATGTCCCTCTGACCGAGTTCCGAAGATGCGGTAGAACGTTCCGACGGAGAACAGCGGCTTGCCCACGCTGCGGCGACTAACTTCGTACGTTCCCTGAAATTATGCCATATATTTTGAGATGTGGATCTGCACGAGAAAGCCTCACTGCTATCCCCCGAGACTGACGAGTTTCTCATCTCTACCTATTGTTCTAAACAGGCCGATTACCTCACGTCGCTAGTCAAGGAACTGGACCGTGAAGACAACCCGCCGCATATCCGTGCTGCTGCTGGCATCGCATTGAAAAACGCGTTTACTTTCCGAGATCAGGCCAAGTTGCGCGAAGCGCAGCGGCGATGGGCTGTTGAGATCCCCGCGGAAACCAAGGCGCAAGTCAAGGAATCCGCGCTCAAGACGCTGCACACATCCGATCGCCGAGCCCGAAGTTGCGCAGCTCTTGTTATTGTGTCAATTGCCGCTATTGAGCTACCGCGAAGTGAGTGGCCTGAACTAATGCAGACCCTCGTGCAAAATGTGGCGAGCGGGACCGACGCCCTGAAGCACTCATCGCTGACCACCATTGGCTTCATTTGCGAGTCTCAAGATGTCGACCTCCGCGCCAGCTTGCCGACACATTATCAAGCCATCTTGACCGCGGTTCTGCAGGGAGCTCGCCGTGAGGAGCTCAACACGGAGGTCCGTTGTGCTGCCATCGCCGCTCTGGGTGATACCGTGGATTTTATGCGCCCCAGCATCGACAATGAGGGCGAGCGGAACTACATCATGCACATCGTGTCTGAGGCCACTCTGACTGAGGATACTCGTATCCAGACCGGTGCGTTCGGCTGCTTGAGTCGTATTATGGGTGCCTTTTACGATAGAATGCCCTTTTGTATGGAAAACGGTCTACTTGACCTGAGCATCGTAGGCATGAAGAACAGGAATGACGACGTTGCAAAGCTGGCCATCGAGTTCTGGAGTACAGTGTGCGAGGAAGAGATCACCATCGGCAATGACAATACGGTGGCCTATCATGAAGGTTTAGAGCCTCGCCAGCTTGCCGGGTTTGCCCGTAATGCTACTCGTAAGGCAGTCCCCGTGTTACTAGAGGCTATGTGTCGACAGAACGAGGAAATTGGCGGTGATGAGTATGACGTGTCGCATGCCGCATATCAGGCTCTTCAATTGTATGCTCAGTGTGTTCGGGACGATATCGTCTTGCCTGTGGTCACGTTTGTGGGGGAAAATTGCCGTAACGAGGACTGGCGCCGACGAGATGCCGCGGTGGCTGCATTTGGAGCTATCATGGAGGGCCCCGAGCCCAGTGTGCTGGAGCCTTTGATTAAGCAAGCCTTGTCCTTGCCTACTGGCCTTCTTGGGATGATGAATGATAGCGCTCTCCAAGTGAGAGATTCTGCTGCCTACGCCCTGGGTCGGGTGTGCGACAGCTGCCCCGAGGCATTGGACCCTGATCTTCACCTGCAGCCTTTGATCGCTGGCCTCTTGAACGGCATTTCTAGCGACCCCAGGATGGTTGACTCCTGCTGCTGGGCTCTGATAAACGTTGTCGACCGCTTTTCGGGAGATGCTGGTTCTGGAACTAACCCTCTTTCTAAGCATTTCAAGGACAGTGTCAGAACCTTGCTTGCGGTGACTGAACCTCCGCACGCTGATGGCCTCCGCACCGCTAGTTACGAGGTACTTATCTCTCTCGTCCTAAACTCGGCCACTGAAAACCTCGCCGAAGTTTCTGCTCTCTTGGACGTTATCATTCAGCGCCTGGAGCAAACCATCCCCTTGCAACAGCAGGCCGTCAACACCGAGAACCGGGGTCTCCTCGAAGGCAGGCAGACATCTTTGATTAGCGTTATCCTGGCTATTGTTCAGTGTCTAGGGATTAAGATCACCCCTCAGGCCGATCGAATCATGTATGTCCTGCTTCAGGTCCTGTCAACTCACCAAATACAGTCAGGCATTTCCGATGTTGCTTTCACTACCATTGGTGCTGTTGCTAGCGCCCTTAAAGAGGGTTTTGGTGGATATATAGTTCCCCTCGAGCCTTTCATGGTCAACGCATTCCACCATTCAACTGATCCTAGTTTCTGCTCTATAACCATCGACCTTATCAGTGATGTTGTTTGTGCTTTGAACGAGACAGTCAGGCCCTTATGCCATAATTTCTTAAAAGTTCTTGTGGATGTCCTGCCCAACTCTCCCAAACAACTCATACCTGTCATTTTACAAACCTTTGGCGACATTGCCCAGGCTATGGGCTCTACCTTCAAGACTCACCTGCCCGTTGTCGGTCGAGAGCTTCAGGGATTTACCTCGATGGTCACCAAGCCTCAACTGCCTCTTGAAATGGGGGAACACATTATCGCTATTCGCACGGGTATCCTGGATGCTTGGGATGGTATCATTCTTTCGTACAAGGGTGACTCCGACGTCGATCAACTCCACCCCTTCATTGAGTCTATTTTCCAACTTCTGCATATCGTCTCCCAAGGAAGCAATCGTGAGGAGGGTCTGATGCGGTCTTCGATGAGTGTGATAAGGTAAGTTCATGGGCATCACCCACCATCTCCATCCGCTGTTAACGGAGACGCAGTAACCTTGCAGAGGCATTCCCCAAAGGAGAGCTTGCGGCCTGTTTTCGTAACCTCTGGATCACAATCCTGATTCGAGAAATTTGCACAGCCCGCCAGTATAGCCAGCAGACCATTGACATTGCTCGCTCGAGTCGTGTGCAGGTCAAGCACCAGATTAACATGAGTGCAGATGCCGCTTGATATTGGTGCTTACCGGCTGTCCATCATACCGGCCGTGTGTGAGCGGGTTACATCTCGCCAAAATTTCAATTCTTGCCGGTGAAATTCGAATAGACGGTCCGTCAGTTATGCCAGCATCATTATCACTAGCCAGACTCTGGGTTACTTAAGCTGCTGCTTCACTCGGTGTAACATTAGTTCATAGATAGGATAGCAATAAACTCCTTACAGAGCGTGGAGGACCCCATACATCTCCACCACGCTGGCCCTTCCTTCCCCAGCAATCAGTTGTTGATACTTGGTTGTTTCCAGTTTTCTCCGCCTTGGTCTTAGCAACCTCGGCCCTCTAAAGAAATTGCGGTATTATATATCCATGTACGAACTACACGGTCGGCAAGGTTTTACGTCGATTTCCTTGCAGGCTAATTTTTGATTCTAGATTCTGGTGATGACGATCTTCCGATTATTTCCTCGTGATCTGCCACGTCGTTCAAATATTCTTTCTTGGCTATTGATTATGACGGGGCTATCCACAGACTCTGTACTATTGATGTCCATACAATAGATGTAGTATAAGGAACAATTGCTGGCAAATTCCTTTGGTCATGTCCTCAAGCATTGTTTCGGAGAAGAAATAAGACTGCATCAATAATAGAGCTGGTTTAGATCCAAGCTTGATTACATCACAGATCGTACACAGATCGTACACAGAGCCGTCCACTGTGTGAGCGACCGTTTTAATTAATTCATACTCCGATATGAATCGTCACAGATTAGTTATCAGCAGTCAGCGGATTGGGCAGGCCCGCCCGGTCTCTACACGCTAAGTTAGAACCCGCTTTGGACAGGCGGTGGAAATGTAAAGGAAGACAGAATCTATATTATACATGGGTGAAACTCGAGGCTGCGGAATTTCCAAAGGATTCCTGGTAAAAAGCAGCAGGTCGGCTTCGTCTGGCGATGGTGTCGAGAGGCTGCATAGGTGCTCCGCCCTATATCTATACTCTCTAGGTTTCTCGGCATTGAGCTGCTGCACGTAGGTGGGTGTTGTCTCGTCGCTTATACACCCGAGATCCAACAACGGGGTATCAGAAGCCCCGGGAAGGACGCATGAAAAAAAAATATAAAATATAAAAAAAAATTCTGATCTACGGGATTCCCTCTGCTGTTATGTTTAGGATAAATACGTACATATATATATATTTACTGAGTAAGTTGACCGGGCGAATAGTAGTGCAAAAGGTGTCTTGTGAGGTTTGCTTTGACATGACACATTTAGGGTGAGAGACACTGAGCATCATTCTACGCGGGGACTCGTAAAGTTAATGATCATGTGGCTTCATCCTAAATGAAGAGGCACAACGTACTTGACGTTAATTCTCAATCCTGTCACATATGAATTGCAATTTCCCTCGGACTCGGGATTAACGGCGATAACGCGAAGAGCGTCTCAAGGGGGTCTTGACTGAGCTAGACCTCCCGGCTGGTATAGACGTCTCGGCCGAATTGTTTTCGTGGACTGTATTGGGTCTGATGGATGACGCAGACAAGAATTTTTTTTGACGTAAATATAGCTGCAACCAGAGAATCATGAAAAATGTGGATGTTCCCATGAAGCATGCCTCCATATTTTCGTGAAGCATAGGAATTTTTTTGATAATGAACGCCTCTCAAAATTGCTTCGCAGAGGTAGGTCTCCCACATATATGACCTGGCTCGGATGGGGAAAACCAAAAATTGGCTTATCGTCTAAATTTAGTTGCGAGGTTCAAATGTAAGCATTTGATAACGAACCCTTAGCGTCACAGAGTTAGATAGAGTTGCTCAGAGACCACAATATAATTTGCTCTGACTAGGAGCTGATAGTGATACAAGTCTCGAGAGCAAGGACATGACCATTTGTGGAAGTGCTTAAGACAAACAATGGATCCGCAAATCGTCGATCTTACGTCTCAAAGCGTTCTAAAATCCGAGGACATCAAAGGTCGAGCGACTGCGATTTTCTAAGGTCAACAACCACCAACCAAAATCCTAAGAGTAGGTCATGATGACGAGAGAGAGAGTTCGCTACACAACTCAGAGCCTTGACAAGAAGTTTATCAGGAAACGCAGGCCCCCTGTTTATTAGTGCAGACAAATCTGCGACTCCACCCAGAATTCATTCGGTGTCGGCGTCAAATCAAATTTACTCCCAGTCCAGAGATACTGTAGAATGGCCAACATACGAAGATGATTGAAATAACAATATGATACAATATACGATAGCTTCGGATATCTCTGTTCTTTTTGCTGACTGACAGGTATCTCAAGCGTGAGTGCACCGATAATATGCTGCTTTTTTTTCCCCCGGTCAATACTGGGCACCCAGACGAACAGAATATAAATAACAAATAAATAACAAATATATTGACTTGGTGATTCCTGAAGAGTATTTGTAGTTCCAAAAGCTAGCGCGCTCGGTGCTCCTCTGATTACCAGCTCTACGCTCCTGAACAGCACAAATAGTGGCACGATTCAGCACATGGAATTCCCCAACACGGTTTGTTCTGACCCGCCCAAGGCTGAAGAGCTGCTTTTTTCACCATGTAACTAGGACCTTATTGAAGCCACGTGGAGATCAAGGTGGAAGGAAATTTAATGCGCGTTGATACTGTAGGAGTCAAATTACGAGATTCGTGCAAGATGTGTGATCTTCACAAGTTATGCATCAATGACATAAACGCCCTGTAGCGGCTTTTTTCCTTTCTCTCTTTTTCTCTGGTTTTTTTTTTTTTTTTTTTTTTTTTTTTTTTTTCTTTTGCCTTATCAATTACTAACCCTAATATCAGGACGCCCTGATAGCAGTGATTTCTCTGGGCCTGTGACGCTCAGTATTGCAGCAGATTGCTACAACTGAAGCGTAGCCTGGTAAGGGTGAGCAGCTCGCAACGCATATCTCCCTCCCCCATTACGGAATACCATAGCGGCACCGACTAGAGCGTAATCTAGTGTATAATCGGCAAACATGAAACGTGGGACAAAGGCAACTCGGGATCTCCACGCTTTGACGGCAATTGACTTACAGTCATTGTATCGTAAATTCTGCGTGATTATCGCGCGGTAGGTTTATTACTATGAGGATACAACTAATTACATAAGCCTCGTCTCATTCCATAAAGCATGCGAACACTTCCGCAGATGTTGTTCCATATTTCTCCCATGTCCTGATTCCCTTTCGTCCCAAATTATAATCTTGAGGATCAAACAGGAACCCACTACGAATGGACTACCTCGTATCGGAAGAAGAGGCAGCAAATGACATGGAGTTCTGTCCGTTTCCCAAATCAACAGACGAAGATCATCTTGTGGAGCGAAGTAACGTCAGCCAACTTACATTGCCATCCCCATCCCGTGCGCCCGTCGTGGAACCACAGGCTACACAGAAATCCTTCAATTCCAGGCTAGCGCAAAGGCAGGCACAGCGAAACTTTCGACAAAGGCAAAAAGAGCAAAGAATGCGGGAGCAGGCCAGAATTGAGGAACAAAGCAGAGAACTCGAAAAGGAACAGCATACTAGGAAAGGTTTGGAGGAGCAAGTCCAACAGCTCAAGGCCGAGATTGTACAACTCAATTTCAGTGCTGAAAGATGGAAGGAGAACTCCACGGTCCTGCAAGGAAGCGTGAAGGCCTTACAAAAGAGCCTCGATCTTCTTCATCGAGGGTCTACCGCCCTATGCCATGACGCCAATCAACCAAGGGCAAGAAGCAAAACCCCCCTTAGTCCCTCCTCCAGTCAGCCCAGTCCAGGGAATCATGTCCCTCCCCGCAACTTGTCCCATCTTCCAAAGTTTCTCGGTAAGTAGCGCCTGCGTTACCTGTATCTACACGACATGAGTCTGACCGTTATAGGGAAAGCAAAACTGCGGCCGATGATATCGCCCATTTCACCCATGCTCGTGACCCAAAAGGGGGCACGTCTCCCCCTCGCTCCTCCCCGTCCCTGATTCGTTTCCAGTCTGCTCCTAGGCAGGAGCGATAAAGAAGAACCGGAATGATCAGCCGAAGATAGCGCAGATTTTAGCCGGGAACATTGCCCGGTCGGGTGGTGCGGTGTGGTTGTAAAGATGGGGCCACCGGGCAACAAACGGGAAGAAAGCAGTCTCGGTTTGGACCAGGCCCCAGAATCGTGGTACACGACGTTCACAAATCTTCCTAGAATTGAGTAATTGAGCACATGGCCGTACTACGATGCTAGCATGACTACAAGCAACGCACGCTTGTTCAATATATTATCTATAATTGAAAACATGATAACTCTCCTGACAGAGCCCTAAAATCACGTGGGGTGATCGGTCTCAAGATCAGAATTCCTAAATTTTCGTAGCTCAAGATGATGCGAAAAATGTATGCCTTCTTCATTGAGGAGGCAATATTCTAAACAGACCCCCGTCTTCGCTTCCTTGATTGCAGAACATGCTGTTCACCAAGATCGTGTGGGCGTAGGGCGAATTGAACATTCTGAGGGCGATTGTCATTCTGGGCACGTGTCAGCAAATCCTCGGTGCATTGTATGGCACGGCAATCATTGCATACGCTATCCATGCAAGTTCTCTGGGGGTCTTGCCGGCTTTTGTGTGATGGCCAATCACGGATGAGAGTGCTTTTGAAATAGATCTTCCATCGTGCCATACTTCCTTTGTTTTCCGGTCCTGTTTTTAATATATTTTATTTTTCTGGTCACTGAGTCCCATTCTCAACCCTATAAAGACTGAAAAACTAAATCTAAATTAGTCCCACAGCCAAATTGATCCATTGCTAGAATTAGAATATATTTACTCCATCTTGGTCCTGGGATCTAGGGGTCCTCTGGAAAGCCCCACTGGCTCAGCTAAGATGGTGATGGTGCCCTAACAAGTTAGATATTGTAGCTCTGCTATGACTTTAATCGTAAACGTGATCACAATAGCCTCCGTAGCGGACTGGTACGGTGGAGAACATCATGGTCAACCAGCCAAATATCTGACCAGTCCCGTCTCTGAACGGGCCAAAACTAAGATTAAGAAGGTGGGATCCACATTTTGCCTGATCAATCTACCAGGATGACACTGCTCAACTGAAAACGATGAGCCCCTACACAATTATGGAATCAACCTACATGGTTTGTCTTGTCCTACGTATGACGCACGCACCGGCAGAGTGGAGTGAAGCGGTCATGACGCACTTCCTAAAATAGAAGGATAGAAGAAGAAACGGAAGCATGTCGCTGTCCAGAAGCAAACTGGCCCCGTAGCCCAAAATAGATGCTTCTATCTTAAGCGCAAGGACAGGCTGAGACGACGTTTCTTATATAGTCCATTTTCTCCGTCCAAAAAAAAAAAAATTGATTGCCATACTGACCAAAATGGGGAAAGTCGCCCGCAAGATTACTCAGATTATCAATCCCAGAGACAGAAAAGTCACATTCAAGAAAAGGCATGATGGTGTGATGAAAAAGGTACACGAGTTGGGCATACTTTGCAATCAGGACACATTTCTTTTCGTTCGAGACCGTGTAACCCAACGGGTCCGAATGTTTTCATCACTCGAGGAACATTTTATACCCCACTACGCAAATATCAAACAAGAGGATCGCCAAGGTCCTAGTGATATGCAACGGCACTATAACAAAACGAGGAAAATAGCCGCCGCTCCAAATACCCTGTCATCCCCTCCGCCAAGGAATGAAACCCAGCATGAGAATGAGAGAATCGTGTATTCATCGCTACTCCAACAAGGCCAGGCTTGCCACAGGATACTGAACAGTATATTATCACTTCAGTTCCAATAACGGTCCGAAACGGCTACTCTGTCCCTCGTCGTTTTTGTCACTCCCCGCAATAAAATTAGCGATCATTCTTTCAATATAGAATAAACAGCGGCACATACTATCATCTCTGGAACCATCGATAGCCACCGAGCATTTAGAGATAGCATTTACTGGATAACAGAACAGATGAGTAATTCGCCAAAATTGGCCAAAATTGGCCAAAATTGGCCACTTTGGTCTTGGGACCACTTGCTTGGTCTTGGGACCACTTGCTTGGTCTTGAGACCACTTTGCTTGGTCTTGAGACCACTTGCTTAGTCTTGAGACCAATCTTTTGGTCTTGGGCCCACTTGCTAGGTTTAGATGGATGGATGATTTATTTGCCCGCTTATCATCGCCTCCACCCAATTTCGTGACCTGCTAGAATGAGTCTATTTTCGTACTGGAGCCCACTTTCCAACCACACTACATATTGCTTTTGTTCCTCGTGTTCCTCATTCTCAACAACGGTAGAGCATTATGATCCTAAAAAGCTTCTTGCGTCGGTGGTTGCTCAACATGTCCCTTTTTTGTTCAGTGATTCATGCTCATTTGATCATGACCTCGCCTGAGCCCTATAGTCTAGGTACACTAAATAACTCTCCATTAGCCGGTGATGGTAGCGACTTTCCTTGCAAACTGCGCGCTAACGCGTTCGAGGCCCCTCGGACTGAAACAACGATTGGAGTGGGCCAATCGCATCAGCTGATATTCAAGGGAAGTGTCACGCATGGAGGAGGCTCATGCCAGATCAGTCTGACCAAGGATCTTGAGCCATCTAAGAGCTCAGAGTGGATGGTAATTACGTCCTTTATTGGTGGATGTCCGGCCAATGTGGATGGTAATCTCCCCAGTGACCCCTCTCGGATCGAGAAATACCCATCCAACTTCACCATTCCTCACAATATCACGCCCGGCAAATACACACTGGCCTGGACCTGGTTTAACCGCCTTGGAAACCGCGAGATGTACATGAATTGTGCACCTATCACGGTAACAAGTGACACCTCCAGGGGGGCGCTGTTAAGTCCATCGAGCGCTCATCCACCCTCCCTGCCATGTTCGTGGCGAACGTGAACGGCTGTACCACCACCGCAGGCATTGATATCAAATTCCCTGAACCTGGCGAAAGTGTCGAATTTAATGGACAGCCTGCTAACCTTGCATCTGATGAACAGCCTGCCTGTACTGGCGTCTCGACATTTGGCGTCCGTCCTTAGATCATCTACTACAGCTGAAGCATAAGTCGAAGGTGAGATCTTGCACGCTGGAAGGTTCGGGAGTAAGGTGATTGTGGCCCTGGAGTATGAGGTTGCTTCCTAGCTAGTAGAACAGATCCTGTCCTCCAGTCGCTCGCGTGCCTAGGTCTTGTGAATCTTGTGCCTCTCCTTGCACTCACCTTGCCTTGCTCTCACCTTGCTCTCACCTTGCTCTCACCGCACGGCGGCAAATCCGATCGTAGAGTCAACCAATATCGGAAACTGATCCAATAATCAAATAACTCTGATTTTTAAACAAACACTTCCAACTGGTAGTCCTGCAACCTTAAAGCATCAACATACATAGGGCCAAGCTGCTTACCATTCCCAAGCCTCGTAAAGTTTCTTCTTCGTGTTGAACATGAATGAACACAAGGAATACCTATTTTGCAACGATTGTTTTTCGACCGTCATATCTTTGTCGATAATTCGCAACCTCACCTCAGTCTCAAAGCCCATGCAGGAGATGACAGTGGAAAGGAGCTTGTTCCGTCCCGCCGATATACCAACGCGAAACAGGGCTTGCGGCGTCATGTGCCTGTACAGTTCATCAACGGCCCATACCACCATAGTATTAATTCGGATTGCCAGGCACGAGCCAATATCTAAACCTTAGCATTGTCACAGTGCCTTTATCATTCAGTTGAACGAGCAACATAGTCGCATCAGCATTCGTGCATGAATTTGCGATACGACACTGACAAGAAATACCTGGTATACTCGTGAAAACCATGGTACTAGAATCTCAACGTTCTCTATCGCAGCTTAGGGGAAAACGCTTCGGGCGAAGAAGACGGGGTCGGCCTCTCTGTTCCATTTGAACGCGACAGGCTGCTCCATCCCTCTGAAATAGTGAGCTTATGATACTGTATGGAATACAACTGTCTTTGAATTCATCTACGTCCTCCTGCAAGCTTACGTCGCCGTTGGGATTGAAATCGGAACGCCATTTGCGGACAATAACGAAATTTTGACTTGCTGACATTCAAGTAATTGGCTGGGCCATCAAAAAAAAAAAAAAGGTCGTAAATCAAGTTTAGTCCGATAGAAAAATCAATTTGCCATCTGGACTGAAGCGTGAGGGCTGCATGAGCGTGCTGATCTGTCAGTAACCCGCTCCATCATCCAAAAAAGTCTCCCAAGGTATATGATCCACCCTAGGCAGTAGTACAGAAGCATGGGGCAAATGTCAACAGTATCTTTGCCTCACATCACCCTGGCTGCGCAAGTGAGCGCAACAGCCAATCGGTTTCCCATCATGAGCTTCCAATGTCCAAGCCTTAGTAAAAGCAGGTCTGCTCGGTACCACATCTTCTAATATGGATCGACAAAATCTTGACAGCAGAGCGGCTGATCTAATTGCGTGGCCAGGGTAATAGTTTCGGGGTGGATTTGGGTGACACACTTGCAACGCACGCCGTGACCTATACGGTATCCTTAAGAAAATCATGAAAACGACACGACTCACCAGAAATTATGCATGGCGGTACATACAGTTCCATAATGAGTGGACTGGTAGCAAATTGAACGAGATCAGAAAGTTCTCCATTCATATTAAGGACCCATCGTAAAGTATGGGACCTCAGTCACGCAGCCTGCATCTCCTTTTGCATTCCTGTCTTTCAACAGCCTTAAGGTATCGGCGTTTCCGGCATTGAGCCTGGCTCAGGTCAGGCCACGGACTATTTTGCCCTGCTCCGATTCATCGCGTATGTGATGGGCACTCCGCATAAATACTCCATTGGCAACAAGGGCTAATGGTATGGATGCTGTTTACACCATCCAGGATTACCCCGGCAATCAGCATAATCGGAGCCTTCATGGAGACGGGCTGTTAAAGTTCGAGCTTCGACGAGTTAGCTGATACACGCCACAAATTGGAGACAGTGGTGCCCTATGTGGCATTGATACTGTACGAGACGCACCACCTTTTGTCTCCAGGAATGCAATTTCGAGTGCAAGTGTCATGAATATAAAAGACCCTAGTAGACGCCTTGAGTCACACAAGCTAGCACCATCCCCAAACTACCTTTACGACTCCACTAAAAAGATATTGAAAGACAAGGAGGATTTAAACTATGGAGTAGTTGTACAAACTCTCTTCCAGGCACGCTACACTCATGAACCGCTCACTTGGCCTTATACCAGTACGCAAATTATTTTAGGTCCTAGTACGTTTCTTTGGACCTGTAGAAGCTTAATGTATTCAATCGCTTTAACCATTAGCTAAGAAGGTCGGAAATTTGCTCGATGTCAAAATGTAATTTTTATGAATTACATTATTTCAAAAGTAAACCACCCCTGGTGTTTATTTCGACATATGCTATTCTTGGACCACTGAGGGCCTCGGGTACAGCGAGTTGCGTGTGTTAATTCTGAGCTAAAGGCACACTAGGAGTATATAATCTGCAGACTGACGCTCTAGTTATGATTAACAAGCAAAGTCTCATCACAGGTCGTTATGAAGGGAGCCCTCTATATCTTTATTCTAGTAGGCCCCGTGTTGGCTGCGGTCGGACATAGCCATTACACCCTCAGGCACATTCGTCATCATGGGTCGCACTTCAGCCCGAGCGTAACAGACACTCCGCTGCAGATTAAAACACCAGGGCTGGCTCCATCATCTGAGACGCTGGCAGAGCTTATCAGCACAATAATCCCCCAATAGATGTCGCTTGTCTTAATTTTGCTGATTATTCTACTAGTATCTTCCATATAACGGGCCACATTGCGCCGGTTCCTACCTCCCATGCGACGAATACCAGAAAGACAAAAGAGCCTCACCAATCATTGTGTGTGCTGGGAACTTGAGTCGAGATACATTGAAGTCAGGCATTTCTTAGTTATATATCATTGCTCGAAGTTGTCGCCAAGAAGCACTTCATTATTCCATACAACTGTTTTTGGCTTTAGACCCCGTCCCGTGGGAGTCCCGTGAGATGACTATGGGGAATGGTGCCAATTAGGCTGTTAATATATGGTCGAGGTCCATCTAGCAGTTTTAGCAACCCGGAAGAAGTTCTAATTACCAGCTCAGTACAGGCTAGATTGTATGGAAAACGAAGGCAAATGATTGGGGGCACTGCTACAGTAGCCGAGATACGCATTAATCTTTGTGTATCCGTGTTCTTTTGAGGGTCGTAATCTTTCAGGTTCCCGGGGTTAACCAAGGTCCGCAACTATTGCTGAGCCCTGAAGAGCAAATCGTGCTCAGCAAGGAACTAATGGGAGATGATTTCACATCCGGTAAATTTGGTAAACTAGTAATATTTATCCGGTCAAATATCAGAAAGTACCTAGAGCGGCTATACATCTCTGGGTTTCCAAATAGCTCCATCTCGGCGTATCTACTCTGCCTAGCACTGGCGTATTGCCTTAAAGACGGGCAGGATATTGGGTCAAACGTATGTCCCGTGGGCCTCGTAACATGAGGTAATTCAACGTCAAAAGATCCTTCCCTTTCGCCTCCGATCGTACATGTGCGGAATGCGCCAGACTGACAGATCCTTTATTCGGGAAGTCTAACCCATTTGGCGTAGCAATCCCGAAGACATGCCACACACAAGTGGCGCAGATATCGTGAACGAGTTTATCCGGTGAGAATGGGATTAGTCTTCCGTCTTCAAATTCCGCCGCTTGAATTTGTTCACGTCCAATTCCCAAAGGGACAATTCATAGTCTCCGCGCCATTGAAAGATTGACCGCAGGTATTTTCGTCATGTCTGGATTATAAAATCATAAATCTTCTCAGTAGAAAGTTCCTCCAAAGCTCAAGGAAGTACTTTCATCTATTCCGCGAAAGAATTCGATTTAGGAGTAACGTACGTAGAAACTTTACCCGTACTGCTCAAAAGAAATATTCCTTTTTAATTCCGTCGATTTTCCCAAAAAGTCTTCATAGACACGATTTAAACTAAAGAGTCTCGCCCCATTACATATCCCTTTATTAGACTCACGCTACCATTGACATCAACTGGTGCCTTAAACTTCGACGGCAAAATTGATAGGTGGTCGGTTGATGAATCTTCAACAGCTTATTAATGAGCTGGGGGCCAGAATTTCCTACCCAAAATTAGTGGAAAGTGCAAGGAATTAGCGGACAAACCTTTGATGTTTAGCCACCAAATTTGTCCCTCATGGTACCCATCAACGCGTCGTTCACGCAAGGCCGCGAAAGCAGACCCCCTTGGTAGTCAAAGTTTGATATAAATCTTGGTACAGTAATATTAGAATCTATTTAACTACTTTAGTGTACATACACTTGTTCTCTTATGTACTCCAGAATATCTGTTACTGTATCTCCGTTGAGGCACTCACGATATTTGGGACCTCCTTTTTGGCTGACGGACATGTCGGGGATATGGCTAGATGAATAGAATGCTTTGCTGATTCGAAGCGATATGAGTTTATTCAATGGTTCTAACTTCTTACACCAGGTATGGACTCTCTGTCTCCCCCCTGTTCCGAACCCATTTCGAACATCTTCAACCGAGGCTTTACAAGTTAGTTGCCAACTATGATTTACCTGGGTGATTGGGTGGGGTCTAGCAAGCACTCAGGGCTGACTGGTAGCCGCGTGGTGATAGGAATGAACTGATTGCCCCTCTGGAGGGATCGTAGGGAGGGGTTTGACAACGTCTTGGACTCGCCATCCTCCTAGTCCTTACTATCCTTACTGAAGAAATTTGTGCACAGGTATGCACAAGCATACTCAGGGGAGTATGGTAGCAAGGCGCTGTGGGCAGGGGAATGAATCGCATGTTTCTATATGGCTTTTTGTGACCCTAAATTCAGTTCGTCACCTCCAGCGCAATGATCGTATGTGGAATTTCCTGGACATGTCATAAATCCTGCTTGAGACTGTCTGCGGCCGGAACCAAAGCTTAGCTGTCAGCTCAATGAGAAAATTGCATCATTCTGAGGTTCCTTTTTGGATTACTGTAATTGGTAGACTTATCGACGGTCGCTTGTCTGAGTAGGTTGCCGCAACTAATAATCTTAAAAAACACCATGAAGATGTTGGGAACACCGAAGAGAATTGCAATATATTTTCAATGAACCCCCAGGCACCGTACTAATTTTTGATCCTTGTCAGTACTCGGCTAGTGCTGATATGCGCTCGAACGACCCTTCCATCAACTCTTTGAGAATCCTTTTTTGAGCTGAAAGGAGCACAACAAAGCAAATACCGCATATATTTGGAATGGGAATGGCGTGGTCAAGTCAAAGCGCGTAGCAAGAACGCGTTTAGCTTGGGTTAGCTAGCACCAATGAATATTCGCTGAAAAACGCTGCCTGGCGCATACCGAATGTGGCGTTCAACACATCTTAGCTCGTGTTCAGGATGCACATTTTCAGCCAGTAGAGGCGCTACTCTCCTCAAGCAAAATAAGAAGCAAATCAAACATCATAGCGCACAAGCACAATATACTAGGGTATGTGCCCGCTACAATACAGTCAGAATGCATAATGCATTATCCATCAAAGGCCATCTCCATCTAAACTTATCACTTTTTGTTGCTCTATGTGACTGGCCGTGTGGGTAAAGGACCAACAACTCCAGAACAAGGGGGCAATTTAATTTAGCAAGTCAGTTAGAAGCGATTCTGAGGACAAGAAACAGGTCTTATTCAATAAGACTAAATTATCTCCACCTTCAACAGTTGCAGCGTGACCTAAAAGCCGCCTTTGTGTTAAGGTCATCAGAAAGGCTTCTTCAAAATCAGGGCCTCAAGACCTCGTAGTTATACAGCTTTCGTAGTCAAAGAAAAAGCTTTGTGTTATTACCCGGAAGCTATAAAGACCGCCATTTACACTATATCGTATTAGATATAGTGTATGCCATTTCTAGGGTTTGAGAGCCCTCCTTCTTTCTGTTTTCAGCAGGGAGGGCGATAATGGTCGCCACTGTATACTAATAATGGAATGACTCCAGGTAAGCGGATATGGACGAAGGAGGACACATAAGAACACACGCACTATCAGAAACACATGCCCTTGTGTTGTGTTTCGTGTTGTAAGCATGGTTGTGGCTTCGTTCTTGAGGCATGTAGTAGGCCCCACAGATTATGGTCAAAACGTACAATTTGTCAAGCCTAACGAAAGTCGAAATCAAGTATATCGTTCAACGCTTGCCAGCTATCCTTGCAATCGTAGCGCGACTGGTTTCCCAATTACCATTATGCTTCATATGCTACGAGTGCAATCTTGTGCTAACATACATATATTGAAATGGGAACGGCTCGATGGCAGTCTGGCATAGCAGACAGGTCGACATCATAGAAAGAATACTACAGTACAAAACATTTTCAGGCCATGCGAGTAGCTCCCGAGGACGTCAGACGCATTTATCCCGCCGTTACTTCGCGTGGAACTAATCTGATAAATGAAAAAGGTGTGTATTCTCTGCTGTCCAGCTGTCTAGGTTCTAACAATAAGAAGAAGATTGAATGCTTGCCAGGACATGTGAGGCCTGACGTTTCTACGTTCTACGTTCGTCACTGGGTTTATCACTACGATATGTAGTTACTTCAGTGTATATTTTAACTTGATCTTGGCTGTTTGCCTGCATTTTCCCTGCTAACGGAACAGGTACTGTAACATTTAGTAAAGTATTGGTCAATTTAGTCTGTAGTCAGTCATTGTAATTTTGATTTGGGAGTCCCACAAAGAAATCCCACAAAAAAGTTGAAGTCGCAATCCTCTCTGAGAGAAAACAAAAAGCTAAAAGGTTTCCGGACAAAGAAACACAGCCAAGCCTCTACACAAGATATCCCTCAAATAGCCCCAAAAACTGACTAGTAGTAGCCATGATACTGCCGCTAGAGAAAATAGCAGCGACCAAGCTCTCAACAGCCTACAAAGTGATGTTTCAGCTCTTGTGAATTATCGGTTCATGATCCTCATCCTTTTTTCAACCACCCCGCAACTTTCAGCAGTTTCTGTGGAAGCCGACATAGCTGCCGTGGTGGTCATGACATCGGAGGCTGAATTTTGCCCTGGATTAGAAGATTGACCGGAAGTGCGCTCTGTGCTCGAGTGCGAATCGACGGAAGATCCTTTGGAGCCACTCGAAGCGGGTGTGGCCTCTTCGGTGGATATAGGGGCCATAGAGGAGCTTTCGGCGGCGGATGATGTCGTCGAGCTCCCTGTTCCCGTTAATTCGCCACATGATAGTTTCCCACTACCGTCTACGCCGCAGGTTTTATCTAAAAAAAGCAAATTAGCGTCAGAGCCGCAAAAAATAGAATAGAAAGGGCCTTCACTTACCTAGGTCGATGAGAGAGACAGCCTTGCCACCGCAGTCGGCACCAAGTACAGTTTCAAACAAGCTAAATCCGGTACAGGTGGCAGATGCCGCCCCGCTACAGTAAAATACCTGTTAGCTTTCCATATGTTCTTTGGTCGGATGGTCATTGGGTTATATATACTTGAGCCGGGACTGAAGTTTGCCGTGGTTATTGACAAGGAATTCACTAAATTCAGCCTGACAGGAAACCGATTCGCCAGAATCAGTCTCGCATTTGCATTCCAAGCCAGGCTTTGACTTATCATTCTTGATATTTACGATGGCACAATTTTGTGTTAACTTTGAATAGCCCGACCCAGCAGACGCTGTGCCGAGTGTAAGCAGAAAGAACAAGATGTGTGCAGTATGCATATTGAATGGTATTCTTGAGGGTGGGGGAGAAGGTTGATTGGAAACGCTGGTCTTCGCACGTATGCGTTTCTTATAAACAACAAGGCGCCTAAGGGCGATACGTTGCCTTATTTAGATTTTTAGCTTCGCAATTGGTAACAATATGGATCTCGCACAAGCCTTTTTGGGAGCCAAGTGGTTTGGTACAGAGCAACGAGGTGTTGCATTTTGGATGCAGCGTTTTTGAGTACCTCGTTTTTGGGTACCTCGTTTGAGGGTGCAGCTTTCTTGGATGTACGTGTAACTTCTTGCCAGAAATATCACCTTTGCGCTTCCATAAATGACCTACCTCTACCGATGCTTTTACTTTCATTTTTAGCGCATGGAAATTTTGAAGCTACATGGCACCGGTGGGGATAATTAATAATTGTCTCGTAGAGTCATTTACAACTACCGGTCTACTAGCTGTCTCAACACATGGGCGCAGTGTTACGGGTTTACGGTTGAGATTGTTCAAACAAAGTCCAAATCAGATAACCTTAAATTGGGTATGCCGCGTTCGGTACAGTATCATATTCACGAGGCTGACATGACTACGAGACAAAGCTGCTCTATGTGTAAGGATCTTAAAGAGGATGGGGATATATGCAAGACCGTTAGAACTTGTCAAGCGTGTTAAATTACGTTACTGACAGCTTTATTCAATGTATCAGAGCATTGAGGAAATGAAAACTCGTTTCAGGACCGACCAAAAGTGTTGAATTCTGCCCAAGAAAACGATCGATATCTGACGCAGGGCACTAAGATACTGTAGCCACGGGCAACCAAATCGAGGGAAGTGCAACTGGTAACAGCCGTGGTGTAAAAGAAAGCGACTTTATAGAGATCGACAATTAATATTCCAACTTCCATGCATTCGTAGATGGCGCTAATCCACGCCGATTTGTCAACGATGGAATATGAGGTCTTATATGGGCTGTGTCAGTCAATAAAAAAGAATTATTGCAAGCTCCCCTGAATCATCGAGCGGGTTGACGGTGCTTGCCTTTCGGGATTGTCGGCCTTCAAGTGTTCAATCATGTGCTAGCTATGGGGTGATGCTCGAGTCAGTGACGTCCAGCCTAGAAGCATTACTTACGCTCCATTTTCACAGTCTATGCTACACTCTCGCATATTCCCAATGATGGCTTAGAAAAACAGTCAGCATCTCTTCTGTATACTGTATGAAGGTACTGTATGCCAGTAGTTGCAAACACAGGGATTGTCTTTTGCCAACGATACTTCTCATCAGCTTTCTCAAATCAATTTATGATAATTTTTCACAAATGCCACCCTACAGCATCATTGTTACATCCATTGTATGAGAACAACCATTTTTCATGGGCACAAAAGGTGAGCCGTAATAACCAGCCTCCTATAGTTTCAAGAGCAATGAAATTTAACTCTTGGACCGTTATTCAAGACGACTTTTGCTAGTACTTGAAATTGCCAATTAATCTTGCAGCGTCTTCCGAAGCTCGCGGTTGAACTCATTTGTTGTGTTCTGATATATCTCGATATCCGCTTGCCGTCGTTGGGGTCCTACAGAATGAAGGTAATTGGAACTGATCAAAACATTGGTTAATTTGTAACTTATGGATATTTGCATTCATCCAATGCAACATCTTTCCAGAAATTACCATGGTATAACCTGATCCTGGACCGAGTAATAAACAAGAGTTGATATCCCTTTTAACTTAGTTTCCCGTTTTGCAATTTATTGGCTTATGAGGCAGATCAACGGCTATTTGAGAGCACGTCTTTAACGATGCGTTGGCGACAACGTCTTTGTTAACGTGCATCCCTGCGCAACCGCTTCCTGTCCTCACCGCTCGTAGTGAAGATACTTTTGAAAGACGCGCCAAAAAGGTCCAACTTGATGACGTCTAGTTATGGTAAGAACATTCGCCGTAATATTATCGATATGTTTGTAGTATATCACTTCCAATTTGATCGAGAATTATCACCAGCTTCGTGCATGTTTCACCGTAGAAACTGTGTCCTGCGCCTTATGGCTTCTGTGAAAATTTTGCTATCGTCGGCGACCATCACAACCAACTTACTATTTTTGGGGGTTTGGGGGTTTGGGGGTAACATTACTGGTAAATAGACTTTAGCATTCAGGATAGAATAAGGTTTGTTTTATTCCTCAGTCTTGTCATGACTTTGAGTCATATGTGCACTGCAACATTAAATATTTACACGACATTGGTAAAGCCCAGATGACATCATTTCCAGACAACAGTATTCTCGGACGACGTACTGATTTTATAAGTGGTGATAGCGGGGAGCGGTTGCGGAAGCATGCACATTAATCATAGTTGCTGAATGTCCTCTGCTCGAAATGGGCGCTTTCGTTTCAACAAGAGAATCTATGGTCAGATATCTGTCTTTTTCTGTCTCATCAAGATTAACATGTAATGAAAGCCCCTCTAAGAAGGTTCCTTACTCTGTGCCCTCAGAATATCTTTGTTCAAGCGTTCTCCAAGCCATTTTAACTGATCCTGGTAGGCTTCAATGACATGGGAACGTTGGTCTGAGGCAGTCATTAAGTACGCATCGTCATATGTACCACGGTCCATGAGGGACGGAATTGATGACTGCTAGCGACCAAGGTATTGGGAAAAGTTACTGGAATTTTTAGTCGCAACGACACCATCCACCCCTCTTATGGTAAGAGGGCCCGGATGATCATCTGCCCCGTGCCCTTTTATAGTTGCCAGAAAGCACTAGCAAAGCGATGGCCATATCCCCCCTGAAACTCCAAAGACTTATCTACCAATAGTGTGTTTTAGGCTTCCATTACCTTCTCTTGCCCCAGGTAGTCACTTTAGCACAGGAACCATTTTTCGCAAGGAATGTTACGAGTTGTCGTACAATCAGAACAGTGGGTAGCAAAGAATGTAGTATTCGGGTCCCGCGTTTCTCGGCGTGCTCAAACCTCTGCATTGTTAGATAGTTTGCCAAAAGCGACACCTGATTGCGAGATGTGATTGACAGATTTCCCTCCGTTTATTCTCCTTGCCCATGTTGCTGTTTCCAAGTCGTCTATCATTTGCCCATTGACTTTGAAGCACCGGCGTTTTAAATTCGGCCGGAAATTAGTGGTCTGGGTAGCGTGTATGACTATGCATGTGATCCTTTTCTGCGATCGGTACTTTAATTTGAAGGACTTTCTAAGGGCCTTGGGAACTTTTTTTTTTAGCCCACAAAATACCTTTAATACGCTTCTTGGGCTTGCAAAGATAAAATCTACATTTGGTTTGAACAACACAGGGCCTGACCACCCAATCAGTTAGATAGGGCATTCTTCGCCCGCGTAGTACTATGCGACGAGGATTGGGAAGGCTGTGCTCTCAAAATTGTGATAAGAAGGTATGCAGCTTTGTTGACATACAGGGACAGTAATCCATTGAGTCTATTTACGCAAAACTTCGGAATGCTACGTCTTCTAAATTCTTTAGCAAGGGTCTAAAAACTTGTACTGGGCCTGGTATTACCCAAGCGTGCTTTGACAATCACGTTGAACAAAAGGCATGGTAACAACCAAAGCAGACATAGCTGCTTAGTTATTGAATAAACCTTGGGTGAAGTCAGGGAAAATGCCTTGTCAATTGTCATCTTCCCACTAGGCTCTTGACATGATGAAATGCTTTGTCTACTTTCACATGTAAGCCACCGCCCCGCGGCCCTCCAGCAACGAAGACATACGGGCAGCGGGATGAAGAAAAATGAATTGGTAATTGTCCCATCAGCTGTGGCGCTTTTCTGGCAAAAAATGCCCCCTAAAACATATACTATCATTTTGACGCTTGCGTCGCTGGACTTTGTAATACTGTGTGCAGTGTGTAATGAGGCTCTTCGCATTAAATGGACACTGTACTAAGTGGAACCAGGGCTAGGCTTTTATTTCGATTGGCGTGTCCGTGATCCCGAAATCGGAGGCCCTTGGCTTAAGGTACCCAATATGTCAGGGTGCTGGTGCATCCATCATGTTTAGATTGAAGAAGACGACGTCACTCATTGAAAGCCATATATGCGGAGCCGATATGTTGAATATAAAATCAAACATGTTTCCTCTTGACCAACCTAGTTCCCAACAGCAACGGTCACGGCGTCATATCTATGCATAGTGCAGGCTGGGGTCAGCCATCAAGGCCCGTAGGCTCGTCTTCTGGGAAGGCAGCAGGATTGACTTTCAGGAGGCCTAGAGGGGAGAGAAAAGCACTGTTACCAAAATTAAAAAGAACCCCTAGATAAAAAGTCACGAGGTGAGACCTGGGGATCTTGGACATGTGGTAGATACAGCCGCTTGTTGCACCTCTAACCAGCGAGATGAGGGAGGTTATCATGGATAATACAGTCCCGAAATTAGGAGCCTGAACATGATGCACTAGAAGACAGTGCCTGAGAGGACATTGATGTTCTCACGGGGAATGCAGAAGAGCTTGTGACCGAGTTGCTTACCCAGTAGTCGGAGTGGGCGTAATAAAGCCTTTTGTCTTTTTTCTTTCTTTTTCTTCTGCCCTCTTTCCCCAGCTATCCTTCCACTCTTATACCTTTTTTACTTTCTGGTCGGGTTAGCCAATCATTCGTGACAATAAAGGCACAAATGTTCTGCCTATATACAAACCGTTATACCAAAGAGTTCCCCGAATTTGGGTGATTGGAGCCCATAGATCGGAATGGCCCAGATTATGCAACGTGGGCACTATCAAGCTTGGAGCTTTGTGAGCAATACACGAAATCAACAATATTGTCAATAAATGCCGCTAGATTGGTCGTCAAGTCTCACCATGAAGGAAAGGCTAGATGTCATGATGTTTCTCCCGCGAGGAGTGGCAAGCCTATTCGCATGGAGCAGGATGTCGATTATTGACAAATAGATACTGTACTGGCTACAATAAATCTTTTTATGGTATTTTCCCCCTGATGGCTCCACCTGAATACCCAATGGTGGGAAACAGACCGAAGTTGAAATTTGACTAAATGTATCAAGAAATAATATGTCATAAAATAATACATGATATCAATGTGAATTTATTTCGTTCGCAAAAACATATTATGAACTAGCTAGTCAAAGTTCAGGGCACTGGTTGCCCGAAAATTTCATTCTTGTCTCATGTATTCTGCTACTCGTTGAGAACAGCCTAATCTTCACCGACGGTCTTCTCGTGCTCACAACCTCCGTAGGTATTACTGGGGCCTTTTATAGCCCCGACTGAGTATCAACTCCTCGATGGAATGCGTGATTCATCCACAATGTGGTCTAAAGGTTTTCGAGTTTCATACATTACGTCTAGCTGTGGAGGGGTTTAATGTCTTCCACAGACCGGTAGAGTCTATTGTTCAGGCGAAAATGGAGAGCTATGATGCCCCATGCGCTTGAGACGCACCAAAGGCTACAAAAAGCTGCGAAGACGGCACAAAGTCATTGGGTGGGGGCAAAATAAATGGAAGTAAGCTATCTAGGTGTGATTGTGACGGTATGGTTACGTAGATACAGATTGTGGAGGCTTGAAGATTCTAAGAATAGAGAGTCCGTTGAGGCCTAAGGCAATATGTAACCCAAATTAGATACACAAAATATACTAATACCTTACTCTATAGAATGCCCTTGAAAGAACGCACGATGAAGCATCTTCTGAATGCCGGTTGGCCCGAGTACAAGGGCACCGCTCGTGTGCAATATGACTTGATCAGTTTTCATTCAAAGAAAAGAAAGTTCTTGCTTAGGCGAGATGTGGAATTCTGGGAAGAGAAACTGGCACAACTCAAAGGTGACCAGGACCAAGTCGTATATGCGCCTATTGTTATGGTCTCCCAAGAAGCGCTCCAGAAAGCAGAGAAACAAATTCCCAGCCAATATAATAGCCAGGAGATACCAACTTTAGTATTTCAAGAGGGTGAACTGTTATGCCTGGACGGCCACTCCCGCATCGAGGCGGCCAAGAATTCGATTCTACTGCAAGGCTCTACCGGTTTTGGGATTGTACACATTGTCCTTGATGGTGAGTCCCTGGACATCCAATCTAGTAAGATATAGAACTGTTGATTAATTGCAGCCACCAGATATTGATGGAGCAAAAATGAATGCGATATTACGGGGGTCTTGTCACCAGATCACGCCGAGCGCCGGCAGGCTTTACCCTGCGATCCGCGAATCAGAAAACCTTGCTGGAAGGGAAGAAAATAGAAGGCTAAAAAGCCTTCTCAGCGTTGGTGACAGTCGGAATCTGACCACGCTCTCGAATTGCTCCAGGCTTTCCGACGCATTTGACCAAGTGTTACTGCCGTTCCCAGCGATGGCGTATGCGTTCCCACTGGGCAGCTTCAAAACATACCACGCGACGCTATGTGAAGTAGTTAGTAGATCCGCTTCGCATTGGGCAGCTTCTAGATTCTGATATTGAACTAGTCAATCGAGAAATACCTGGTGGGTTATATTTTCGGCTTTTGGAGCGAAGTGGTGATGCAAACACGAAATCAGGTGAATGATTTGGAAACTTTTCAGTTAAGTGACATTCCATCTGAACTATTCGATAAGCTACAGGGCTTGATGCCTGGAGTATCAGAAGATGATTGTGGGGAAATCCACCGTTTTTTTTCTCACACGACAGTCCTCGAAGGATTCAGCAAAGCGTGCCGAATCGGTTTGGAGAACAGTATTCTGAAATTCAATGGCATGATCCCATCGATGAGATTATTCGGGGCGCACATGGTCTTCCTGGAAAACATTTCGATTTGTATGAGGGAACTACTCGAGCTCGACAAAAACCCGAGTGAAGCGCGGTCACGGCTGCTCCATGCCCCTAGAAACGGGCTTGAAGGGGCTTTACACCGCAGAAATGAACCTCAGTGATGAATATCAAATTCAAACCATTGATGGTTGGCGGACTATATGTGCTCCCTTTGAAGACCGTCAAGAGCTAAGCTGTCGTCAACTCTGGTTGTTTGTGATGAGAGAGGGGAGCCAGGTAGATAGTTGTCGTCTCGCCTATACTGCGAAGCTCTTAGGGTTTTCCTCGGACCTGATAGAGTTTCGCTCAGCTGATTATATGTCCTGCCATGAGGATCGGAGTGTGACGTTACACCCGTCCGATTGGACAGACTTCCCCAATGTCAAAGTGAAGCAGCGACTAGGGCAAAAGGGAAATCGATGGTCCGAGAAGTCAAACAGCGCAAGGAAATATTTGTTTTTTGACATTGCTGAGACAGTTGGGACTGAAGTAGCGCAACAGGTTCAAAAGCAGAAAGACGTTACAACGCTAGTGGAGTTGGCATGTATATACCGCGCCTTTTTCGGGGATCCTTTCTTCCCGTCTGCTTATGCCAAGCTCCCACACGCGAGCGAAGCCACCTGTCTCAGCTCCCCGACATCAACATATCCTGAAGGCAGTTATTTGTCTCTGTCGAGTTTAGCACCCCATGGAAAAGGCGATGGTGAAATTGATTCGCTCTCCTACGATGATTGGCGCGAGCCGGACCACGTTTTACCGTCGGAACCATTTGAGCAATTAAAAGAGGCATATACTCAAACGGCCAGAGATACCAGCAAGCAACCCTGTGGGCTTATTGAAAACAATGACCATGCATATGAAAGCTCTACAAGTGGTTACTCTAGCTGTGTGGAGTGCGAGGTAGGAGGACGCCATCTCAATGAAAGTTCTACAAGTGGTTACTCTAGCTGTGTGGAGTGCGAGGTAGGAGGACGCCATCTCAATGAAAGTTCTACAAGTGGTTACTCTAGCTGTGTGGAGTGCGAGGTAGGAGGACGCCATCCCGATGGAAGCTCTCCGTTGAACCGAGGGGTTCCTATGACGCCTTATGTAGGGGGGAACACTCCTATTCCGCGTCTAGATTCCAGCTCGATCGAGAATTTGGACCATAATTGGGACGGGAACAATACGTTGGCTCCGCTTAGTCTTCTGCTAACAGCAAAAGACGCTTGTGCTAGTTCCCAAAGTTCGCGAGGTCTCACTGACCAGAACCCTAAGTATATCCGACCGCTGAACTCAGCCACAGATTCTAAAGGCCGGGTCATAGCCGACAATAAAAGGACACACGGCAGAATTAATGTGAATGACGATTATGGCCGCACAGAGACCATCGTCACCAGCAGTCCAACATCTTTGCCCCTTCAGCCCGCAAAAGTACGGACCAGGCTGGATCGTCAGCCTGCAGCAGATAAGCCAATAGATGAGACGGCAGACAAAGACAGGCTAAAAGCTCAAGTAGTTGGTGGGCAAACCTTTTGCGCACTAGATCAAGCAGGCGAGGCGGGACAGAGACAGCAAATGTATCTCCAAGGAAGAAAAGAAGGACGTGAGAGCGAAGAGGAGAAGCCGCCATCTCAATGTGACCTTAACAAGGGCATACCAACGGGAAGTCCCGTTCTGTCCCTACAGCTTGGGGACGATGAACATTATCAAAGGAGCATGAGCCTTTTTTCAGCGGAGTCCTACAATGACGAGGACGAGGGGCAAATATTTGATACAAATGTCGTCAGTTCTCCAGTCAATCCTGGAGAGCTACAGCGCGAAAAAGGTACCCTTACTCTTGCTATCGGCACATCTACCATCTGTCATACATGACTGACATTCCTTTAGAGTTTGAAGGAGAAGGTAGGCTACTAAGCACAGGAACATTACCTCACAATGCTCTCAGACAGGCGGGCACAAAGGCAGACACAACTCAGACAAGTACACATGATCCAGGGCGGGCCCCGCCAGCAAGAGAGAGGCCTTTGACTGCAGAGACATCGCACATCACCCCCGTGAGATCCCAAACCGTTCCACCGAGGCAAGAGCAAGCAAAAGGCGCACAGGCACTTGATCCAGTCTCCAGTTCCAATCCTGTATTTTGCAATATCTCCCCGAGGACGCGGACGCGGAGCCGAGGAAACATGGAGAATACCCTGGTATCACCGGGACTTGTAGGGGCGGGTAACGAGAGATCGCTGCAGGCTCCGCAACAGAAGAATCACTTCAATAACACAAAGCTTAACGAGCAACCTCATACCAAGACTACAGTTAAGCGTTTGCCGCAAGGGCAGCTTGCCCAGGATGGGTCATTACGACAAACTCAAGTGCCCCAGCCAGGGCGTCAGGTAGACGGGATGGAAGCGACGACCCATACCAAGTGGCAGCAACCATCTGTTGAAGACTTGGATGAAGCAGGTAGTGAATGCATCAAGACTCCCGTGGATGGTTTGGTCGGTAACTCGCCCAAATCGGTTTCTTTCGACATATATGCTGAGCCAGCTGTTCCCACAACCCCTCAATTTGCAGAGAAAGCACAGTCAAATGGCGCATCAAGAGGCAATAGAATGTCCACGTGTCCTAGTATAAGACGCTCGGTTACTGGCCTTGCGGCACTAGAGAAGAACGGCTCTCCTACTATCGCCGCAGATAAATGGTGTCTGGAAGAGCACATTGCTTCTCGGATGGCTCACAGTAACGGCACGAAACGTCGAAAGTCAAGATCAAAACATTACGGAATGAACAAAAGACCTTGTATCGAACTTTCTGTTGCGGGTCGTTTAGGCAAAAAGCCAACCAAAATAATGATACGACAAAGAAGGGCACGAGCCGAGGCCGAAGGCAATCAATTATACGGGTCGAGAGCCTTGGCTACTGCTGAGGAAATGGTTAGGTTTTCCAAAGAGTCAATAGTTTTACAAAGTGAGAAGACTTGGACCGAGCCCGTTTCTCAGCTGCCTCTGAGAACTGGTCCAGTTCAAAAGTCCGTTGAGACAGCAGCAACCTCCCAAGAGCCAAATAAGGTTCATGGGAAGCGGTGGAAACCGAGAAGGTCGAAATTCGAGACGAACAAACGGCCCTGCATAGAGCTCCCTGCGGTACGGCACTTGGGCGAACTATCAGAAAGTGTGAGTCGGACTGGATTAGGCAGAGGCCAAATCTACGGGCTGCAGGCAGAGGCTGCTACTGAGGAGATGACCGCCTTTCTTGAAAGGTCAAAAAGATCAAAACTGCCACAGGCTGAGAACAACTCGGCCGAGCCCCTTCCTCGGCAATGTAGAAATTCTTCAGAATTCCCGACAACTGGACCTCTTCGAGAATCCGTTGAGACATCAGCAGCCTCTCAAGAGCCTAATAAGGTCTATGGGAACCGGTGGAAATCAAGAAGATCGAAATTCGAGACGAACAAACGGCCCTGCATAGAGCTCCCTGCGGTACGGCACTTGGGCAAACTACCAGAAAGTGTGAGTCGGACTGGATTAGGCAGAGGCCAAATCTACGGGCTGCAGGCAGAGGCTGCTACTGAGAAGATGACCTCTTTTCTTGAATGTTCAAAAAGGCCGAAGGTGCCACAGAGTGAGAACAAGACGACCGAGCCCGTTTCTCAGCAATGCAGGAACCGTACGGTGCCCCCAAGAACTGGACCCGTTCGAGAACCCGTTGAGACCCCGTCGGTTTCCGAATCTCTCGGCAAGGGCCATGAAAAGCGACGGAATACGGGTATATCGGAATATACGACGAACAAAAGGCCCTGTATAGAGTACCCAGTGCCGCGGCCGGTGGACGCAATTTCAGCCAGGGCATCTCAGCGGCCGGTAAGGGAGCAAGCGAGTTCTTCGGGAAAGGGCCTAGTCTACGGGCTACAAGCAGTGGCCGCTACTGAGAAGATGACCGCCTTTCTCAAAAGGTCGAGGGTGCCACAGAGTAAGAACAACTCGACCGAGCCCGTTTCTCAGCAATGCAGGAACCGTATGGAGCCCTCAAGAACTGGACCCATTCAGAAACCGTTCCCAGCACGGGGGCAATACAAAGATGCTGGGAAACGAGGGAAATCGAGAGAACCGGATCTCAAGATAAATAAACGGCCCTGTATAGAGTACCCAGTGCCGCGGCCGGTGGACGCAACTTCAGCCAAGACATTTCAGCGGCCAGTAAGGAAGCAAGCGAGTTCTTCGGGAAAGGGTCTAGTCTACGGGCTACAAGCAGTGGCCGCTACTGAGAAGATGACCGCCTTTCTCAAAAGGTCGAGGGTGCCGCAGAGTGAGAAAGACTCGATCGACTCCGTTTCTCAGCAATTCAGGGCCCATACAGAGCTCCCGAGAACTAGACCGAGTCCAGAACACGCCGAGAGAACGAACAGTCCCCAAAACAGTTCCAAAAAGTACTCAGCCGTCGTCAATGACCAACTAGATCTGGTGACACCCCCGCCACACCAAGCACCCAACGCCGAGTCAATGGCCTCAGCGTTGCCACAACAAAGGCCAGAGTGCTCTCAACTGGGCCAGCATAGGCACGATTCTAGCTCAACCGGACGATCCACGCATGTGGGCTCTCGACAAGGAGCAAATGGCAGTCCAGGGGCTCTGTCCAATCCTAAAGCCTTGAAAAATGAAGGCAACGCCCTCGAACCGAATACTAAGACAACGAGATTTTCTGATACCCCACATACGGGCACATCGAAGGGCATAAGGAGCCATGCTATGCATAGCCTCCCAGATGGTGGGCCAGATAACGCTCGACTGCAACCTTCCCCCCGACGGGCCTCGCCAAAAGCCTCACGGGGCAGGGCGAGGGCAATGGCACAAATAAAGAAAACGAAGAAATATCCAAAGAAAGCCGATTATGCCCATTGGATTAATACATTCGCCTTCATTGTAGAGCTCAAAGGTGAACAGGTAACGAGTGTCCACCATCGAGCGAAAGAGAGTGTCAAACCATTCCTAGAACGGCATTTTCGGCAACAAAGCAAGGCCGGCAATTTTTTCGACAAAAGTCTACGGATCGTTGAACTAGACCCAAGTGTGAACGGAGCGACTCAGATGGACCGGTTTTTCCAGACAGAAGATACATTAGTGTTCCAACACACTCAGGACGAAGCTAACCCAACGAAACTAGTAAGGGCGATCAATCGGGCGCTTCAGTCAAAGAAGAAAGAGATGTTATCGTTAGTGGCTGCAAAGCATACATACTACCTCAGGTCCAAAAAACGATGATAGCGATGTGAATGTTTGGTGCTGGTCCTTAATAAAGCAGTTCCGCCATTGGGTTCTTGGGGAAACAGATATGTAATACCTTCTATAGACCATCGCAGTTCTATCTCTCTAAACTCCCAGTGTCCTTATCGCGGCGTGCATGGGAGGGCTCGTAGTGTAGGAGAGGCGTTCCAACTGTGCAAGCTTGATCAACACTTTCTAGTTGGGATACATAGCAACGAGCCGAATCGGGTTAAACGGCGTTTTATTTAGGTCATCGCGAAGTGGTAATAACATTGCTAAGACCTATGCTGGCAAACATGTCGAACAAATTAAAATCAACAAGGGCAGGATTGACGGGGCATTCTCGAAAGGTACTCGCGTTATTCATACTTACGGGGACCATAGTGTATATCGCCGTTCTATGTGTAAACTAGAGGAACGAGACATTTTACTTTGGAAATTGTCTCTACGAGTCTAAAAAAAAGCTTCTAAAGTTGCCAGAGCAATTCTGTCGGCTAGGGATCCTTCCCAAAGCTGGGCGATTTGGTTCATGAATTCCGGCTAAGCTTTCAATATTCCTTTAAAGACGGTTGCAGTATTGATTTTTACGCGAAGGACTCATCGGAAGCGGTCGCTTGGAATTTTGCTGGGGTTGTCCAAGTCCGACCAATGGCTAAGCAAACAAGATTCCGGAAGCATGCTACAATCTTAGAAGCAATGTTCGCAAGATATTTCAAGAAGGGTAAGAGAATTGGAGGTAGGCTCGCGCTGATTCAGTGTACATTCTATTTCTACTTTACACATACCCATTTAATCATGTCTGGTGTGCCCTATTGCCAAAATAGAATTCAAAGCTCATTACAAGTCTAACCAAGCTCGACACAATAAGTCAACTAGAGCGTAGGCTTTCTTCAGTGGGTCCTTCAGGGTAACAGTTGTGACAGTAATAGGATTGGAACCTGTAGCCCCTGCGTTCCTTGTTACCCATATATAGACAGTAGAAGTTTTTTGTGGAAGCTATTTAAGGACGATGTTAAGATTCCTCTCCACGACGTATTTACTTTAAATATCTTTGTGACGTAGACTCGAGCTTAAGGGCTTTATTGGTCGAGTATCTTTCAAATCATTTAATTTGAGACTGTCACTTATCGGTGTAGCTGCGCAAAGGCGTTCTTGGAATGAAACTTAGACACGTGTCTGTTATATTTTCTAAGTCTCTTATTTCATGTTTTATGCGTCTCATCATTAAATATCCCTTCCAATGCCGAATTTTTCACCAAACCATTGACGGTCCCCTGCAATCCTTCCTGTCACTGACCCATCAATTAGCCATTGGATCTCGTCTCTTAAAGTGCGCATGCGCTTTGTGGTATCATTGAGACCCCCTCCTGTGCATTCGAACTTGTCTACCTTTATAAATTGCCCGATGAGGTCTCGCAAGTCTCGCTCAAGGCATTCATCGAGATTTGCTTCAATCTTCAGATTGATGCGAAAAACACATGTGTAGTACCATATCTCATTCAAACGTTTGACTCCCTTTTCCCCGGTACACATTCGTATGACTTCCCTTCGGAGCCAGGACGGATGGTACCGTATTCGTGTTTGACGCCAGCATATGCCATGGTACATAGCTTCTTGTGAAATCTTGTGCTTAACGGCCTCCCATAGAAGCTGAACATGGAGCTGTGCTGTATCCAGGGTAGTGTTATGCTGCCTGCCATACACGTGGATGAAGTGAACCATCTTGCAGTTGCGCCAATTTTCAAGGATAGCAACAGTTTCGTTACCAAGACGTGAAATCGTTCTATGTTTCTCTATTGCAGCAGACTCAAAGTCAGTCATACCTCTGCCCTTTTTTGCGTCGATTGCTAGGATATTTACCCGATACACGTTAATACTTTTTTCATTGCCGATGTATTAAAGCAGTAAATCTGGAGTGGGAAATAATGATCTTTTGGGTTTACATGCACATGGCAGAAGATTTTTGCTTCGTGGCAAATATATGTACAGCTTAGTTTAAGATTTTGGGTGATGACGTATAAACTACAAAAGTTCCATGGCTTCTTCTGGTTTATTGATGAGCATCGTATGCCTAGGATGGTTCTCTATTACTATTCGTTGAGGGGAGGGTCAAGGGGGCTTATTATTCTCCGCTTGCAGAATTTCATGGCGGGGATAGGAAAAAAAAGCAGTGTTATTTGACATAAGCAGCATAAAAAAGACGATCCATATTATCGGTTCTAAATTACCTGGCTGTAGGTATAACAATAGACAGATACATGTTAAAAAAGCGACTCGGACTGAAGCCCGCGCGTGATGGACGGCATGATCTAAGCGCTTCGGTCTCACTACAGGTGGGCGACTGCCCTGGCTTAGCTATCGGCCAATAATCAGGGGGTATAACTGGTCACGAAATTTGCAGGCTTGTGCGTGTATGCGAAGTGAAAGATCTGCTCAAGTGGCTACATATGCACTCATCACCTGCCAGTTGACTTAGTTTGTTTTCACTAAAACTTTTCCAATGCTCTGAATTACATAAACTTATCCGAACTGTCTAACTAACGTGGTTCCCGGCGGGTTCGTCATCCCTGCCGGTCCGTCACCCCATCAAATCTTCAAATTTTGTACATTTTTCAAACGCCATTCAAGCAACCAAAACACCATTAAATTGACGATTTAAAACTTCTGCAGGCATGTAGTAAACCTATGCCCTTTTCCTCCGCATTTAGAACATGTATTTTGCCGACGTACAGGGGGCAAAATAGGAAGTGTAGGTTCAACCTGGGATTCTAGAGTAGGTGTATGATCAGATATATATCTTACACCAACACCTCCCTCACCACCAACATTGGTAGTAGGATCCAAAACCTCTGTTAAACTACCTATATTAGGCATTCGCTTCTTCGATCTCTCCCTCTTTTTCGTCTGTTTTCTATTTCCCTCCCGTAAACGCTTGATTTCATCCCGCATTAAGATGTGCTCGTGAACTAGCTTAACCGACATATCGTAGAACTGTTGAAGATCACGTTTTGTAGGGGAAGAGATCTTATCAGCAGCTGAACTAAGACCAGAATTGAGCCTAGATTTGCGTTTTTCTAGCTGCTTAGTCGTCCTAGGGATGCCGGTAGAGATATTACTGCCTGATGTTGAACCTTGTGAAACTGGTCGCTCTTGTAGAGGCGGAGATTGAAGACGAATGTTGAGCTTTGATAACACTCGATCGGGGTCTAATGGTACTAAACCAGTAGCTGCGAAGGCATTCTGAACGATAAACTCTTTGAATGAGTCGTCACGAGCCGCTGGAAAGATATCAAGGAAGTCATCTTTTTCGATAGAATCGATGCCTAATCGGGTATATTCCGCAACCCGCGTTCCGTAAGAGCGCTTTAACACAGCAAAACAACCAACATCAAGAGGCTGTAAAAGATGAGAGGCATGCGGAGGCATACAGATTGGTATAATGTTGTTCTCCTGACAAATCTTATCGAATGTTGCTGTAAGATGACTGTCGTGGCCATCGAGGACCAAAAGACGATGTTTCCCTTTAGTCTGACTTATTGTATGCGGAATAAAGTGTTTTTGGAGCCAATCAACGCCAATTTCATTGCTTGTCCAGCCGTTCGGACTAACGTTAAGAGCCCAATGCTTTGGAAGGTCGTCAAACCATCGTACCATAAAGTGTTTCCCTTTAAAGATAACGTATGGTGGGAGCGCCCGTCCGGAGGCACAAATTGATTCAATAACAGTCACCCATTCACGATTGCCAGGTTGTAAAACGCCCCTCCGACCGGTGTAAAATGACTGCGTAATAACCTTCGTCGTCGCACTGATTCCCATTGCAAACCCCGATTCATCAAAGTTATAGATATCATCCGAAGTGATACCATATTGAGCAATCGTTTTTTCGACAAGGTTAAACCACTCAATAATAGTATTTGGGTCTTCCATTAGGGCGCGTTTGTAGTCATATTTGCGAGAGAATCGAGTAGTGAGCTCAGGATGTCGTTTAATATATTGTGTTGGCCAATTTTTGCCAACGGTCTGGGGGGCATTGTCTCCGCGGTGCTCAAGCAGTAAATTAGCCATATCTCTCAACATCGCGATTGTAAGCGCGGCGCCTCTCTGATCCATAGAGATTAACCAATCCTGAATTGATACCTCTTCTAGTTGCGTGAATTTATGGCCTGTACCCCTTGCTTCATACAGATTAGGAATGCCTTTCATCCGATCTGCAAGAGTTGTACGGGGGACATCAAAAGAGCGAGCAGCAGCAGCGATCGTGGTAATTCTGCCATTCTGAATAGCCTTGATAGCTAGCGAGATCCTGCCTTCCTGCTCGATGGATTTTTGAGCTTTTTGACTTCGTTTGGGGGGCATAATAGGCGTTTAAAGATCGGTGGTTGGGTAGGGGCAGAAGATTTGAGGTGGGATGACGGATCGGCAGGGATGACGAACCCGCTGGGAACCACGTTAGTGCTTGCTAATTATATAATTATATAGTTACGATTGTGTGTCTACAGATCATCAACTTATTAGCGTGAAGGTCGCTCCGGTTCCTAAACAGTCATCATATCGTTATGTAAGTGGCGAAATATTTGCTTTATCATTTGGTGAGGAGTGCCTCGATGTGAATTACGCGCAGCTATGTGGTGATGTTTCTTCTTTGCCTACGCCTTTCCCCCGCCTTTCAGCACCGTGCTGGAGTTGACTGATGGTCTTCTGGACTGCATGAGCTCGTCAAACGAAAGTGATTAAAGGGCCACAACCCCCGGCCAGCGTGTTTCTGTGGCTCACAGAGCCAGAATAAACCTGAATACGCTTTCAGGAAAGGTGTATGTCGCGCGTGAGGCTTCCAATACATTGAACGCAACCGAAAGGCCTACTAACACTTCACAGCTATCCCTGCGTGTTCTTTTATACATTTAGGGCCGAAATTATCCTACAGAAAGAACTTTATTTTTCCGTTCGAACTTACGAAAGGGCTCCTCGCACTCAGTCCTCGCTTTATCTAAATTCTGTCTTGGAACGACTATTGAGAGAGTCACTGTATTGGGCCCTTGAATCCCCCGCACACTGACGATGGCGCCTTTAAGTGAACTAACGATTTGTGGGCCACAACTGGACTTTGGACTACCGTTGTGGTAGGCTGATAGACGCAGGCCTCACGACAGATGATTAGACCTTTTGAACCCATTTATTATTACTGTACAGGCCGACCAGATGGCTGGCAGCAATTGAACGATTCCGCCTTTGTGGTGTCTACTGAAATTTGCCGCTACCGTCTCAATAAGCAGTGGGGGCAATGTCTACGTCTACGAGGCTCTACCCGGTTTGAGTGACAAAAAAGTATCAATGAAATTAGCGACTCACAGGTTTGCTGTTAATTGTGCTGGGCAGACAATCCTGTCAGACACCGGCCAAAGACAATCACGGACGAGTGTAATAGGGCGTACACTTTCAATGAAATGCATATGGTAAGTTCGGCCCTGCGTCCTCTGGTCGGTATTTGATCTGCTACTGAAAGTGGGGAGATTACCGCCTAAGTGAAACATTACTTCATACGACTCTAATTGGGGACTTCCATGTTATACCCATCGGATTGGCAACTAGTGTCGAGCAGAGGAACTATTTTGCGGAAATATACTGGCCTTCCTTATTTGATGTCAGATAAGAATTTGGGTAGTGCAAGTATATCCCGGTTGACACAACAAGACAGTCGAAGGTCCATCGGTTTGGACGTAAGAGATTTCAATAGACCGACGACCAGTCCGTTTGGCGAATGACGAGCCTGGAGGCCATTGTCCATTATCTCAAAGATAGGAATGGGAGGCGCCCTGTCAAACACTGGAAGTTTAGATCGATGCCGCATCTAATAAGAAGGATCGAAAGGTGAAATCTATACAGTATTTTGCATAGTTTGGTCGAGTCTAAACCAAGTCCGCTAATCTTTGGCATACCCCAGACTCCATGCCGCTCGTTGTCCACTGTATTTGTGCAAATTGCGGCGTCATGATTTCCTGCTTATCCCTCATGCTTCACTGCTCTGGTACAATTGGCGGGCTTGAGTTAATAATGTTTTTGACAAGCGAGCTGGCCACCCACCTATTATTGAATTTTTCAATCACAACCTAAGTTCAGTAAGATTAAAACTATTCAGATACCCCCGTGCACCTATTTCTCCTCCCATGTCCTACGTTTTTGCAGAGGCTGCGTCGCTGTGGTCTCTCCTTATTGGTCCGATTCGACGTCGGCGATAAAGCTCCATCTCGACCTGAGCAGGCTTCATGGGCCATTGCCGGTCCCGAGACCATCGATATCGCCTCTAGAACTGACCTACCGCCCTCAGGGACTATTCACCTCCTCGTACGCTTTGTTTTCTGTGGTTTTCTTTTTTTTCTTTTTTTGCATTAGCGGCACGTAACTCGTGGTTCCCCTGGCGCATGATACGCAATGGGTAATTGGCAGCCTTTTAAAATCTGCTCAAAAGCTTTTTCGACACGCAAGGGGTCGGTCCTCTTATAGCATTTTCTTGATAGAGGAAGCTTGTCGGCGTACGTTCTTTACTGTGTGCGGTGGTTTTGGCGTGCGGCTAGAATCGCGTTCACGACTCAGAGGAGGCGGAGGGATATTAAGGTGTACATTTAGCTTTGAAATCACTCGATTCGGATCAAAAAGAGCTATGCCAGCAGCTGCTAAGCTATTGAGAATGGTTTCCGGCTTGAATGTCTCTATTCGAAAGGAAGTCGGATTTATCGACACGACTAATGCAAAGCTTCATTTGCGACTCTACTAGCTTCCCTTATGCCCGTTCTACCACCCCAACACAGCCGATACCCAGAGGCTGTAGCAGGAGAGATAAATGCGCTGGCATACAGATTGTTATAGTTTTGTTTTGAGAGCAATCGAGTCAAATTGAGGGAAAGAAGGCTCCCATGACCGTGAAGATACAGAGACGATGCCTCCCCTTGTCTGACATGTAGTCGATGAAATAAAGAGCTTTTGAAGCCATTTGAGACCTATTTCATCGGTCGTCCATCCATTATAACTCAGTTCGGTTCGCCAATCCAATGGGAGATTGGTGTGCTTCAACCATGCATCCTTAACGACATTGCCTAAAAATAACGGATGGCGGTGGCACACACGTTCCCGCACAAATAGCTTCAATTGCGATCACCCATTACAAAACGGCTCTCCAATGGTAAAGCAATTCCTCAACTTAATCAGTCGGTTTATGGCGAGTTTCGGCGCGATAGTTAATGCAATCAAGACGCGTCGAGAGCGTGGAGCGGTGCGCATCAAATCCCGCTGCAGATCTACGTATAAAACTCAGTTTTTGATCTGAATAGCTAACAAGGCTCTACCATCTTGCCCTACACGTTTTTGAGAGCACTGAAAGCTAATTGGCGGCATATTGGGTGGTTGAATAGACAAAGTCTAATTACCCGACGCGTTTTTGTTTTTGATGGGGTGGTAAGCTCACTTATCGAAAAGGTTATGACTTGGGTCATTAGCATGTATCTTGAAGTCGCCAAACCGAAGACAATCTTTGATTTAGGGCGGAACAAAGAACCTGGACAACCGTTTCATGACCCCGGTTTCGAGCGACCTCCAGAGGCGTCTGCCGTACCTGAAGGTCCCTGCAGTTGATATCAACGGCCTTTACCGCTACTAGCAGTTTGACTACTGAGACATGTCCATTTTCTGCGGCCAGGCGCAAGGGAGTCCTCCCGAAAAAGTCCCTTAGGTTTGGATTAACTTCCTTCATAGAAAGTAACAGTCTTACCACAGATGTATGCCCATTTTTTGCGGCGATTGCCAGTGGAGTCGCCCCTGTTACATCCATATGATTAAGTTCCCCGCCATAATCAATGAGTATCATAGCCATGGCGGTTTGCCCCGTGGATGCCGCCAGTAGCAGAGGTGTGCGCCCGTAGAAGTTCTTACAGTTTGGATTTATTGCGTTGGTACCAAGAAGTAATTCCACCACAGAGTGCTGGTCGCTTTTTACTGCTGTTACTAGGAGGCTCTGAGTTAGGCTAGATAATGCACGAAGGTCAACTGTTTCCTGTAAAGACATCTTTGCTGTAGCTGCTGGTCCAGACCTTGCAGCCCAGAAGAGAGCGGAGCTTCCAAACTGCTGTACGTCGTATCGATAGAGATATACGACTAATAGACTGTAAAAGCGCGAATTCGTCCGCAGTAGGGCATTGATATCGCTTCTGCACAGCCAGCCTTCCGCCACAAGTAGTAAGAGTTCATTAGGTAAGTTTAGTAGGGGCATTGAAGATTGCGCGTGGCTTTTAGTTAGAAGGATATCTGAACATGGGAAGAAAGCTTTAATACAAGTACAGTATCATTTTCGTGCATACTCACCAATGGCGCTGAATTTAGATATAGGGTTCAAACACGAACAAGTCCAAAAATCCCTCCGACCGGATTATGTGGACGACATACCAATAGAACTTTTTTTTGGTCTTAAATCTTCAATGTAAGGCTTTCTGTTTTGGCCAAGCCTCAGTCAAACCCAAATAGTGGTCGAACCCATCATTGAGCAACCGCAGGCGTTCCGTGTACCACGTCATATTAAGGAAAGCGCTTCTTTACCTATCGACCGACCCATTACCTGGAGACTGTCATGTTGCTTTATCGAAGTTGTCAAACATCCCGAACTAATTAATCCCTGGTCTTTCCTCCATTTCGTTGTACACGTCACATCTTTATTTGCGTACTTGTATTTTGTATTTTCTTATTCGTACCTGGCCATCCGAATTAGCTGCGTATTTGCACAAACCCCGGAGCCCGGCAAGGATATGACCAACGCTAACGGAAATATTAAGCTTAGCATCCCACGTCCGACTGGTTTTTCACTCATGGATTGATTCCAACGGCACTCCTGAAAATGAACAGTATTATTTCGATGTGAGAACTCGAATGTCGAAAGCAAAGTCCCCATGTCGAGAAACCCATGTTTTGTTTTTACTGTTGCAATGACATTGTGTCCCCATCGTGAGAAGATGGGGCTTGGAAGATGTTTGCGGAACCTATACCCTGCTTTGGTAGTCGGTCAATCTAGCATGATGATGTTGTGAGGGCGCTCGTCAGCTGAAAGTTATGGTGGGGCAATGTCAAATGATAGCGGAACTTATACTGTATTTGTTTAATGCGACAGAAGCCTCAAAACTGAGCAGTCGTAGATGCCCATATTTTTCTGTGTTCATGATCAAGCGACCGGCAGGTTCCGCGCAGTCTCACCTTGCGATGAGAGGCTATATCTGACCACGAACCAATAAGCCGAGAGCACCACAAGGGTCCCGGCGATATGCAGATATAATCAAGCAGCAACAACCGTCTTCCCATACACGTACAGGCAAGCCTCAACCGATTTAGCTAGTAACTTTGATAATCTATCCTGACCAATGAACTCCATGTCCATTTGTGCGGAAGGAAAGCCCAGACCAGAATGGGATACGGAAATTGAACAGTCCCATCTTCGGAAGCAAGCTCCATCCTCAAAGGTATTTGCTGGAACGTCGTCTTACCTGTACCGAACAAGGTTCTAACGCCGAGACCTACCTCAGAAAATTATTGCGGCAGCTGAGGCTGACTTGATGCTTTCCATTCTCGCTCGAGTAATAGATCTGACAGCGGGAATGAGGCTTCAATGCAACCAAGTCCTAGCGCTAACGCAATCATAATGAACCTAGTTAACGGAGAATGTTTGTACTAGGTCCCTGTTGGCGCCTAGTAGGGTTACTCGATACAGTAGAGGACTGAGTTACATGCACAGTATCCAAGCCAGTTCAGTAGTTCGCAGAATGACTATCCACGAAGTATCGTTGAAGAATACATGCCGCACTGAGGAGAGGAACACTGCACTGCATTGAAAGAAAATCCAAGTAGATTCCTTTTTCCCCTTTTTCTTTTCTTCAATTGTTGTGGTTCCATCAACCTTAGCTTTCTTGATTTATTCTAGATGCCGTTCTATCTCACGTCCTGGCACGTAATCTGTGACGGCGTCAGGGTATGGGCCGTTGATGAACTGTACGGGCACATGACGCCGCAAGCCCTGTTTCGCGTTGGTATATCGGCGGGACGGAACAAGCTCCTTTCCACTGTCATCTCTTGCATGGGCTTTGAGACTGAGGTGAGGTTGCGAATTATCGACAAAGATATGACGGTCGAAAAACAATCGTTGCAAAATAGGTATTCCTTGTGTTCATTCATGTTCAACACGAAGAAGAAACTTTACGAGGCTTGGGAATGGTAAGCAGCTTGGCCCTATGTATGTTGATGCTTTAAGGTTGCAGGACTACCAGTTGGAAGTGTTTGTTTAAAAATCAGAGTTATTTGATTATTGGATCAGTTTCCGATATTGGTTGACTCTACGATCGGATTTGCCGCCGTGCGGTGAGAGCAAGGTGAGAGCAAGGTGAGAGCAAGGCAAGGTGAGTGCAAGGAGAGGCACAAGATTCACAAGACCTAGGCACGCGAGCGACTGGAGGACAGGATCTGTTCTACTAGCTAGGAAGCAACCTCATACTCCAGGGCCACAATCACCTTACTCCCGAACCTTCCAGCGTGCAAGATCTCACCTTCGACTTATGCTTCAGCTGTAGTAGATGATCTAAGGACGGACGCCAAATGTCGAGACGCCAGTACAGGCAGGCTGTTCATCAGATGCAAGGTTAGCAGGCTGTCCATTAAATTCGACACTTTCGCCAGGTTCAGGGAATTTGATATCAATGCCTGCGGTGGTGGTACAGCCGTTCACGTTCGCCACGAACATGGCAGGGAGGGTGGATGAGCGCTCGATGGACTTAACAGCGCCCCCCTGGAGGTGTCACTTGTTACCGTGATAGGTGCACAATTCATGTACATCTCGCGGTTTCCAAGGCGGTTAAACCAGGTCCAGGCCAGTGTGTATTTGCCGGGCGTGATATTGTGAGGAATGGTGAAGTTGGATGGGTATTTCTCGATCCGAGAGGGGTCACTGGGGAGATTACCATCCACATTGGCCGGACATCCACCAATAAAGGACGTAATTACCATCCACTCTGAGCTCTTAGATGGCTCAAGATCCTTGGTCAGACTGATCTGGCATGAGCCTCCTCCATGCGTGACACTTCCCTTGAATATCAGCTGATGCGATTGGCCCACTCCAATCGTTGTTTCAGTCCGAGGGGCCTCGAACGCGTTAGCGCGCAGTTTGCAAGGAAAGTCGCTACCATCACCGGCTAATGGAGAGTTATTTAGTGTACCTAGACTATAGGGCTCAGGCGAGGTCATGATCAAATGAGCATGAATCACTGAACAAAAAAGGGACATGTTGAGCAACCACCGACGCAAGAAGCTTTTTAGGATCATAATGCTCTACCGTTGTTGAGAATGAGGAACACGAGGAACAAAAGCAATATGTAGTGTGGTTGGAAAGTGGGCTCCAGTACGAAAATAGACTCATTCTAGCAGGTCACGAAATTGGGTGGAGGCGATGATAAGCGGGCAAATAAATCATCCATCCATCTAAACCTAGCAAGTGGGCCCAAGACCAAAAGATTGGTCTCAAGACTAAGCAAGTGGTCTCAAGACCAAGCAAAGTGGTCTCAAGACCAAGCAAGTGGTCCCAAGACCAAGCAAGTGGTCCCAAGACCAAAGTGGCCAATTTTGGCCAATTTTGGCCAATTTTGGCGAATTACTCATCTGTTCTGTTATCCAGTAAATGCTATCTCTAAATGCTCGGTGGCTATCGATGGTTCCAGAGATGATAGTATGTGCCGCTGTTTATTCTATATTGAAAGAATGATCGCTAATTTTATTGCGGGGAGTGACAAAAACGACGAGGGACAGAGTAGCCGTTTCGGACCGTTATTGGAACTGAAGTGATAATATACTGTTCAGTATCCTGTGGCAAGCCTGGCCTTGTTGGAGTAGCGATGAATACACGATTCTCTCATTCTCATGCTGGGTTTCATTCCTTGGCGGAGGGGATGACAGGGTATTTGGAGCGGCGGCTATTTTCCTCGTTTTGTTATAGTGCCGTTGCATATCACTAGGACCTTGGCGATCCTCTTGTTTGATATTTGCGTAGTGGGGTATAAAATGTTCCTCGAGTGATGAAAACATTCGGACCCGTTGGGTTACACGGTCTCGAACGAAAAGAAATGTGTCCTGATTGCAAAGTATGCCCAACTCGTGTACCTTTTTCATCACACCATCATGCCTTTTCTTGAATGTGACTTTTCTGTCTCTGGGATTGATAATCTGAGTAATCTTGCGGGCGACTTTCCCCATTTTGGTCAGTATGGCAATCAATTTTTTTTTTTTGGACGGAGAAAATGGACTATATAAGAAACGTCGTCTCAGCCTGTCCTTGCGCTTAAGATAGAAGCATCTATTTTGGGCTACGGGGCCAGTTTGCTTCTGGACAGCGACATGCTTCCGTTTCTTCTTCTATCCTTCTATTTTAGGAAGTGCGTCATGACCGCTTCACTCCACTCTGCCGGTGCGTGCGTCATACGTAGGACAAGACAAACCATGTAGGTTGATTCCATAATTGTGTAGGGGCTCATCGTTTTCAGTTGAGCAGTGTCATCCTGGTAGATTGATCAGGCAAAATGTGGATCCCACCTTCTTAATCTTAGTTTTGGCCCGTTCAGAGACGGGACTGGTCAGATATTTGGCTGGTTGACCATGATGTTCTCCACCGTACCAGTCCGCTACGGAGGCTATTGTGATCACGTTTACGATTAAAGTCATAGCAGAGCTACAATATCTAACTTGTTAGGGCACCATCACCATCTTAGCTGAGCCAGTGGGGCTTTCCAGAGGACCCCTAGATCCCAGGACCAAGATGGAGTAAATATATTCTAATTCTAGCAATGGATCAATTTGGCTGTGGGACTAATTTAGATTTAGTTTTTCAGTCTTTATAGGGTTGAGAATGGGACTCAGTGACCAGAAAAATAAAATATATTAAAAACAGGACCGGAAAACAAAGGAAGTATGGCACGATGGAAGATCTATTTCAAAAGCACTCTCATCCGTGATTGGCCATCACACAAAAGCCGGCAAGACCCCCAGAGAACTTGCATGGATAGCGTATGCAATGATTGCCGTGCCATACAATGCACCGAGGATTTGCTGACACGTGCCCAGAATGACAATCGCCCTCAGAATGTTCAATTCGCCCTACGCCCACACGATCTTGGTGAACAGCATGTTCTGCAATCAAGGAAGCGAAGACGGGGGTCTGTTTAGAATATTGCCTCCTCAATGAAGAAGGCATACATTTTTCGCATCATCTTGAGCTACGAAAATTTAGGAATTCTGATCTTGAGACCGATCACCCCACGTGATTTTAGGGCTCTGTCAGGAGAGTTATCATGTTTTCAATTATAGATAATATATTGAACAAGCGTGCGTTGCTTGTAGTCATGCTAGCATCGTAGTACGGCCATGTGCTCAATTACTCAATTCTAGGAAGATTTGTGAACGTCGTGTACCACGATTCTGGGGCCTGGTCCAAACCGAGACTGCTTTCTTCCCGTTTGTTGCCCGGTGGCCCCATCTTTACAACCACACCGCACCACCCGACCGGGCAATGTTCCCGGCTAAAATCTGCGCTATCTTCGGCTGATCATTCCGGTTCTTCTTTATCGCTCCTGCCTAGGAGCAGACTGGAAACGAATCAGGGACGGGGAGGAGCGAGGGGGAGACGTGCCCCCTTTTGGGTCACGAGCATGGGTGAAATGGGCGATATCATCGGCCGCAGTTTTGCTTTCCCTATAACGGTCAGACTCATGTCGTGTAGATACAGGTAACGCAGGCGCTACTTACCGAGAAACTTTGGAAGATGGGACAAGTTGCGGGGAGGGACATGATTCCCTGGACTGGGCTGACTGGAGGAGGGACTAAGGGGGGGTTTTGCTTCTTGCCCTTGGTTGATTGGCGTCATGGCATAGGGCGGTAGACCCTCGATGAAGAAGATCGAGGCTCTTTTGTAAGGCCTTCACGCTTCCTTGCAGGACCGTGGAGTTCTCCTTCCATCTTTCAGCACTGAAATTGAGTTGTACAATCTCGGCCTTGAGCTGTTGGACTTGCTCCTCCAAACCTTTCCTAGTATGCTGTTCCTTTTCGAGTTCTCTGCTTTGTTCCTCAATTCTGGCCTGCTCCCGCATTCTTTGCTCTTTTTGCCTTTGTCGAAAGTTTCGCTGTGCCTGCCTTTGCGCTAGCCTGGAATTGAAGGATTTCTGTGTAGCCTGTGGTTCCACGACGGGCGCACGGGATGGGGATGGCAATGTAAGTTGGCTGACGTTACTTCGCTCCACAAGATGATCTTCGTCTGTTGATTTGGGAAACGGACAGAACTCCATGTCATTTGCTGCCTCTTCTTCCGATACGAGGTAGTCCATTCGTAGTGGGTTCCTGTTTGATCCTCAAGATTATAATTTGGGACGAAAGGGAATCAGGACATGGGAGAAATATGGAACAACATCTGCGGAAGTGTTCGCATGCTTTATGGAATGAGACGAGGCTTATGTAATTAGTTGTATCCTCATAGTAATAAACCTACCGCGCGATAATCACGCAGAATTTACGATACAATGACTGTAAGTCAATTGCCGTCAAAGCGTGGAGATCCCGAGTTGCCTTTGTCCCACGTTTCATGTTTGCCGATTATACACTAGATTACGCTCTAGTCGGTGCCGCTATGGTATTCCGTAATGGGGGAGGGAGATATGCGTTGCGAGCTGCTCACCCTTACCAGGCTACGCTTCAGTTGTAGCAATCTGCTGCAATACTGAGCGTCACAGGCCCAGAGAAATCACTGCTATCAGGGCGTCCTGATATTAGGGTTAGTAATTGATAAGGCAAAAGAAAAAAAAAAAAAAAAAAAAAAAAAAAAGAGAAAAAGAGAGAAAGGAAAAAAGCCGCTACAGGGCGTTTATGTCATTGATGCATAACTTGTGAAGATCACACATCTTGCACGAATCTCGTAATTTGACTCCTACAGTATCAACGCGCATTAAATTTCCTTCCACCTTGATCTCCACGTGGCTTCAATAAGGTCCTAGTTACATGGTGAAAAAAGCAGCTCTTCAGCCTTGGGCGGGTCAGAACAAACCGTGTTGGGGAATTCCATGTGCTGAATCGTGCCACTATTTGTGCTGTTCAGGAGCGTAGAGCTGGTAATCAGAGGAGCACCGAGCGCGCTAGCTTTTGGAACTACAAATACTCTTCAGGAATCACCAAGTCAATATATTTGTTATTTATTTGTTATTTATATTCTGTTCGTCTGGGTGCCCAGTATTGACCGGGGGAAAAAAAGCAGCATATTATCGGTGCACTCACGCTTGAGATACCTGTCAGTCAGCAAAAAGAACAGAGATATCCGAAGCTATCGTATATTGTATCATATTGTTATTTCAATCATCTTCGTATGTTGGCCATTCTACAGTATCTCTGGACTGGGAGTAAATTTGATTTGACGCCGACACCGAATGAATTCTGGGTGGAGTCGCAGATTTGTCTGCACTAATAAACAGGGGGCCTGCGTTTCCTGATAAACTTCTTGTCAAGGCTCTGAGTTGTGTAGCGAACTCTCTCTCTCGTCATCATGACCTACTCTTAGGATTTTGGTTGGTGGTTGTTGACCTTAGAAAATCGCAGTCGCTCGACCTTTGATGTCCTCGGATTTTAGAACGCTTTGAGACGTAAGATCGACGATTTGCGGATCCATTGTTTGTCTTAAGCACTTCCACAAATGGTCATGTCCTTGCTCTCGAGACTTGTATCACTATCAGCTCCTAGTCAGAGCAAATTATATTGTGGTCTCTGAGCAACTCTATCTAACTCTGTGACGCTAAGGGTTCGTTATCAAATGCTTACATTTGAACCTCGCAACTAAATTTAGACGATAAGCCAATTTTTGGTTTTCCCCATCCGAGCCAGGTCATATATGTGGGAGACCTACCTCTGCGAAGCAATTTTGAGAGGCGTTCATTATCAAAAAAATTCCTATGCTTCACGAAAATATGGAGGCATGCTTCATGGGAACATCCACATTTTTCATGATTCTCTGGTTGCAGCTATATTTACGTCAAAAAAAATTCTTGTCTGCGTCATCCATCAGACCCAATACAGTCCACGAAAACAATTCGGCCGAGACGTCTATACCAGCCGGGAGGTCTAGCTCAGTCAAGACCCCCTTGAGACGCTCTTCGCGTTATCGCCGTTAATCCCGAGTCCGAGGGAAATTGCAATTCATATGTGACAGGATTGAGAATTAACGTCAAGTACGTTGTGCCTCTTCATTTAGGATGAAGCCACATGATCATTAACTTTACGAGTCCCCGCGTAGAATGATGCTCAGTGTCTCTCACCCTAAATGTGTCATGTCAAAGCAAACCTCACAAGACACCTTTTGCACTACTATTCGCCCGGTCAACTTACTCAGTAAATATATATATATGTACGTATTTATCCTAAACATAACAGCAGAGGGAATCCCGTAGATCAGAATTTTTTTTTATATTTTATATTTTTTTTTCATGCGTCCTTCCCGGGGCTTCTGATACCCCGTTGTTGGATCTCGGGTGTATAAGCGACGAGACAACACCCACCTACGTGCAGCAGCTCAATGCCGAGAAACCTAGAGAGTATAGATATAGGGCGGAGCACCTATGCAGCCTCTCGACACCATCGCCAGACGAAGCCGACCTGCTGCTTTTTACCAGGAATCCTTTGGAAATTCCGCAGCCTCGAGTTTCACCCATGTATAATATAGATTCTGTCTTCCTTTACATTTCCACCGCCTGTCCAAAGCGGGTTCTAACTTAGCGTGTAGAGACCGGGCGGGCCTGCCCAATCCGCTGACTGCTGATAACTAATCTGTGACGATTCATATCGGAGTATGAATTAATTAAAACGGTCGCTCACACAGTGGACGGCTCTGTGTACGATCTGTGTACGATCTGTGATGTAATCAAGCTTGGATCTAAACCAGCTCTATTATTGATGCAGTCTTATTTCTTCTCCGAAACAATGCTTGAGGACATGACCAAAGGAATTTGCCAGCAATTGTTCCTTATACTACATCTATTGTATGGACATCAATAGTACAGAGTCTGTGGATAGCCCCGTCATAATCAATAGCCAAGAAAGAATATTTGAACGACGTGGCAGATCACGAGGAAATAATCGGAAGATCGTCATCACCAGAATCTAGAATCAAAAATTAGCCTGCAAGGAAATCGACGTAAAACCTTGCCGACCGTGTAGTTCGTACATGGATATATAATACCGCAATTTCTTTAGAGGGCCGAGGTTGCTAAGACCAAGGCGGAGAAAACTGGAAACAACCAAGTATCAACAACTGATTGCTGGGGAAGGAAGGGCCAGCGTGGTGGAGATGTATGGGGTCCTCCACGCTCTGTAAGGAGTTTATTGCTATCCTATCTATGAACTAATGTTACACCGAGTGAAGCAGCAGCTTAAGTAACCCAGAGTCTGGCTAGTGATAATGATGCTGGCATAACTGACGGACCGTCTATTCGAATTTCACCGGCAAGAATTGAAATTTTGGCGAGATGTAACCCGCTCACACACGGCCGGTATGATGGACAGCCGGTAAGCACCAATATCAAGCGGCATCTGCACTCATGTTAATCTGGTGCTTGACCTGCACACGACTCGAGCGAGCAATGTCAATGGTCTGCTGGCTATACTGGCGGGCTGTGCAAATTTCTCGAATCAGGATTGTGATCCAGAGGTTACGAAAACAGGCCGCAAGCTCTCCTTTGGGGAATGCCTCTGCAAGGTTACTGCGTCTCCGTTAACAGCGGATGGAGATGGTGGGTGATGCCCATGAACTTACCTTATCACACTCATCGAAGACCGCATCAGACCCTCCTCACGATTGCTTCCTTGGGAGACGATATGCAGAAGTTGGAAAATAGACTCAATGAAGGGGTGGAGTTGATCGACGTCGGAGTCACCCTTGTACGAAAGAATGATACCATCCCAAGCATCCAGGATACCCGTGCGAATAGCGATAATGTGTTCCCCCATTTCAAGAGGCAGTTGAGGCTTGGTGACCATCGAGGTAAATCCCTGAAGCTCTCGACCGACAACGGGCAGGTGAGTCTTGAAGGTAGAGCCCATAGCCTGGGCAATGTCGCCAAAGGTTTGTAAAATGACAGGTATGAGTTGTTTGGGAGAGTTGGGCAGGACATCCACAAGAACTTTTAAGAAATTATGGCATAAGGGCCTGACTGTCTCGTTCAAAGCACAAACAACATCACTGATAAGGTCGATGGTTATAGAGCAGAAACTAGGATCAGTTGAATGGTGGAATGCGTTGACCATGAAAGGCTCGAGGGGAACTATATATCCACCAAAACCCTCTTTAAGGGCGCTAGCAACAGCACCAATGGTAGTGAAAGCAACATCGGAAATGCCTGACTGTATTTGGTGAGTTGACAGGACCTGAAGCAGGACATACATGATTCGATCGGCCTGAGGGGTGATCTTAATCCCTAGACACTGAACAATAGCCAGGATAACGCTAATCAAAGATGTCTGCCTGCCTTCGAGGAGACCCCGGTTCTCGGTGTTGACGGCCTGCTGTTGCAAGGGGATGGTTTGCTCCAGGCGCTGAATGATAACGTCCAAGAGAGCAGAAACTTCGGCGAGGTTTTCAGTGGCCGAGTTTAGGACGAGAGAGATAAGTACCTCGTAACTAGCGGTGCGGAGGCCATCAGCGTGCGGAGGTTCAGTCACCGCAAGCAAGGTTCTGACACTGTCCTTGAAATGCTTAGAAAGAGGGTTAGTTCCAGAACCAGCATCTCCCGAAAAGCGGTCGACAACGTTTATCAGAGCCCAGCAGCAGGAGTCAACCATCCTGGGGTCGCTAGAAATGCCGTTCAAGAGGCCAGCGATCAAAGGCTGCAGGTGAAGATCAGGGTCCAATGCCTCGGGGCAGCTGTCGCACACCCGACCCAGGGCGTAGGCAGCAGAATCTCTCACTTGGAGAGCGCTATCATTCATCATCCCAAGAAGGCCAGTAGGCAAGGACAAGGCTTGCTTAATCAAAGGCTCCAGCACACTGGGCTCGGGGCCCTCCATGATAGCTCCAAATGCAGCCACCGCGGCATCTCGTCGGCGCCAGTCCTCGTTACGGCAATTTTCCCCCACAAACGTGACCACAGGCAAGACGATATCGTCCCGAACACACTGAGCATACAATTGAAGAGCCTGATATGCGGCATGCGACACGTCATACTCATCACCGCCAATTTCCTCGTTCTGTCGACACATAGCCTCTAGTAACACGGGGACTGCCTTACGAGTAGCATTACGGGCAAACCCGGCAAGCTGGCGAGGCTCTAAACCTTCATGATAGGCCACCGTATTGTCATTGCCGATGGTGATCTCTTCCTCGCACACTGTACTCCAGAACTCGATGGCCAGCTTTGCAACGTCGTCATTCCTGTTCTTCATGCCTACGATGCTCAGGTCAAGTAGACCGTTTTCCATACAAAAGGGCATTCTATCGTAAAAGGCACCCATAATACGACTCAAGCAGCCGAACGCACCGGTCTGGATACGAGTATCCTCAGTCAGAGTGGCCTCAGACACGATGTGCATGATGTAGTTCCGCTCGCCCTCATTGTCGATGCTGGGGCGCATAAAATCCACGGTATCACCCAGAGCGGCGATGGCAGCACAACGGACCTCCGTGTTGAGCTCCTCACGGCGAGCTCCCTGCAGAACCGCGGTCAAGATGGCTTGATAATGTGTCGGCAAGCTGGCGCGGAGGTCGACATCTTGAGACTCGCAAATGAAGCCAATGGTGGTCAGCGATGAGTGCTTCAGGGCGTCGGTCCCGCTCGCCACATTTTGCACGAGGGTCTGCATTAGTTCAGGCCACTCACTTCGCGGTAGCTCAATAGCGGCAATTGACACAATAACAAGAGCTGCGCAACTTCGGGCTCGGCGATCGGATGTGTGCAGCGTCTTGAGCGCGGATTCCTTGACTTGCGCCTTGGTTTCCGCGGGGATCTCAACAGCCCATCGCCGCTGCGCTTCGCGCAACTTGGCCTGATCTCGGAAAGTAAACGCGTTTTTCAATGCGATGCCAGCAGCAGCACGGATATGCGGCGGGTTGTCTTCACGGTCCAGTTCCTTGACTAGCGACGTGAGGTAATCGGCCTGTTTAGAACAATAGGTAGAGATGAGAAACTCGTCAGTCTCGGGGGATAGCAGTGAGGCTTTCTCGTGCAGATCCACATCTCAAAATATATGGCATAATTTCAGGGAACGTACGAAGTTAGTCGCCGCAGCGTGGGCAAGCCGCTGTTCTCCGTCGGAACGTTCTACCGCATCTTCGGAACTCGGTCAGAGGGACATTGTCTCATATTTGAGGGACACAACGCAGCAGAATGAAGATTTTGACCCGCATTGAAGGCAGCCATACCCGAACATACCTATCGAAAAAGTGCGCTGCAATACCTGTTGCGCATTCATTACGTCCAGAAGGCACAAGCGTTACAATATGGGAAGGGAGGCAGGGAGTGAAGGAGGAGACAAACATTCTTAAGAACGGGTAGGCAGCTGTTCACCAAGCTATCAACGTAAGGCTATTTTAGAAACACGAAACCAAGCCTACCCACAATGCGGATAGGGGAAAGCAAGTACCCTAATTGTCCAATCATCCACAAACCGTTTCCGGATTCTTCACTAGAGCTTGTACCTCGATATGTGTCATGGTAATAACGAACAATGGTGCTAGTCATCTCCCTGCGAGAAAGACATCCAAGTCGTTTGGAAAAAAATGGAAAAAAAAAAAAAAAAGAAAGAAAGAAAGAAAGATATTCTTGGACCATATACACCATAGTTTTGAGATTTACTCAATTCCTAGCTATCATCTCACTATCAGTTTATGCTAGGTTCGAAGCCTTTCGGCGTTATCTGTTTCATTTATTTACGGGTCAAATGACTGACAAGCTTAAGTCCCGGTCACTCCCTAAGTCGCAATCACACAAATCGATTGAGCTCACTTTCGTTAATAAAACAGGCACGATATGGTATTCTTCCGATCTATTTCTAACCTGGTGTGAGCCGCTTTCCATGACAGAAGCTATCTCTCAACGCGGGCATTCCACCACATGCGCACGACAGATAGTTAGTCGACTAAGGACCGGAAAGCAAAGTCGGCTATAAGCAGGATAAAAAGATCTGTCTACGCTCTATATACAATGTTCAAGGGCAACAGCATGCGCTGTATCCCAGCCAGCAAGCAAAACAATCAAGATAGTTCTACAGTATGAGACGTATTGGCTTTGGCGCACTATTTGTTGCAAGCGATCATGGAGCTTGCTCAAAGGTTATCTTCTTCGCATTCATGTCGGTCATGCTTCTTGTTTTCCGATGGCGCCCGGTTGAGGGACAGAAACCGTGATGTTTCTTGTCAGGTAAATGTCCACAGCGGTAGATGTCGCCGAAATTGTGACTGATGGAGGGGTAGAGGACCCCGCTGGTAAGATACTGATATTGACTGTCGGAGATGGCGGGGGAGGATTTTCATCCTCCTGAAAGGCTAGGATTTGAAGCAACTGGCATATTTGGTTTATGGATTCCTTGCTGCATTTTGCCGCTTCCGCCATATCCGCCACCGTCAGCTTTTTGCTGACAACCATATCGTAGATCATTCGCAATTTCCAGCGCGGTAGGGTCAGAAGTGATCTTTTGTTTCGGCCAAACGTTGTAGAATCTTGGCTCCGGCGTGGCATTTTGCCGCATCCGAATAGCTCGTTTAAGCTCAGAGCGATGGGGACGGAGGGAGGAGATGTGGGAGCCTTCAATTTTGGAGATCCGGGTCTTCCCAATAGTGCGAAATACGATTGAGTTGGCATTTATATAGTTCTATTCAGTATGAAGAGGGACGTTCGTGTATTTTACAAAGAAATGTAAATGCGATTAGAAGACGGTTATGTTATGATAGGTATGTGCAACGCTTACGGTATTTCCTGCTGTATATCATAAACGTTGGAGATGAAGTACTCAATTATAGTTATGTATCACATATGACGGTAATATGCAGCACCGAACAGACCCACGGGATAACTTCCCACGCACGGAGTGAAATCTCCACTATCCTCAGTGACAGCTAAAGCTAGTCCGCACGGCAAGCAATTCGGAATCTAGCGAACAAGCCTAGGCAGCACGTGAGTTATTCCATTCTACGGGCAGCCTGGGAATGACACAGCCGATTTGGTGGAAAATGGAGCCATACAGGGGAAACGCACCCATTCTGCATTTTAATATCACGCAAGGATTGCGCACTAGAAAAGGGGATCCATGACCAGTGGCAGGTAGAACGGAAAGAGTCGAGGACCGGCGCCCCTCTGCGTCAAATCGACCACACACTCTAGCCAGTTATACGGGGCTCTACAGATCTCTGACTAGAAATCGAACGTACTTACCAGCACAGCCACGAGCCGGACTCTGTTAGTTGTGAACATGCGCCGTGGCTTTCCGATTCCGAAATGACGACCTGTGCGTCTATGACGAACGTGAAAACGTCCCCCGCGTGTAATTGGATAGCCTAATCTTGAGAGGAGAGAGCTCTGACTAAAGATCAGCAAGATAATATGTGGATTTTATAATATATTGGTTATAGTACAGCATTTGCATTAGCGCCATATGATAATAAAACTGTCGATTCACTTTGCCTTATTAGACTGCTGTATGATTCCTAATTTGCTCATAGACTACATAAAAATATCTCGAAATATAACGCTCACCATCCATAAGATTCTTTATATACTTGTCTTGATCCATTCAGTGTATATAATACATCAAACATCTTACCCCACCAATGGCAGCTTTTCCTTCGATTTAGATATATATATATATACACGAGTTAGATTGGCTTCAATTTCTCGGCAAGAAACCTCTTGACCAATTGATTTATTAACCCGACTTATGTATTTATATATGCATGGCTAGTTGAATTTGGATCAAACTCACGTTACTTCAAAGGTAAAACTGTCTACCATTAATTTATAGACGTTAGAGATTCACCATTACTAGTGTTTCTTTCTTCATGTAGTCGCGTTACAGACCACCACCCATCTTACTCCCTCTTTCAGGAATCAGGTCCATTTCACAATATAGTATCTTGCAAAGGCGTATGTGGCATGTCTATATAGCCCGCAGCATTTAGGCCAAAATGGCCTGTCTTAAAAGCCTATTATCTAGTCCAATGTTCTCGTCAACTACTTTTATAAAAATAAATAGAGCGAGGAGTTTCGTTAATCAAAGAGAATAATAAAGTCCCACGACATTGACTAAAGACAGCCATGCAGCACTTCTAACAATCTTTTACCATTTGCTATACAAGCCGTGGTAAGGTTTCTCGCGGACCATCTAATGGAATAACATACTTCACTACCGGTTTAAGAAACGATCTAGAGGCCGAAGCCGAGGATTTTCACCGACAATTTAACAGAATGAAGAAGGCATGACCGTTCAATGAGAAAGAAGGTTGACGGAAAATGGATGAGCAAAATAGGATACTTAGAACGGACATAGTAAGCGAATCCGAAAATGTGAAAAGAAAATAGGAGATTAAAGACGTAATAAGTTACAGTAAATAGAAGACTGAAGATGGAAAAAGGAAATAGAGAAAGAAAACGGATATTAAAAAACAATAGTAAAAGAAAGGGGGGAAACAATGGCGTATGTTGCCAACTCTAACCGATTCGGTTGATATGCTAGACTCCTATCTCAGCATGAATGTCACGTCCATACAGGGTGATTGATGGCATGCACTGCATTATAGCCCTTTTATTGACGTAGAAGAACTACAGAGGATCATGAAGTCAGGCTTATACATAGGGAGTAAAAGGGTGGGCCTTGGTTCCGGACAATGAACTGATGCTAAAAACCATTCGAGGTTTAGAGGCATTCGAGGTTTAGAGGCATTCGAGGTTTAGAGGCATTCGAGGCTTAGAGGGTCCACCAAAGACCGAGTAGGAATACACTCGTGGTTACCCAAAGGAAACGTGCCGGGCAGCGCCAGGAGGCTCCACCCGTGTAAATCCGGTGGGATGTTGTCGACGCCGGAAGACGTGACGAAGCTGCCTCGATGCGTGAGGTAGACGCGGAATTTACATCAGAGAGAGTATACGTCCCCATGCGGACGGTTTGCGTGGGACTCGGGTATGCCGTACCTCTCGTACTTGTTGTCGAAGACGGTGACGAAGAGCTTTTCCCTCTGCTATACGCTGCTGAGGGGGATTGTTTCGTTAACGTGACATTGGCTGATTCCTCACAGTAGAAGAGGAATTGTTGGAATTCGGGGAGAGCTGAACTTGAAGTGCGGACCCCCGAGCCGGACTCGACGCAGGATCTGCATGCGCGATGGGACACCTGGAATGGAGAACCCGGCGAGCATAGCTCCTGGGTCTTGGTGATTGATTCGGCCGCCTCCATCGCATTATTACACGAGTCATAGCACTTTCCTGGGATTTTCACAGCCCGTTTTCGCAGAGTCTTTGCACGCGACTGGAGGAACTCGAAAATTTCGTACCCTAGGCCGAACTGGAGAGGGCTTAAGTTGATAAACCCTGGGGCCACAGTGTATCGTATTTGACCGGAAGACGTCGTCGAGCCCTGGGATGAAGTATGGGGTATAGGAGGACTTGGGATACACTCCTCGGGCGCACAATAATAGCTATCGGCCGGGGGTCCAGCCTCGAAGTTGCATTCCCCGTGGGCCGTTTTCCTAGACGGACGACACAGAAAGTGTGGCGGGCAGCCCCAGGTGTAGTCGCGAGGTGGTAGGGATGTCGGCGTGTACGTTGGATTGCTGATTCTGGTCGGACAGATCGAAAGCGATAGCCCTAATCACGTTAATCACCGCAGTCTCATCCTCCCTAGATCCACACTTACGGGAGGAAGTCGTTGCTGTGTCACTTCTGCCATCAGTTTGAGCCTGCCCTTCGCTGGAGTCTGCGGATATAGAGACAGGATTGACCAGAGTGACGATCGGCTCGGGCGACGACCGGGCCCTCGAACTTATTGTCGACTCAGTCGGGCGATCGATTGAACTTTGATCAGTAAATCCCCCGGAGCCGTCTGCATTAGACTGGGGGACGGTGTGAGCACTGACGGCGGTTGTGTATGTTGTATCGCTGAGAGTGAACGTGGTGCCAACTGGGGCAGAGTCAAGTCCTCCCTCTGTGGGGTCGGCTGAGCGGTCGCTGGGGTGTGTAGATAGCTGATGAGATGGTGAAGATACCGCATCGCCCGTGGTAGTGGCTACAATCGTCGTCGATAAAACCTCCCGTGGGCTCTCGGTTGCGCCCGTACGTACTACGGTGGTGGTGGTGGTGGTTGACACCACGGGTGCTGGACTCCCGACAGAGCTCATGCTCGATGAAAGTGTGACTTGACCACCTGGCGATGTGGATGAATCGCTAGAAAATGTCCAAGTTGATTGGATGACCGTCGTGTCGCTTGACCGTGTGGCCGTTGTCCAAATTGTCGCGGAGCTGGTATCGTGGACTGTGACCGTGGGGTATAGAATTGACGCACTTGGATCCAAAGTGGGAACTTCCTCTGTGCTAGTGACGGAGCCGGTGCTTTCATATGGCGCGGACTCACTCGACGGACTCGATTTACCTGTCGCCGATGTTTCCACTTGCGAAGCATCGATCGCACTCGTATCTAATACCAGCGCTGTCGATGTCGACGTCGTGGCTGTCGAACTTTGGCCATAGCCTGCTGAGGATGGTAGGAGGGCTCCACTCTCTGACATAGTGGACGCATCGCTAGATGGCAACCAAACGGACTGGCTGGTTGGTGTTGCGTCTGTAAGTGCTGTGGTCTCCCATTGTGTTGAATAGCTAGTATCATGGACCGTGACCGTGGTGTATCGGGTTGACACGCTAAGGTCCTGCGTGGGGTCACTTGTCGTACTAACCGCCAAGCCGGTGCTTATATCTGAAGTGAAAGATTTACTGGGCAAGGGAGTAGGCGAGTCGGCAGTGACAGTACGAAAGCTCACCACCGTGGTAGCCCTCCAGTCTGTCACGGTGGAGATATCATGGAGAGTTGTCTTGGTAGAAGCGGGGACAGTGCTTGTAATTGTGGTGTCTGTCGAGTTGGACTGGACGTCAGTGCTAGTCCGCGACGCTGTGGCCTGTAGAGATGAGCTTGCCAGAAGCGAGCTTGTCGTTTGGGTCTCTTCGGTATTAGCTGTTGTGCTAGGTGCTGTCTCCGTACATGTACAGTCTGTTGTGTCCGTTGAGGTTGAGGTCAGTGTGATTGTAATTATGTCCCTGGCCAGGCGGGATACAACCCGCTCAGTTGTCACGCCGACCCGTCTTGTCTGGCAGGAGGACCCAGTCTGACTAGGAAGTGAGACTGACAGCTCCGAGGCGACCAACAAACAAAGACCTTGGATGCAAAGTAGGACTAGTGGGGAGGCCAAACTCCACATTGTAGTCGTGCCTGAGGCGGCAGGAGATACAAAGAAGGGGGACAGGACGATACGAAGGGAGGGCGTCAAGCTGGAAACTTGTTGCGGGCTCGGGCTTCTTTATCTCTGCGGTATCTAGTCTTACGCTACTAGTGCAGATGGGGACTTTCGTGAAAATGAGTGATGCTTCAGGTCATAAGGAGCATGGGGAGATCCTCCAGGGCACCCCAGCTTCAGCTGTGCGTGACGATTGGGGCTTCCAAACCCAAACCACCCTGTCCCAAGATTCCGTCACACTTTTGGCATGAGCGTTGAGGATTTGTACAGAAACAGTCCGCGCTATTTACGCAATTGTAACCAACAAGGCTTAGTGATGGTTCAAACTTACGTGACGCGGTAGGGCAATTTGCATTCTGTGGAATGGGTGGAGTGGGACAGAACTGACTCATGAATTTTCCCTACGCTGCAAGGTCTCCTAAGTAGATGGGATCGTGAAGCTTGATGATCCCTACAGATAAAAATCACTGGCACTACCCCTCGAGATCAACCTGAGTGCGGTGAAGGAACCGATCTCCAACCTTCCGAGTGGCTTCAATTTCTACAGAGAAATGCAAAGCTAGCTTCACTGGCCTACTCTTTCACATTTTCTGTCCAGAGTAAGCGTATCTGTGATTTCTACTCGAGACACTAGTAGCAAGTCTGCCCCAAATGCGGTTCATGATCGTCATGCTTTGATGTGGAAGTCTAGAAAGCACAATCAATTAGGTAGAGCTGTCTTCTTCCAGCAGTGTCCCAGCTTATGAGTGTTGGAGGCCGGCCGCAAGTGCCGGAATCGTATCTACAGACACTTCTGGGATTTGATTCACTGTCATTACCAAATGTTCTAGCTTCAGTATCCGGGGTCAATAATTATCAGAGCAACATCGAATTCGGAATGAGGGGGAGACACCGGAGAAGAACCTGAACAGAACTTAATCAATTCGATGTACTGTTTGTCCATACGTGTATTCCATGGTTTTCACGCACCTGTCCAGCGAAGCGATCGGTCGCTGCGAGCACTCGCTATTAAAGGCAAATCGACTTCACAAGACGAGACCAAAGCGGCCCGATCGACTAGATCTGCTCCTGCGAAGGGTCTCTTGGCTTGGAAATCCTCCGTTCCAAGAACAAAGCGAGCACCAGGAGATCAAACATAATCAGAATACGTTTAGTGCAAAATGAAGAGCTCTCATCCTAGGTGAGTGCGCCTCAAGGACGGCAGAGCTTTTCACAATCATGAGAGCAGGTCTGGATGGCTATTTTCATCTCACGGGGAACGCGCTGGCGTGAGGCAATGGAGTTCTAAAAAAAAAAAAAAAAAAAAAAAAAAGAACGAAAGGATGTCGCTACCCGGGAATAGATATCTCTAGTGTACCTTAATGACAACAATCACCATCTCAAGCGAGTTATAGAGTAGAGAGTACTTTCCTGGCTAAAAAGTTGATGAGCACAACCCACAAGAACAGGAAAGGTAGCTCACAAGACCACAGAGATCATCAATTCCGGAGACAGAAAGCTCAAGTTCAAAAAATGGCATGATGGTGTGGTGCAAACATACACGCGTTTGGTATATTCTGCGATCAGGATACATTGCTTCTCTTTAGAGACCGCGTGAGCCAAAGGGCCGAGCGTCCAAGGAACAACTCATACCCTAATATGCAAATACCAAACAAAAGGATCGTAAAGCAGCAGCAGCGCTAGAACGAAAGAAGAATATTCACCGCTACGGAAACTATGTCAGCATAACACTTCCGCCAAGGAATGAGTCCCAGCATAAGAGAAACGTGTATACGTCTACCAACATGGTCTGGGTTGGCGCCGAATGCTGGAGGCTGTTTTATCACTTCGATTTGAATAGTGGTCAGCAAGAGGTTTCCGCCCCTCGTGTCTCTGTCACCCCGGAATCCAAATAGCGAGGGTTTCTTCGGACCCTGAGCAAAGAGCGCACGTAAACCACACCATCATTGAGCCCCTTTGAAAGCAGTTTCCGCGCTGCTTCACATCACTTGTTGGAATTTGATGACATGGGCGTATCAATTGGATCCGTTACGTATATATTCTGTGCCTTGTACTATAGGACGATCCATTCTGGTGAGGTAGCATCGATTTGTTATCAAAGAAATCTCAAATGAGAAGCATCCTTTAGTGTTATAAAACTTAATCTCTATAGTATCATTAGCAGTGGTTCGAGGAAGAGTTGGGCAAGGTTTTCACATCTCTGCCTGTGACTATGCCGTTCCTCTAACGGTGGTTAGCAAGCCCTGAGGCGATCACATTTCATGCAAGTCTGTGCCACCGACGGATTCTCATGTGTAACATGCCTGCTTCGTGACCAGTTCCGAATTTGCTTTGATCTAAGCAGATTTTTGGCGGAAGCCACACCTGTCAATGGCTCAGATAATGGCTGGTGGTAGTCCACGATGGAAACACATAATCTGCCGCTACGAGCCCAGCGCCCTGCGGGGAAGGTTTTCGCCGGTGAAATATAGACAAAATGAAACGTCATTTTGCATATAAGAGGACGTGAGAAATATTACAAACGATGATGTTATCATTTAGGTTGAAGGCAATTATCTGAAGGGAGATGGGAAAGATGAGCGAATTTTGGCACGGTTCCCATGGTACGGATGGATGCACCTTACTCAATGAGAAGGTTCTACACGTCTTAACATATCTCCTGCCTTTCGTCTTTTTCTAAAATAAAACCCAATAAAAGCAAAACGAAGTCGTATCCCAGGCTACCGGAGCAGAGGAATCAGTGGCCGTGAATACGAACAGGACCTTCTCACATAAATAATCTTCGGTCTCAAGTGGATCTGAGCAATCTTACACGGATCGCTGATACGTCGCTCGACGCGGTTCGGCTCCAAACTTCAGTATCCTCTCGGTTGAACTCTCATTGATTGAAAGAGACAAGGATGTTCTTCAAACGTCCTCGCTCACTTATGGACCGGATATTCACTGGCCCCTCAAACACCGACATCCTAGATGAAAACGTTGAACCTACCAACAGGCACATCTACCAGATGCCGATGAGTGGGCTTGCTACGCTCCCAGGCGTAGGGCACCTTCGCCACTTGCCCAATTCCTTGTTCCGTGTCTCCAATCTCACCCTACTTGGAAAGCGCCATCTCCAAATCCATGGGCTTTTGAAGGATCCCGAGCTCATTTCTAATGCCATGAGACAGGAGAGTCTGCATGATGTCTATTTGGTCGGTACACCAGAGAGGTGGTCTCGTCTCTTAAAGGGAAAGCTCCATTCTGAATGGTCTCTCTATTGCAAGGGCCACTTTTACTATCTTGCAAAGGAAAGCAAGGAAGCGCTCGTTGCAAAAGACTTTCAATGCTTAGAACCGGACGGCGTTAGCCAGCGGACTCGCTCGCCATTGATTGCATACCATTTCGGAAAGACAGATTACGCACCAGCCCAGATTCGTCGCATTGCCAGGTGGATTGTCGCTGAGATGTCACAACTAAGATTCTGTTCAAAGAATGATGGGCACTTTGTCTCAGCGCTGGCTCTTCGCATCATATGCACACCCCGATCTAGCGCGGTGATTATAGGCAGTCGCTCCCAGATCTGGGCCCAGGACTGTTGGCTCGCAACTGTCGGTTCGCAGCTGCTGATCCCCAATGGATTTTATACCGGGTTTGTGATCGTCGGCACCAATGAGGATGCTCCTGGCGGCTGCGCGAGGCAAGGCCACATCTTCAGAGTGGAGACGGCAGCCCGATACCTTGCTGGCTGCTGGACGAAAGGGCTCTAGGTCAGATTCCCCTACCCCCTCCCGAAGCCCTCGCTGCAGGAGCTTTGATTATGGGAGACGTACACGTCAATTATGGGCAGCCGAATACTACTGAGGGGAACGCTGGAGCCCGTGGAGAGTCAAGTCGTACCCAGACCCTATACCATAGCACAGGGAAGATGGGCGTGTCGTTCTATCCTTGCTGGGAAAGGCCCCGGTGGGTCATTATTCTCGGCCTTCGTGAAAGTTCGTATAATGGGAGTACCGATGGCCTCCGAATCCCCAGTTGACCCAATTTGAGTATAGTGGCCCAGCTACCAGAGTGTTTTGAGCTTGCTCACTGTTTCGGAACCTTGTACTACTTTCGGGCCCGTGGAGCTGGAGCACAACAAGGCATTTCCATCGGCTTCTGACATCAAATTACGTGAGAGCTGACCATAGCTTTAGATGGCCCACGTTACATGAAGAAGATCCTAGAGGAGGATGACTCCTACGAAGTCGGCTTCAACAGGGGGTTTGGCGATCAAATCTTACCCTTTTTGCGAAAAGGCGTCGGTCAGGAGCTTGAAGCGTGGAACGAAAAATCCAGCCTAGCTGGTCGACAGCCCTTTGACTACTGGGACAGTCTAATCCCTGGACATGTTCGAGCACTAAAACACCCAAGCGGGGCCAGTATCAGATACTGGTGGACAAGTCTCTGTCCTTTCCATCCGTCCCGCGGCCTTATAAGAGCGTCCCCATTCCTGAGCTAACCACTTGATTCCGCACGACTCGAAGGCTGGTTTTTGAAGCGGGGCTGGTGCAGTGGGCTGGTGTTGGACGGATGATTCTTAATGATACCACCTTGAAAGCAACCAGCCAATAGAGAAGATGGAAGAAAGGTCTGCTGCTTACTGGCGGAGTGCACTCGATACTATTTCTTCCACTTTACGCCACTAGCTTTGATGAATGAGCGGCCGGAAATTAGACGATGCTTGAGTAGATGGTCGCCTCTACTCTCTCCTACAACCATCTTCAGTAGTATATATTCAATCGGTATCTAGTAGGCATTTGTTTCTGTTTCCCCCCAATGCCCGTCATAACGCCATTGCACATGATTCTCGTAGATTCTTTCTTTTTGAGATAGACGGTCAGCCGGGGTTCCCTTATTTCAGGATTGGACGCGACTAACACTGCACGGAGAGCGAGCTCCTTCATCTCGGCCTCTGAGACGTAAATGGCTTTGTTTTATCGTGCCGAGGGCCTAGCACATAGTGTGAAAGTCCAGCTAGCCTCTAGGGAGCACGCACGAACGGCGTAGTCGTCGGTTGGGGTATAATACGCGTTTCGACAGGTTGTATCACCTGTAGTACAGATTAGTGTGTCACACCTTGGATCGCTTGGTCTTAAAGATAGTGTAGTATTTTTCCCTGGAAACTTAGCCACATCATTGATTAGGGAAAAGTCTACGTAGCATTGGTCAGTGCAGGTATATTCGAGCTGTACTTCATTTTCTCCTTTCTGTAAGCTGTCAGTGTCTTTTGCCAGTTTCATGGACGTCCCGCCATGTGCGGGAAACTGATACGTCTCCCGGTACGCCTGTCCAGGCTCTAAAATGCTCGTTGGGTAATCCCCCTGTCTTGTGACCTTGAAGGAGATTGGCGTTTTGCAATTATTTACAACGCCTATGCTTCCAACCGAGGAGAGCGGACGTGCGAAGGCGTATCGAATCAGGACGAGTAACATCAAACAGAATGTGGGATACAGACTCGGTGCCATCTTGACTTTACCAAACCGCATACCAAGAACACTTGAAGCTCCAGAGGAAATGGTTAGATATTTACAACAACGGTCACGGTGGATCTATTTATGGCTAATGGCCGATCGCGAAATATGTACTTTCAGGCTTCCTCAAATCCCCCCCCCCCCAGATCCATACCACCAAGTGGTCCCAAGACCAAAATAGTGGTCTCAAGACCAAGCAAGTGGTCCCAAGACCAAAGTGGCCAATTTTGGCGACTAAATGCTATCTCTAAATGCTCGGTGGCAATCGATGGTTCCAGAGATGATAGTATGTGCGCTGTTTATTCTATATTGAAAGAATGATCGCTAATTTTATTGCGGGGAGTGACAAAAACGACGAGGGACAGACCCAAATCTGCTTTGGATATCCTGAGGCTTTGGCAAGGCGGTGGAAAATACATGGGAAAACATGGCCGTTTGGCCTTCGGGTGTGCTCCATCTCCATTTCCTATAGCGCTGGCTTCTCTGTGAGGCTCGGGGCTGTATTTCCATTTTGCAATTGGATTCCTGAACTTCTTTGTTTCTTTCAGCACTCGAAAGGCTATCTCCCATCGACCTGTCACGCGCGGTACCGGCTTGGAAGATGTTGCAGTAGAGGCCCGGAGGCTGAGTTCAGCACGAGTCCAATTATACGTAAACCAACTCATCTGCTATGGTAATAGCCAATATTAAGCTTGGTCATGATAGAACAAAGAGTGTTTATTGAGACATTGATCAAAAGATGTTGCAAACTATCTGATGGATAGCACTTCTAAGGACAAAAGCCCCTTCATCTCGAGGATTCCCCAGTTTCCCTATCCTTATCAGTCCAGCCGCCCTCAGACGAGCTTGCATAGTCCCCCGGGGATTTTACGACTGGCGGTTATGACACCAGAAGTCTAGGGCTGCCCAATGTGAGTGCCTATTCGCTCTTTACTTCATATGGCATGCATGCCCTCGTTGTGGCCATTCGTAATGCTTTGTCACACGGATCGGGGAGATTTGGTCGATTGTTGGTCATGGTAAGGGTCTGGCATTCAATGATGCCACAAAAGCCCTGTGGTCTTTTTGGGTGGTCAGAGTCTCGACAGACAGGAGAGAGCTATCGCTAGCTCGGTGCGATTTGATGGCATATTCCGTATTTAATTCCGTTTCGTTCGATCTCATTGATATCCCATAGTCGTCAACTGTCAAAGACATGGTAATCTGTAATATGCATTTCCCAGGTACTCCAGCCAGATGGCTGATTAATTTTGGTATTAGAATTTTTTTTTTCTTTTTGCCTTTTTGTCTTTTTTTCTTTTTTTTCTTTTTTTCTTTTTTCTCTTTTTCATTATTTTCTTTACAGCTAATTTTGGGCGCTATTGCTGGAAACTCTCTATCTCTCTGGCTGGAATTCACGTATTGATACTATACCACACTCACAGTTTCTTACGTTCTACGCCTACGAACAATATGCCGGATCCTCCGGCCACTTTACGACCTTTGGTTCTTTCCAAACGCCAGCTACAGCCAGTTTATCAACATGCAACATATCGGCCGAAGGTCTCCTGGGGAAACCCGGTCGTCCATTATCGCCCCATATTTAACTCCCGCTTAGATGTGATGACCACAGTCAGTTTGCGAACGGCGACAAACCAGGTAACGGCCAGACACTATGCAACCCAGGATGACACAAAGCTGTATGGAATCCGAAAATACCCAGCGCAAGTCATGGGGAGGTCATCTCACGCAATTGAGAAGCTGATGAAGGAATTCCATCGCTGGAATTTGGATCAACACCAAATGCAGCATCTGCTTATGCCGATTCAAGCCTTCCTCCATGTGGATCAGAGATCTTTCTATACCGTGTCTGAGCACGCATTTATGACTCTGGCGGACGTAGTCCTGGGCACGAAGCAATGGCCAAGCATGCTCTGTCACGATGAGATCTGGTCGGTTGTCAAGCAGGTACTCTTAAAGGCATCCCTTCACAAAGCCTACAAGACTGACTTGGGACAGGTCCTGACCGGAACTGGATTTTTGGCATCGCGAGGGCTACAACATACCGTGCTCAACCTACGAAACATATTAATAACAAACCATGGGGTTGTGAAGATTGGTGGGTGGCCGGGTCAAGCTATGAACAGTTCCGTACTCATGCTATTCCAGGGGCGATTCATCATATCGAGCACGAAACTCCCGAAGGCTGGGCCAAAACAAGTGAAGCACTGGTCCAGCTCGCTGTGGGTTTGATCGAAAAATCCAAAGGGCCATGCTCGGACTGCACCGATACATTCTGCGAGAAAGACGGCGACCGTGGATGCTGCGACAGCACATCGATGCTTGCTCGTGTTGACTCTCTTGCGACAGCATTGGATATCACCCGCTGTCTCACCGAGGGGACCACGGACTTTCAGAGCGGTGTCACAGGCAAGGCCATTTTGACGGCTCTTGAAGTGCGTACCGAAGCCACCTGGGTTGTGAAACCGCTTCTAACGCACATCTAGCTGGGCTTTATTGACCATGCAAAAGGCTCACGTCTCGGCCCTATTGCTGAATTCGCCTCCGGCAAGGTCTACCGTGAGGTGATGCCCGTGTTGAGGACTACCGACCGTCATGGAATTACAACCTCATCTCCGCCGAGACATGGCGAGAAAAAGAGGCCGGGGGAATACCACAAGCTCGTTTCAGGTCGAAAGAGTGTTCGTCGTAGAAGGTTTTATGGCGGAGGAAAGAAATGGCTGCTTCGCAAAGACAAATCAACCACGGATCAGCCAAAGACAGAGCAGGGGATGATAGAATCCTACCAGCGAGATCATAGTCCAACGTTGGATGCCGCGCGTGAAGCTAAGTGGGCTTTGGTTCAGAGCAAGACGTGACAGCGGGGGAATGATTCACACAGTGCCCTGGCCAACCGGCCGCCGGGATCCTAATCCAGTATATATTTACTTCTAGCCTCCTATTTGGGCTCAGCAACCGGCGCCAGACCCTCATCTAACGTAGCCTCCGACTTGCTTGGAAGAGCCCTCAATATTTGCTGTCTAGCCATGGTGAGGGCTTGTAAAGGGGAATTAGGTTCTTGTCACACCTGAGCTGGAGAACGTGTCTTCCTTCGAACCGATCCGCCGTAGTTACAGCAAGACAAAGTCATCTTGTAGAACCCATAGCTTTTGGTATATATAATTAACATATCTGGTCTCTTTGGGTAGCTGCTGTAACTATTACGATCTTGACCTGTCTGTCCATTTAGGGTTTCATGGCAAATGCAACACTCCTTGTCTCAACAGCCTTGCTGCCATTGTTAGGCCATATTGGTCTCGGAGCTCAAAGTAAGAGGGTCTTCGGAGACCGACATGCGTCTGGAAGTCCTTCCAAAGCATCTTCACCCAGGTAGCCAAAGTATGGGTCCGCAAATCTAAAACGTCTTTGCGGCGAATAGTGCATACTAACCGGCGAGTGGCTATGTTCAAGGGCTTCAGTGGTTTCTGGGTTCACTACTTGGTCTCCACATACATCACGCACATATACAAAGCGGTACCGTCTTGTGACCTATTATTGTACCCTCGATTGGTCCCCAAAATAAAAACTCGGGGCTTGCTAAATTTAGAGCCACTACTGCACTCCTGTTTTGTGCGTCCTAAATTTGGAGCAAAGGCTCCAAATGTGTTACATCTATTAAAGCAAACCACGGAGATCTCCATGGACCGTCTCTATTCTCACGATCTAAATCACAGCTCGAGATGAATGGAACATTGAATTTAAACTCCTTGCCAACTTACAATAAGGGGAGCTCGCCCCGGCTTCCATTCTCATCCCGTTTAGGGCTTGCCCCAAACCGACCGAATGACCCAAGAGTGACTCGGCCGAGACCACAAGGACGTATCATGAATCCTTGTCACCAAGCCCACGGGTCAGATGAATCCGACAGAATCGAAGCCCGTTTAAAGGCAATTGAATCTGTACTAGGCTTGAACAGCGACACTGGCAACAATATGCAGAAAGTGCAAAATGCGCTCCAAGAAACGTGTAACAAGCTCGCGCTCATGTGAGTATGCATGATCACCTCACAGCACACTTCGCCGACTTATGTTTTCATAGGTGTGAGCAACTGAATTCACTCCTAGAAAAGAATCCCAATCACATAGATCCAACGGTGGTGTCCAACTCAAATCCCCCAACCGATCTTAATGCTTTCGACCTTTGCCAGCTGTCAGGGCTCGGTGACGGGTTTCCTGGTCTTGAGTGATAGTTGTGAAAGGGTCGGTACGCTCACGCTTCTTGGAAAGCTGGGGCGAGAATGGTTATTTCTTCGTCAATCCCTTGACTCATGGGAAACACCTTTCGTTTGTGGGGACAAAAAAGCATTGTGGAAAATTCCAGAATCAAAATACAGTCAATACCCAGAGCTTCGGATCAAGCTCTTGTCAGAAAATTTAGAAATATGACGCGAGAATGATTTTAACTGGAAGTGTATATATACATAAAGAACCGCGCTAGTTTCTGTCGCCCACTGTACCTGGGTTGTCATGAGAAGCAAGGCGTATATACAGAAGTTTGCTTGCAGAGACCATAAAGGGAGGGGGAAAGTTATCCCGGACTTTGCGCACTGTATCATAGAGCCACAAGCCCTAAGCCTTAGGGACTGCTTCGCTGCTCCGGGCCACGTCCTCTTCCTCTCCTATGGGATCTACCGTACCAGGCCATCCAGAGTTGATCGACCATGAAGTATACCCAATGGACGGTATCGTGGCAGGTTGCGCTTGGGGATGATCAAAGGGCTGTAGTAACCGGCGATGAATCTGACAGATCGAAGGTTAAGAAAAAAAATGGCCCGCCATCGCTGTTGCACCCGGGTTCGAAGCTACTCGCCGGATCGATTTTAATAATCTGATAATCCTTGTGGATTGCAAACCTTTTCTACGCATAACGTAAATACAGACTATATGATTAGCTGGGTCCAAAACCCAACCGTCAAGCGCAAGCCAGCACATCACAAGCTTAATCCAACAAGCCAATCGAGGAGTCGCAGTTGGCGCAGTTCAGCGATGACACAACTTTTTTCCTTTAGACTACTCTTGTTGCCACCTATTCGGCAGATGCGACGAGTGGCCGTTGACATGCAAGAAGAGAAAGCAACCATACTCATAGGAGAAGAACCTGGTGGTTTAACTACAATGAATTGTCGACCGGAAACGGCATCGTTACAATATTCACAGCAAAGTTGAGAAATGGTCCTTTATAAGCGGGCCGAAACTCCACGACTCTGCCGCCGACCTAGCCAATGTGTATAACATGGATTAAACAGAAGTCATACCGAGTGTCTCTAGCGCTGTGGAGGTCCTGGTAGGCAAAGTCTATGGTGGCTCCAGAGGAGCAAGAGGAGCAAAACGGAAGCCAGCAGTCAGGAAAAGCCAGTCGTTGACGAATTTTTACGCGATGGACAGACGATTTAGAGCGACTAGGAAGAGTTCCTTTTATCGGCCTCATAGTAGGATAGAGGCGTCATCCATGAGAAGGCCGTCAGATAGGGTGATACGCACTTTGGTGTTACGGTCTAGCAGGAATTACTGTAATGATTGGCAACGCATAACGCAGTATTTTGGCACCGTAGTACCATCAGGCCATGATCCCACTGACGTGAAAATCGTTTGGTAAGCCGGTTGATATGCATGATTAATGCGTCCCAGTCGGACAGCCAAGCCATCATCGTACCTTGACTTCATTGAGTTGAACATGACCATCACCACACGTCATGATTCTACCAAGATAGTTATTGCGTTTTATCAGAGTAATCGCAAGGGGCATTATGTATTCTGGATATGGCAAATTGCGACGTAGTGAAAGCTTTCACTAAATATGAAAAATAAAAATAAAAATAAAAAAAATAAAAGAAATAGCGCAAACAATTTGATCAGGAGAAAACTCCCTACATAGACGGATGAGAAAGCTCTGATCAAGAGCTTATAACTTGGGCCGACTGTCAATACTACGTAGCTTCCTATGGCCTGATCTGGATCGTCGGAAATGATATAGGGCCGTTGGTAGATTGGCAGAGAAAGAGATCATATAGTGATAAACATCCGGAAGCCTTCCCGCTAGTCACAGTGACTGCCATTCCTTAACGGCGACGGATTTCCAACCATGCGCTCTGTTTTGTATCCTGATGGTGCATTGTTTGTTCGCACCCAGCCACGCCGTATTCTGGCTCCGTAGGTTGGGCTGTGTTCGGGGACCCAGTTTCCTAGTATATCTCGCAATGACGGCAGACGTTTTTCCGGCACTGATTGCGGACAATAAGGCCTGAGATTTCGGTTTGGTATTGGAGTTTGTACTTGGCCGCCTGAGGTCACTAATCGACATGATGGAGTCCACCCTGGTCGCTTTTCAACACTGACCACGCTTGGAAGGTTAGAACCTGAAAGCCCTCGATACCAAGTCCCTGGGACATACTTTGGTGATTTGTTCAGTAGTAATGGCCGATCCAGTTTTGCTGGGGCTTTCGTTGATGTTCCCCATGTAAGAGGAAAGGCGCGAGTCACTTGGGCTGACGCTGGAGCACCGGGGTGCTTGGGATTTGAATAATGGCCTCTTCCAGGCATATTCATTGTGTGATAGTTGGGGATTTTTTCTCCCACTGGAAAGAAACTGAGGGACGACGTCGGCTTATATATTAAGATTTTTTTCTTCGGCAAAACATCCCTATCGCTTCATCGTCACGCAATATGGCATTTCTCTGCCACCACTGCCCCGCCGCTAACCTGAACTGACCATGCTACGTGAGGCAGCCAGAAACGCACCCTAGAGATCAGTCACTATCAATTACGCATCATAAATCGTGGTGAGACTCTGAGTGCGAAACTGAAATCGCTGGTCCTTTCTGTCGGGTGCCGGAAAAATGAGGTACGGCTACATGAAACATGACTCGGCACCTACCGTACATGGTCCTGACAAACATATTGATTGAAACTCTTAAAACTGTATTTGAGGCAGCTAGGCACGTATCAACTGTTCAATCGTCGTGAGCTCTTTGCAAAAAGCGGTGAGAGTTGACCTAACCGGGCCTGCTAGTAGCTACGGCTGAATTTCCCTCTACATTTTACCAACGATGGGTTCATCTCCATGTAGTAATGAAATCCCTCCCGAAGGGGTTTCAGGAGGGCTATTGGAGGGCTATTTCAATAGTTTGCCATCTGCTGGCATCCACCAACTTGTGGAATTTGCTGTCGCATTGATTATAACGGGCCACCGGCGAAAGTCAAAATACAGGCACATCTGAGTGTTGCGACGGTACGGTAAATGAGTGTAGGTATGTCAAACCTGTGAAACGCGATGCGGAACGTAAATCTTGAGCCCTTTTTTATATCGCCGTAACTATCTGATGTTCCAATAGGAATGGCCAGAATACACAGAAACAGAGGCCAAAGGAGGGCTACGCTGGCTCAGAACAGAAATTGCTACCCACCAATAAACACGATAAAACCCCAAGAATACAAAATTAGTGATATGCATTGCGCTGAGAATGGCCTGTGTAGTACGAGCTGCCGTTTCCGAAGTAAGGATGCATGCTGGCCTGTTTCGCAGAAAGCCGATGCGCGGGGTCGTACTCCAGCAGAGCCTCCAGCAGCTCCAAACCGTGTGGCCCCAGGCTGGACACGATGGGCGTACTGGGTCGCTTCCACTTGGGGAAGCTGACTTCGTATTCAGGGAACGAGGTAATTCCCGGCCAAACCTCTTCATCTGGGGTACCGAGTACGCTGCGAAGAGAAAGCGATCAGTGTATGGACATAATCTAGCAAAGACGATACACATACCGAAAGATCTTGAAAATCTCATCAATCTCCGAATACCCTGGAAATAACGGCCTGCGAGTGCACATCTCAGCAAAGATAGCGCCTACTGACCACATATCGACCCCAGTCGAGTACTGGAGATCTCCCAGTAGGATCTCAGGAGAACGGTACCATAGCGTAACCACCTGTGATGAAGCTGTTAGGACGTCGAGATGGTGTCGGTCGCCAGAGCTGGGACCTTACCTCGTGGGTGTAAGTGCGCAGTGGGCCACCGAATGCTCGTGCCAAGCCAAAGTCGGCCAGCTTCAGGTTACCCTGGCGGTCAACCAGCAAATTCTGGGGCTTCAAATCGCGGTGGAGGATCCGGTGACCGTGGCAATATCGGACACCCTCTACCAGGTGTGCCATAAGCTTTTTGATCGTTGCATCGTCCCGGTTCGGGTTTGCCGTCAACATGGACTCCATGTACCTCTTCAGGTCCATATCCACAAATTCGAGGACGAGGTAGAGCCTGTGGTCATCGATGTGGACGACGTCCAGGAGTTGGACAATATTGGGGTCATGCATTTCCTTGAGGAGGATCAGTTCGCGGAGGGTGGTGCTAGGAACACCCTCATCCTCACATCTCAGCTGGATCTTCTTCAGAGCAACGACTTGACTTGTACGACCAATCTTACGGGCTTTGTAGACGGTACCGTAGGCGCCTAGGGCGTAAGTTGGAATGGTGTCAGTGTCACTAACCCTGTCAGAAACCCATACCTTCTCCGAGTTTTCCGATTTTCCGGTACTTCCCCATTGCAAAGGCGATGGTTGATTCCGTTCTGCTGTCAATCGCGTTCTGATGAGCGAGCAAGCGGGGCAGGAAAGACGAAAGACGAAAGTCAGATAACGTGGATGAATAGCAGGAGAAGAATGATAGGCACGGAAGACTATGAGGGTCAAAAGGCCAATGTGACTGTGACTGGCATGCAAATCGGACGTCGACACATAAGTCACCCATGAAGAGACCAATTTGATTATGATCTCGCCACCAACCAAAACTGGATTCGACTTGGTTGAACTCCGAACTAGCCCAGAAATAGCATCGTCTATAGGAGGGGGCCTCAGCGTTGACCACAGATTCACTCATCGTACCTGGAAGATATGATCCTCGTAGGCATATTGAATGAAGTATGGAAATTATTAGGAAACAATGAGGCGAACAATTGTTCCACCCGAGACTCTGCAAAGGGATTGCATGAGGTGTTCAAAGATCATATGGACTGTCTTCGCGTTGAGCCCCCACCAGGGATATAATTGAACCGCACGATCCACGGGTTTCCGGTACCGATGCACCTATGGGCTATCCGTCTCCTGTACAATGTTCTGTCGACGAAGCTCAGCGCCTGGGGCCTTCGTGTCTACAACTGGATGACCTGACCGCATCGAACATGAGTGCCAGATTTGCCGTGACTAGTCGCGCAAACAAATCAAGGTTTCCCTGGCTATTGCCTTTCGAGCCAGACTTTATTTTTTCCGATGATAGCTCTTCTACCGACAGGCTCTTTAGTCCCCCTATGATTATTCTCTCTCGAGCTAGCGACCCAGACTCTGCGGATTATAAAACGTCCTTGCAATACAGAACTGTAGGGGCTGCAGGTGAGCACGAATCAGGCAGAACCACCTAATAGCCTGCCGCAAATCTTCTTTTATCGGACTGCATCAGTCGAACGGTTCGCTCGGATTAGGAAATTCTGAGGCGGCCGGTTCCAATGGAACAGTCATATATAGCCCGAGTCGGTTAGATATACATATTGAAAATGTCCATACACCTTGAGAAAACTGGGGTCAAAGTAGCAAATGTACCGAGGCATGCCTCAAAAGTACAGCAGAACTCAAGGCCAATGTTCATCCGCTTCCTGGGTTTTTAGAATAGAAGCAGTCATGAGGCTATATCAAGGCATGGATGGTGTTAACTATTATGGCTGCTCCACAACGACATGCAAATTAGTCTGTCTTAGTGGGTGGTCCGGAGTGCTACCTGCATTTCTTCCTTTTTGGTTGGGAATGGGGGCGTTGCTCCTGGCCAATCTTCTAACATGCTACAGCTTATAAATATATTGAAAGCACGTTACTTTCCAACATAGCATGCGACGAACTTTTGGAGACTAGTACAACATCCAATCATGGCCCTTGCTGTTTACTGCAGGTGCGTAGACAAGCAAGCCCAAGAGCCATATACTGTGCCCAGGCAAATATCATGGTCAACGCTGCAGAGATACCCGTACTGCATGTTAAGCACGATGTATCAAAAATTCGAAGGCAGTGCGGAGACGCCCCAAAGTGAACAATAGTCAGAAAAAATAGTGCGTTTCGACGGACCCTCCATTGTGAGCTAGGGTTGTCTGTGGAAATCCATCGAATGCTCCAGCGGAGACTCCTGGAGCGTGTCTAGTTTTGGCGGAGTTGCATGCCGGGGCGATGTCACAGATCTGCACCTTCCGGTGCTGTAGAATTGGCGGAGGAAATCCTGGAATGATAATGCTTTCGGGAATGGAGACGACTGTGTTGAAGACGAGCTGGTTGGTGATTGACCTGGTGAATTCGACTCATGTCTTGAGGCGGGTCTAGTCGCTTGACCTTGAGCGACGAGGGTGAGCCTCGGACTCATGGTTGCAGCTTCAAGTTGGAGTCGGGAATCTGACTGGAAATTAGACGGGGTCACAGAACGATCGGTGACGGGGAGCGGTCTTATATGTATACTGGACTTGTGCTCAAAGGCTACCGCCGAGTGGTTGGTACGCCTTCCTCGAATGATGGACCTATAGCGCAATTCATGTGTCTTCGTTGGAAACGTGCCTGATCGCGTAATGTAAGAATCACTGGAGACACTATCTGTCGTTTCCTGCGAGACCTGTTTGGGATATATTACTTCCCCATCTCAGGGTTGGAGTATCAGCAGGCTATGTAGCTCAAATAGTAGCGTGACCAGCAGACAAGGGCATGTTGGATCATTCGGTCATTGATTATCGAATGATCGGGTAATCGAGGGCCAAGCAGTGCGTCAGCTGAGCGAGTCTTGCGGAAAAACTCCAATTTGGTTGTTGCACCGACCACTGGCGCAGGAGTTGGGTTATTCTATCCTTTTTTTTTTTTTTTTTTTTTTTTTTTTTTTGATATAGCTCCGTCAAGCTCCTTGAAATGTTAAGATATTGGCCCCGCAGCGCTTCGCTTTGGATCCCATGGAGTGTACAACGGAGATCGTACGAACTTCCTACGCAATGGCCAAATACTTCAGAGCAAATTCCTATCATCTGAATGAATCTCCTTCGAGCAAGAGCTTGTTCACTAGAAACCAGATGGTCAACTCGAGTGCCCATTTGCAACAAGCGAAGAGGCGTTGACAGGACGGCGAATACTGAATGATAGTGAGGGTATTCCACACGCAATTCAAATAATCATTAGTACAGCTCAAAGGCTTGGTCGCGATAAAGGTATTCTTTTTTCTTATTAGTGGATCTTGAAACGTAACTACCTGTGCTGGGAAAGCGCACTCGTGTCTCAGCATTAGCATAAGATGGTATGAAAGGCGTCGGAAAAACTGTTTAATTCCCTTGCTGCTGTGTCACCTTTGCTGATTCGTTCCACGCAGTGGATGCCATGCGTACTTACGGTGGATAAGTGGTGAACAATGTATCTAATGATTTGCTTAACTAGAGGCGAATGGATTCCAAGACATCTGCCAGCCTTGATTCCAGAGCTTTTGGAGCGCACTAACCATACGCAGTCATTCATTCCAGATGTGGCCGGAAGCAATTGTCACAATGTTCAAGGTTTAGACCAACCATCAAGTTCTCCAAACCACCGCGGCCGGTAGATCTCATCGCCAATAATCATCTTTCGCCTCCTGCTGTCAACAACCAGACTCGTGTGAAACCCACGAATCTTAATCCACAAGGACTGTACAGACTGTGCGTAGACAAAACTACCATCGGGGGCAATGTTAAAACTCTTGAGGTCCGACTGGGGCAGCTCCTCCCATTTCCCGTTACCAGCATACCCATGGCGATCACCGGTTGTGACTTCCAACCCTGGTAGATATTTATGGGTGACGTTCTCATAATGCTCTGTGAGTTGACCCGCTTCGGTATCGAACGCATGCAGACCGCGGTCTTCTGATACAAGGAATTTCCGTTGGCCTGGGAGAGGTACTAGATCATGCAATCCAGCCCACCAGGGATATCCCATACCTCATTCAGCTTCGATTAGATATGCCTTGAGTAGTTTATAGATGTAGCGATCGTCCTTCAAAAGTAGACCCGTTCTAAACTCCCAGGTATCCCACAATAGTCCCAAAAGCAGGGGCTTGATCGGTGCCGTCCGCTGCGGCATCCATGCCAGTAGCCCATAGCATTTGTCCTTGTTCATCCCAGACCAAGCGATGTATAGCACGTAGGCCGGTCATATTTTGAAGAATTAGAGGGTTTGCAAAAAGGGCGTTGGCGGCGCGGGCGTTATAGACAAGACTACCATCCCAGGCTCGCTGACCAGTGGTACCCACAGCAAGTAGATTACTCGGTAGGGGCTCAGGAGTGTGCGAATACCATAGAACGTCGTTTCTTTTGCAAAGTGCAAACGTAGTAAGCTTGTCGGTGGCTGGATTGTCGGGGGCCCGGGATGGTTGATAACGAGGGCAAGGTCACTACAGTATAGATGGCATCAACACTAGTTCCGTTATTCATATATTTGAGCTCGGTCGCATCGTTGGCGTGCGCATAGGGACATTTGTGAATATCGTCTGGCAGAGGTTGCGTAACATTGTCGCGTCGGAATCTCCAGTTCACGACTCCGTCGCGATCATGAATCTTCAAGACGGGTGGGTGGGTGGCCATACACGCCGGTGATGATCTGTTGCCACGGTCACTTCTCCGGCGGTAGATCTTTTGGTGGTTGGATGGGAGGAATATAGTCGGCAAGGGGCTCGAAGAGGAAGGGAAGCCATCCCAGGAATCCTGACTTGAAGCACTGCTTTAGAGAGTTAGATCCCTCGGATTTCAAGGTCCAAACAGAGTTGGCTTCAGGTAAATTCTGCCTTCCGTACACCATGTCGACAAAGCATCGGTACTCACGTAAATCAAGATACAGGACGTTCCTTTTCGGAAAGGTCACCTTGTGTTGCGCAATTGGGGTCGAAAGCAAGGCATTCTGATGTCAAACATGCCACCGCTTTTGACGTCTAAGCTCTACACCCAGGGCCGCTCCGCTATCAATCTAGCCATCTCTCTCCTCAAGGTCTGTCTCGGGTAGGTGAGCCATGTGCGAAAATACCTGACCATTGACCTCTGAATTGACGGCACCTCCTAAGTGGCGCAGTACAGTGGCAATCATTATTGCCTTCCCATGTCAGAGACATAGAGACGCTCTCTCAAACCATAATCACATGATACGCTATTCTTGATGTGATTGTTCCCGTTTTTAAAGAGTCGAGAGTCGTCCGAGGTTGGATTGTATAATACGAAACAGGTAAGAAGCCATCATGAGTTACCTACTCATGTATAGTTACGGCTCTAAAAATAAACTACGCCTGCCCCATCCAGTTCCCATGAACTTGGGACCAAACTGTAGGCAGCATCCGAAAGAATCCTACATTTATCAACCAAAACACATGTAATTAGCCTTGCTTTATCCTTCTCTTTGATGTGATTTTCAAGTGAACATGGGCCATCTGCCGCTGCGCTGATGGGTTGTATTCGATCTGAACATTTTGGCACTTTGTGGCATAAGTTGTTAAAACTTCATTCTCTAAATTGTCGTGGAGCGTTCCCCGAAGACTTTTGTTCCGACAGCTACTCTCGAGTCGTGTGTTGCTTTGAGGGCTCTCCTTTTGCTATGCAGTGACAGGCTTGTAAATAATATATGATAGATCATCAAACAATGATGCCAGGGAAGCTTAAGACCCCTATTGTGAATGAGGGCTCCCATTCTCCCAGGGTCCATTTCAGACCTCGCGGATTGGTAGCTCGCGGTCGAAATTTCAAGTTGGAAGATACGCGCGGAGTGTGGGCTTGAAATTGTTCAATAGATGTGCTGCTTCCCGGTCGGCGCTGATTTCTCGTTCTATTTCCTTGGCATCATTCATCTCAAAGCATAGAAAGAACCCGAAGTCGCAGAATGATAGGCAATGGTGGAGATAACGAAAGACACCTTACTGTCGAGCCTTGCCTATCAACTTAAGCTTAGATGGTACCCAGGAAAACGCCAGGCTCTTTACAACGAAACAAATGCGAGGTGCAGATGAGAGTTCTTGTGCCAACGGTAGCCTTGAACCTTCCAGCCCTCCAGGCTTCTACAGTGGCGTTTCCTTAATCTAAGTCACACCTTTCGCCGTCTAATTGAAGCCACCCAACACGCTACCATGTCGGTGATTTTGACGAATTTTGGCCTATTCGCGACCGTTCACGCGGTGCCTATATGCCTGGGGTACAGAGTGGTGTTCACGCTCGACGCTATCTTCTCCTCTCACCAATATAGGTTTGGGCTGGGCCTTTCTCATAACCGTCCCATGTTTGGAAGACACCTCATCGAGCTCTCAAACACAGAGAGCCATCTTGTCTTGGCTGCGTCATCCCAATGCAAATATTCAGAATGGGTTTCTTCGCAGCGTGTGACTATCACAGTACGTGAATAGAGGGGGTCTACGCTTCTAAAATCTCACCGTCTCTGGCACATTGGAATTGACTCAACTTTGGCGGGCTGGTGAGGATATCCAGAAATGCCTCCCCTGTCTGTGACATCCGTACAACGCAACTAACTAGCGGCAATCGAGAACTGTATTAGGCCAAAAGTAGAAGTATCTCCTCGGATACCATCTTTGGACGGTCCGTGTGGTTGTCAGGCAAACGCCGATGCGTGCACAGCGCTCACTCCTTACAACCATCATGTCTACGGGGACTTACAAACTCGAGGGCAACGTTTAGGCACTTCCAATACCTTTCCTTCCCTACACACTCCTGGCATAGAATGTCTATCTTGATGGCATTCCCCGACAATGGGGTTCCGTATGTTGTGGTTACAAGTCCTGATCCTGAACGCCTGGTTTTGGAGATTGTTTGCCCTCGGCCCAGGCCATGTATCGCGTGCGCAATCAAAGAAAGGGAGCCTACAGAGTCTTCACGTCTCTTTGGAGATTGCCGAAGAAGATGGGCCGCACGTAGAATAGCAAGAGGCTCCTGGCTCTCTCGCTTTGGGCCATGGGTGCGACACTTGTACTAGATGACGAAAACCCACAGAGCGACCGGATAGAGATTACGGTGCATTGGGTGATACGTACAGTACTTGATCTGTGCCCGTGTCTGAAAGACATAAACAAGATCCTGAGCCAAATCCTTAGACTAGCCAGCAATTTGAAGACTCATGACATGCGCTGCAGTTTACCTAAATCCTGGTTTGCGATGCGAGGCCAGTTGTGTACATCTACACTTCCACCTCCCTATTGCACAGAACAACTTTGACTAGTGTTTAAATTTATCAAATAGGATTTATCTCCAGTATCACTCTTCAAAGCCGCTGCTTAATCAAATCTTGGTTTTCCGACGTGGGCAAGTTTACAAATTCAGCCAACTGGCCAGTTCTGTACATTCACATCTCCATCTCCCTACTGCAAAACAACCTTGAATAGTGTTTGACTCTATATGAAAAGGATCTCTTCTCAGTATCACACTTCAAAGCCGCAATTTATTAAAATCCTGGTTTCGGAGGCGGGGTTTGCAAGCCCAACCAACTGGCCAGTTTCGTACACTCACGCGCTCATCTCCCAATTTCACGAAATGGCTAAAAGTGCAGGTAAACATTTTTTTTTTTTTTTCAAGCAAAAATTACCTTCTGTTCTTGTTCTATAGATATCTACGCTTTCTGCAGGATTCTTTGAAGTAAAAATGCTTCTCACTCCGTGCAGCCCCGGGGCTGGCATAATGTGAGCCAAGGCACTCTCAATACATCTCCCTGAACTTCAAGTCTATCGACTTTACCTCCTGCCTTGTACGTTATTGTACCATGCAGACTCTAGTACTTATAGAATTCGTACCGATGAAGCAGTCCCAATTGTGTGAAACTTTGCCGATTGCGCACTAACTTAGGCTTTATTAATGTAACTCAAAGGTAGAGCAAGTCTGGGGGGCAGTGAAAATAGACAAATCCACTCTAATTGCCATAGCGAATGAGCTCCATGTCTGTCAAGCTCTTGGACGGTAAACGAACCGAAGAGTACTGTACATACAGATGAGATAAAAAAACTTGCAAGTGTCCATATGTATCTAGACAGCCTGTCGCTGATTTGGAACTCCCTTTGAGCTAGCCACTTCAAATGTGGCGGGTGAACGCGTATAATCACTTGGGTATAAGGTGTATTGTGGACCGTATTGCGGTGCGAAATCCTATCCCGCAGGGCCACAAGGCCGTCACGCCCCGACAAATGCGATATATTGTCCTCGTGAAAAGTATCGACTCGTCCCCAGATCGGCCGCGGTGGAAAATGAAAAGGGGAGAACCCAGTAATATAAAGCTCCACCCACGCCATCCAGAATACACCTAACTGCTCCCTTATATACTCAACGATATCTGTTATCCCCGTCGAGACACCCATGACATTTGGCCCTCTCATTTGAATACCGGAGATGTTGGGGAAGTGGCCACTAGAATAAAATGCTTTACTGAGCGTAAGCGGTATGGGATTATTCAATGGGTCCGACCACGTACACTAGGAAGGGGCTCTCTCTCGGCTCCTTCCCCACAGCTCTGAACCTGTTTCGGGATATACGACGGTATCTCTCCAACAGATTCCCCATGAGTTGGTTACGTTCTGACTATTTTTGTTTCGACTGGCTCATTTTTGATTATCGACCGCTGAGTGGGGCCTGGCGAGGACGCAGGATCGACTTGTGACCGGCTGGTGAAGATGTCATTTCGTTTCTCCAGCATGCCTCGGAATTCTCACTTGAGAAATCGAGAGCAGTGGAAATGGGCTCGTGGCTATTTGGATTGTTTGGACGGCGTCTGGGGCTTGCCCGTTTCTCGTCCTTCAATGAGGACCTTTACGCACAAGTATATACAGACATACCCAAGGAGCCATAATAGCAGGAAATTTTTCGAGCTTCATGGGGAATCATCACATGTTTAGATAAGTTACACCTTTCCAAGCCGCTGACAGTAATCTCCCGAAATACTTTGATAATGTTGATTGAGATCGCGGAAGATACCTATGGCACATGTTCAATGAAGCCCCCCAGATAACGTACGATTTGTCAACCCCTGCGAGCGCTCGCCTAGCCCTAATATGTACTCTGATCACCGGTGACCCCCCGTGTGCCACCTGGCCGCGTGGTCCACCATCACAACATGCTCACACAATACTCTGGGGTCCTAGCCCAAATCCGATCGAACAAAACTCAGCTCCTAGCGCCGTGTGAGAAAAAGGTCCACTTCGTTTCGGGCCACATTCGGGTCACATGGCAACCTCGTCATTTGGATGCATGTTAGGCCCACATTAGACGAGCTGAGAAGGAAGTCAGCAGATAACATCATGCACTTGTACTGAGAATCATGAGGGCTTTGAAGGTCAAATTCCATTGAGCCTGCCACACCTGCGCAATCGACACGTCGGCCACCGTTATGCAAATGTTACACAAGGTGCTTCCGATCTAGATGCCCGATCTTTCGCCAAAATTGACTCATAATGATGGGGCCTCACCACGAGTATGTTACCGATGACAGATAAAATCGCAAGCCCACATCTGTCTGAGATATGTGAAAAGCGTATCATTCTTCTATCCATTTACTGTCATCGAGCTCATTTCATAATGAGGGCTTACGGGCACCCTATTGTCTTGAGCCCTCTATGCACACCAACCGAATGGCTCACCGCCAGAGGTCACGGCAACACGAGCCCCGACAGTTCTTCTGAAGGACGGTAAACTACAATGGGTATCTGGTTGACCTTTGGGTTAAAAAGACTTCTTTAGCCTCACCTCATAGAACGTCTAGGCGACCCAAATAATTAGCCCCCTAACGTAGAGGACCGACGGGCGCATTGTCGTCCCTTCTTTCTCGCCCTAAAAGTGGACTCCATTGACCAAGGACGTTGCAGTCGCACTGGGCAACCAGGCTAAAGAGTTCCACATTTTACGTATTTTGGCCATGAATGTATTGCATTGGAGTTATGATGAATAAGATATCAGAATTCGCTGACACGAGAACCTAAACTCTTTTCTCGTTGCCTGGCATGATTGCAAGAATTGTCCCGGTGAAGTGCGCTACAATGGGTCATATCAGACTGTTTGTCCAGTCTGGAAAGTTCAAACGATAGGGACTGTGACCGTCCTAGCATTCAAACTTCTTGGGTTCCGCGAACCTGGCCTCGGCTAACACGAAATCCGCACTCTGTATATTATGGTGAATTGGCCAACCAATGTGATTGTACATGAACTTGAGCAGCACTTCATCGCGGTCGTTGTGGTGTGCAAGTCAAGATAGAAAGCAATGTCCTGGACTTGAGTAAACAATTGATAAAAGACACTCAATATGGCGCGTACAGGCACGATTTTAATTTATTCGTGTTATTTATACCTACTTTTTTTACTTTATTGAATAATGATTTATCATCTAATAAATAATATGATCATTTATAATGCTTAATTTGAATAGATATATATATATATATATATGTATGTAATATATATATTCTAAAACCAGATATGCTTTTATCATCCATTTTCTGTTTATCATTATCTAACCCATTGCCCCATAGACATGATACAACTATTCTGTATTCAAGGGTAGGTACTATAATCTTGTTTCACTGTCTGATTTATAACGATTTATCTATACCATATGTGAATTATTGCACAGGGTGATCTGGTGGTTTATCTTAACATTTCAATTATAAAATTTATGATAGGTTTATTGATACTGAATGTAGATGACTTCTAGCTTAGAGATTAGTATCTAGTGAATAATTAAGTTTAAGCAAATCATTATTTACAAAAGTACAATTTGTTAATATATTCATGAAAAGAAAGAGGTATAAAATCCCAAGGTAGACCACAGCAGGTGCCGCTGTTGCAGTGCATGACCGGAATTTTAATTGCTAGAAAAAAAGCTGGATGAGGCACCTACGTAAAAATAGACGAGGGTTTACATCCATACTATGTACTGGGAGCTCGTATATGCGAAAGGGAAATCTTTGCGATGGTGCTTGGGTTCGGATAGACGAGCTTAAAGATGGCTAAAGCACATGTGCAGCGTCGGACATTCACGTGTTGCTTTTCCTTTTTCTGAGTTCTTTCCCAGGACCAAGGCGCAGCGGCTGTACCGGTTCTTACAGGGCCTAAAGACAGCGGGCAGCACTTTGTAGAGCGGTCAGATATAGTTCCTACGTGGCCCTCGAGCCGAGAAGTGGTGCGCCTGGCATACAGTTTTGTATATGCGTGAGTCGTACTTCGCCAGGGTAGCATGCCTGCTTCAGGGCCTCCAGGCCGTTTGCTTGTACTTCAAACGGACGCTTTATTTGCCGGCGAGAATGCCAATGGCCAATGGGGTAGTACACAAGCCTGTCAGCATGGGCACAGGAATGGTTAGCAGGTGACGCATCGAAAGAAATCCACCTCTACACCCGAATCTTCATGGATGAATTGCAAATAGTTCTCCAACGCCATTCACTAGGGCTTCCAATGAGCCAGGTGCGTTTGGATACCTCTATCTCTCGTACCGGGCGCGTCGCGGAAGGATAAAGTAAAATCTCGACCGATAAGGAGCTGTGCGGGTGTTTCTGCTGTGACACTCAAAATGGCAGAGACATATTTTGCCACCAGCTTCGCATTCCTTGCAGCGATGTGCGACAATTGATGTTTCCGTTGTTTCTCCGTATCCTGCTTACTGGCCGTGTATCCCTTGCCCAGAAATTGTACATGACAGCTTCTCATTTCTTCCAGCGACTGGCAAAGAAGCGCGAATCGACGGTCCCAAAGCTGGATGTTTATCAAGTAAAGGTAAACGATCGCATCCGCGGCAATATCATGATATGAGCCTGTGAACAGCGGCCGCGTGCAGGGCCTCGACGCACTTCGTTAATTCTTGTTGCTCTACTTGATCCATCTGACCACCACAGGTCTAAAAACATACTTCTGAAGAATCCGGTCGGAGTCTCATATCTGGCGCGGCGAAACTAGGAGAATGATGAACGAAAGAAGCGCGCGGGGGGCAAGGATGAGGCACCCCCGAAGTGGCATGCTGCCTTTGCTGACTGTAATCATTCCATTTTCCTGGATTGCTGCGAGGTGGCTACGGTCACATTCCCTTCCACGATGATCGAGAGAGTCATATTGGATTATGTCCCTTTTGTTCCATCAAATATAGTCCTCGGTGTGAAGTAATGGCCGAATATACTGTGTCACGAGGAGATCTGGTCGGTTGTCAAGCAGATACTCTTGAAGGCGTAGATTTAGAATGTCTACATGGCTGACGTGGAACAGGTCCTGACCGGAATATCATCACGAGGCCTGCAGTATACCAAGCTCGATCTAGGAAACATTCTAATAGCAAACAGTGGCGTAGTAAAAATTAGTACGCTACTGGGACCAACATTTGACAAGTTCTATGCTCATGCTAGACCAGGGGCATCCATCATATCGGGCAATAGAATTCTCAAGGCTGGGCCAGGACAGATGAAGCACTGCTCTACCTCAGTGTGAGCTTGATTGGAGAGTCCAAGGGGTCATGCTTCCGCTGCAGCGATACGTCCTGTGAGGGTGATGGTTATCATGGATGCTACGAGGGCACATCGATGCTTGCTCGTTTGGATTCTTTTGCGGCAGCGTTGGATGTCACCCGCGTTGGATGTCACCCGCTATCTCGCCGAGAAGCCCTCTGATGTCCAGAGTGGTATCATAGGAGAAGACATGTTGAAGGCCCGACATGCACGTACCAATACGACCTGGGTTGACAACCGCTTCTAACACAATCCTGGTTGGGCTTTATTGGCCCAGCGAACATTGTAAAACTAGGCACTATCGCTAAATTCGCTTCTGGAAAGGCCTATCGTGAGGTGAGTCCTAAGTCATGGCCCACCGATAGTAATGCAACTATGATCTCAATTCCGCTGCGAGACAGCGAGGAAAAGAGGCCAAGGGGATGGCGCAGGCTCATCCAAGATGGAAACAACGTTCGGCGTCCGCAAACATATAACAAACATAAGCCAGCCGGAGCCAGAACCGAGTTCGTAAAGCCACTTCGTCGCGCATACCTACAAATAGAATTTCGGCTCAGACCAGGCCTTTTCCACAACTATTGGCAGGCCCGGCTAGGTTGCACTCTTCATGAAGGATAATTACTGGTTTGAGACTCTGCACCTTTCTACATGCATAAACCAATTGGGGATTTTTTTTTTTTTTGTTTGTAGCCTATTAATTGTGCTTGCGTAGCATTTTGATAAACCCTCGTCTGCCGTAGCCTCGGTCTAAATATAAGACCCCTCATTAGCTGCCGCCCTAGCTGGACTTGTCAAAGGGGGCGCTGAAGAGCAATTCTCCCCCTCGGCTCAAATTTTGCCCTAATGGCCTTGATGCTCCAGACCACCGTTACAACGATGGCAAAGCGTCCGAGCGGTACTTCCGCGGAAAGCTGCTAAAAGCGACGATGGTCTGGCGGATGTCCTATCCTGTTGGGGGTTATGAACTTCTGCCAGAGGCTCAGATGGACACGCCCAGGATGAACGATAGAGTGGGCCCTGCTGATACTTGCCAGCGTGATTGATCACGACTGGTTGCTTGAAGCGGTACAGACAGAAAGTCGTGACATTATTGACCTTAGACCCAACGGCATTTTTAATAGGTTGAATAATGGGGTGAACAAGTCAAGCTTCGACCCTCATCCCTGGCCAAAGGAACCCCCGCGATGGCGATGGACCGCGAGATTCACGAGCGGACCCCAGGCCAACCGATATAGCGCCGCCGGAAAATGCTGGGTTCGTACCCGACTCTCGGCATGGTATTATTCTGCCTGCGCTCTTGGACTTTGACCTGGTCACCCAACCCGTCAACTCTCACGGTAGAACATCAGGCTTCATCAATTGAAGTAGACAACATTGGTGATTTGGGTACGAATATATTCTGCCAGCTAGGACGTCCAGAGCAACGTCATCATACTTGGCCAACAGCTCTTGTGTTAGGAAGCTACGAGACCCCTGCGTAACTTGTAAGCATGCTTCCAGAGCAACAGTCAGAGGGAACTACTCTGCAGAAGTAGAAGGCACATGTTGTATTAGGTTACCCCCAAAGGATAATGACTCGGTCCAACCGTGCGACAAAAGAATCTCAGGCAAGGCTTGTCAAAAATCAGTGTGCTCCAATAATGGCGTCTAGTGGCCGTGATCGGTTCCCGTCATTGCCTTTAATTGGGTTGCTTCCATGCTCGGTAGTAGAAGCTGCGGCGGAGTCAAAGTGGCGCACTGGTCTGAAATGGAGTGCTTTGATTTAATTCGGGGTTTTACGGAGGACAGAGGACGCAAGTATAGTCTTCATTTGCTTGCCTCCATGGCGCTCAAGTAAACAGCCATGTCCAGTTCCATCCGGTATGTGGGATTTAAAAGCTTGAGCACTAGAACGTGTTTGATTACTAGCAGCCAGTGTTGACAGAGAACATGGGAGATATGAAAGCCCGCCATACCTGCTAGGTTTTGTCTATATTGAAGACTTAAAAAGTCACTGGAATTTCACAATGCCCTTGTTCACGGATTAAAGCGATGTTGAGGAAATTGGTGCAACAGGACTTCACTTATCTACATAAGCAAAACGGGTTGGTTGAATGCAAGAGATCAAAGGGAATAGGGCCTTAAAAATCCGACTTAACTACATGACCTGGAAAGACCTTGTGCCCCTTTGTATTTGCTTTAACAACCGCTTTACAGTGCCAAGACGTACATTATTATCTTTCCTTTTCCTCTTGCTCTCCTGCTTCTCCTCTCCTCCACCTCTTCTTCTTCAACTGGAGTCACCGGCAGCAAAATCGCGCCCGATTGTCATGACCATTTTGCTATGTACAGAGAGCGCTGCTAGCCTGTTCTACCGGAGCAGGAGCCCAGGATCAATATAACCCATGCACTTTGGTTCCTCATGCAACTCAAGCCAAAGCTTGTTTGAGACATTGTCTTGACCGCCGCCACTTTCCAAGTCGCCATACTCGTACGGAATATTACCCAGCCAAGGGTCAGAGGTATTTTCCGACGCCACCGGCGAGCTATGCGTAATTATTTCAGTTACCGCAGGCCACTGTAGGCCACCAGATTGCGCCAAATGCGGTTCTGGTTGTTCAAGAACTAGCGAAATGGTGTCCACGATATTGCTTGGGCTGCTTTGACCGGATGCAAAGCCACTGCGTCTTTCAGTATCTGGAGTGATTGGGGACGGTGATGTCCGCTTTATGGGCAGTTGGAGCGTCTTGTTGGCGGGATCGCCGATGCTGGCGTGTATTGTAGAGTGCTGATGTCGCTCAGTGTTTGCCAGGTCTTGGAAGATGCAACGGATGATCGTACTTTCATTCCGCCACCCTAGACCAATAGCCTTAGAGATGGCCTTGCCGTCGTTGCGGTGGTTGCTTTGCCGCAAATATTCCTTGACAAGCCCATTGTAGGCAAACCGGTAGAGCATGAATGCATTCATCGGGCGCGTGATCTTCCCTTTCTTCCTGGCTTCTTCCATGCGATCGGCGCAAGATCGATGTACCCAGCTGTGCATGTCTCTCACTGGAACGCTCACCTCATCGCTCAGGATGTCGCTCAGTGGTCGACAAAGAATACTTCTGACAATCGGAGGAGCAAGCTCGTTGGGTGACTGAGGTTTCTGCACTATTTTGTGGCGCGCCATCGAGGCTATGCCTATGTTTCTGGTCAGTAAGCAAGGTGAAGGAAGAGGACACTGAACCGATCTGTTCATGAAAGGGGCTGTGAAATGAGGTTCTAACTGGTGCCAAACTGATGATTTCTGACAAAAGAAAATGGGTGAATTTGTACAGCAATTGTCAGGCTTGACCTAGCCAAAAAAAAAAAAAAAAAAAAAAAAAAAAAAAAAGACCACGTCAAAAAAGCTAGAGAGCGGATAGCAAGGTTAGTAGATCATTTGGGTATTTGAACAAGGTATTTAAAAGGCTAGGCCGTGACCCACTTGAGAAGATAGGTCGTCTCACTACGAGGCACGAGTTTGCCATATCTCACTAGCGTCTGCCCAAGAAGGCGGAGTTTTGAGTCATCTATAAAAAAAGACCAAGCTCAAGTCTTCGTGTCAAGTTTGACTAATATGCGGTAATATCGCCCAATGAGCGGAACGCTCCGCCTCGCCAGATCGTCGCATCGAGCTAAACAATATCTCGAGGATAAGCCGGAATCCTACACGGCCTATTATAATACCCATCATATCCATGCGATGCGGTTTCCGATCTTCGTATTTTGTTTCTGACCTGCAAAATCAGCTTATTTGAATTCTGGATGCCATGGCTGCATAACGTATTCTCGTTAGTATAGTGACCAATGCTCGCTTCGAAATGTTGTGCAATTGGGTGAAGTTGATATCTAGCTACATTATTGTGCGTAGCTTTCGTGCCAACCATCAAGACATTTCTTTCCGTACTCGCGGCAAGTGGATAAGAAGCTCTTAAATATCGATACTCTAAGTCCTCTATGGTATGCGTTCGCCAACAATGCTTATCAATCAGAGACCTCTCTTGTGTAGCGACGGATGCATCTTCTCCAAGGATTGTGCTACCCCTGGAGTCTCCAGTCCTCGCAGATACATATGCGTCGGTGTTTCCGCGATAGAAGACCTATTAGACTTTGTTGATGGGGGAACGTGAGCTGGCAGCTCATTGCATTCACTGCCCACAACGCGGACAGAGCGTACCGCGGGTTGCGGCTCGACCGGGACCCCATCTGCCTCATTTGGTCGAGACCGATCGGACTTGAGACAGAGCAAATGTAGCCAATGACGTCTCCTGGGGCTACAGTGGCATAGACCATGTTGCAAATGACGCTTACGCTTGATAGCCAGCCATATCATGATAACGCAAGCTGCCCCAACCGTAGGGACAGACACACCGACAGCAACAGGCATGATCCAGCCCTTTTTCTGAGGCATGGATGCTCGGACCGCCGTAGTCTTTGGTTGCAGCGGCTTTCCCGATGTGGTATATGGGTACCAGGTTGTGACCGTCTTCGTGTACGGGGTATCAAACAGGGACTTGAGTTGAGGGTCTCCCCACGATTCGGGCGCAGTTCGACTGGCGTTCCCTGTTGTTCTAGTCCCTATCAGCTATCGAAGATCACAGACTCATCAGACAAGATGAATGACCCACGTTCCTCCAATTTTCTGAGACACCACACTTGGTACACGGTATTCCTCGACAGCCTCGGGAGAGTATGTCGTTTGAAATTTCAAATCATTGAGACTGAATGTCTGCAGGATGCCGCCATCGAGACAAATGGACGGATCCTTGTATAGGCCCCCCACCACTAACATGTGGCTCGGTAGGACACCGAAGCATTGATGTCCGCTGCGACCATGACGAGATTTCCCGGTGTAGGCTCTGATCCAGATGAAGGATGGCAAGGAGAGGATGTACACGTCGTCATAAGGGGCAGTGGTGGAATCTTCCCCATTATAGCCGCCGTAGATGTAAATGTTGTGAGAACTGCCATCCAATGCAGAAGCAACAGTGGAGCAGAAGGAGGAACGACCGCCCGAGGGAACATCGCCTGTGGCGTTTTGGAGATACCTTGAGGATGTGACAACAAGTGAGCTTGCATTCGGTTCGGGGAAGTCGACGGGGGTACATACCATGTATCAAGCGCAATATCGTAAATTGGAATAATAGTCATGAAATCCGGGTCGGTCAAGGACTGCGCTGGGTTAACCAAGGTTCCTCTTTGGGCCCGAAGAGCCGGGGCGAGCCTCACATTCAGCTTTTGCTGCGTGGATGAAAGACCGGAGGGATATATCTCTTCTGGGGTTTTCACTCCGCCAATAACTGCTAGAACGCCTTGCTGGGAAACGGGTATCCACACCAGTTGCGGGTTTGCTCGGCTCGCGACATAGTTTGGCAGCGTCAAGTTCCGCCAGATTGGTTGATCGCCATTGGCTGCCATATTGACTGCAATCAGTGTGTTCGCCGATGTGTTTGCTGATGCATCGTCCGAGGTGATAGGACCCCAGTCTCGACCTCGCATGCCACCGAAATAAAAAGCCAGGTCCTCGCTTGGCACCGATACTGGACCCCCATTTGTGACGTAGCGAGTCATATTGCCTGGTAGTGACGAGTTAAAGAATGATCCCTCATCATGATCTGAGCCTGCATCCGAGAATCGATATCCAAGAGCCTCCGTGGCGTTGGGAACATCTTGGCTGTCCGTTGGCCTGGTTAGTCCCCTGGTAGGATACTATCAGAACAAGGCCCGTGAGAAGGGAGCGGAATGATAGTGCCCACCCATAGAGAATGATTTCTCGGTCGTTTCCAAACATTGCGCCATCTTCGAAGTTCGGCTGGGCTACGGCTGGGTTGGGCCCCTTCGAGAAAAGACTAGAGGAGTTGGTCGTTTCAATGTTGAATCGATCAGCAAGTGACAGGCTATAGAACGTGCCCCCAGAGTTACCTAGCCGGAACGATCAGCTTCTGTTCCCCACGGACCGTCGTAGCAGCTGTCGGTTGCTTACCGTCATTTGTTGGTATGCCGTAGGAACCATCGGAGTATCCGCTTGGGAAGGGTCAGTGTTGGGTCACACGGGCGCAGGATGACGGACCTCTGCCACCATAACGAACCGCCGTTCAGTATGATAGTTTGCCGAAGTTGGAAGCCTTTGTCCGATCAACACCGAGCTCGTGCGATTCGTATGCTTCATGTGGTGTGACTTACCACGAAACCCGTTCCAGTTGCACATCGTGGTATTGATTTGGGTCGTCCATGGCGGTGCAGCTATTACAGGGAGAGAAAGAAGTGAACCAACCAGCCACTTCCATGCGAAAGGGGTATGTGGCATTTTTCGAGTCTTTTCCAGAATTGATTAAAGGACGGGGCCCTGGCCAGGGCGATGGCACTTATAGGAAGGGCTGAACAGTATGCTCATAACGTAATGTTACATATTCGGTGATATCAGTTGGCCTTCACGTAAAACAAAGCCAAGCCCCCACTCTCTAAGGCAGCGATTGCTGACATGCGATTCGAATAAGAAGATATCTATCTGCATTGGCAGTGGTTCTTGCAAGCATTGCATTTGGTTCCCGTGCTATCCATCGTGTGGATTTACCCCTGCATTATGCTCACATGGTCCTGCCTGGCCGGATGGAAGAAGGATGGCCATGACCTTCCTCGCTGTGGGTTGAGCCCGACCCGTCAGATCAGCCAAGTGGTGCCGAGATCAATTACGCACGACGCTCCATCTTGACGCAAAGGGTGTGTTTCTCATGATGAATACGGCACAAGGCGTGGGCTGCCCTGTCGGGACCGACCGTACTTTCTATTCAGCCGTACAGCGGTTTCCTTCGCATTCGCATAGTCGCTCGGCAAGAGCTCTGGTGGCTTCCAGATTCGCGAATACCGTCCCCAGTCATGCCGCCGGATTACGTGTCGACGAGGAGGCAAACTCCATTCGCGCGTGGTAGACGTAGCACGTTCAGACTGCACGGGACTCTGCGGTACGACAATGGCAGGTCCGCTGTGTGCCCGCGTCGTTGATGGGCCACGACTCTCCAGGGAGGCCGGGAGAGACGCAACGGAGGCGAGGCTCTGCGGCCCACGGTTTGGTGTTTGTTCCTTCTCCTCGCTTCGATTTGCGAAATCTTGACCATATCGAACACACGGGTTCATAAACTCTGATCTGGGTACTAACGGCAGAGGAATATAACGCACGTCTTCCAGGGGGCAGAAACGCCCGTCCCTGAGCTTGACAGAAAAGGAGGCCTTCAACAGCTGTTTATCAGCCTCTAGGGTAAGTTGAAATTCAAATTCGACTTCCTTCGTCTCAATCCCAAGCGGAAACATTTCTTTGTGGGGAAGCATCCCGGAGAATTTTCCCAGGCGAGACAACCGGGCGAGGATCCGCTCCGTGGCCGGATATGTTATATCGCAGTCCCATTCGATGAGTCTGTTCTTCCGAATGTACTTGCCAAATGTTTTCAAGTTGGCGGGGGTAACGTACATCTCCGTCTCGATGATGAGATCACCTTTATCCGTCGAATCAGGTTGGATTTTTTTCGTAAATCGCAGACAACCGGGTAACTGGTTAGGATCTTGACCCTGCGTACAATCAGCCAAAACACCGACAACGTGCCTTTGTTCGAAACTGCCAACCCACCTCGCGAAGGATCCATCCTATGCCCCTGTGCCACGCTCCAAGCTTCAAAGGCTTCCCATTTCTTGTATAGTCCCCATCGTAGGACAGGCCCAGATGTCGTGTTATAACACACTCTTCAACGATAGGGCTGCGAGCGTAGCACAGCGCTCCATGCGCTATAGCCCCGGGCCTGAAGAAGTGGCAAGGCAGTGTTAGCAGTTTTCCGATGAGCGCAGAGCATGGTGAACCTACTCTGACATTCGCCTGCATATTGCGACACCAGTTTCATCGAGTATTCTCCGAGATAGCTCCTCGAAGAACCACCCATTTTCCCCTACTCCACCGCAGACCACCACAGCATTGACGAGATGCCCAGCAGACATCGCACTCTCGTACAGTTTTTTGGCTAGCCCCACGCCTCCGGCAATCAAAGGCTCGAAGAAGGATTTCATAACATGCCTATATGAGACACAAACAACAACCATGAGCTTGGCTGATAATGAACCCAATTCATGACACAGGAAGGCATTGAAGGCATTGGTGTCTCAAATGGGGACGAGTACTTACGAGGGTAAAGTGATGGGGCGGCCATTTCCATCATGGAGAATGTGACTCGATTGGCCATTAAAGTTGCGTTTGCATCGATCGATTTGGGAAGAGATGTTCAGAGTCCAGTGAACATCGCAATCCAGTGCAGTCCAATCGGGGCATTGTTTCGTGAGCCAGTTGCGTGCAAATTGGTTGATCATTTGTCCTCCACCGGGAAACCCTATTTGACGTTCAGCAATCCAGCCGGCTTGAACTTCGTGGATGAGGGCGCAGACCATGGGTTGGGCAAGCCTGCTTTATCTGATCCGTGCTATCCTCATATACAGCCACGCCGTCCTGGACAAGGGGTTAGAAAGAATACGTCAAGAGGGGGGCTGGTCGAGAAGACCCTACAACAGTGGCGCCACCGAAGTCAATGAATAATTTCGCGCCGCGTGGCAGACCGAGGCTTCTTTTGTATTTGACAAAATAGTAGGCAGCCGCCATGGCCTCCGAAACAGCCCCGGTGACTTCCATTCCGACAGCGGAAGGCTCTTGAAGAAGAAGGAGCCTCAACGACTCACTGCAGCTGACCGGGTATGTGAGATAGCATTTTATCGCGTCAAAGTTGCCACCGTACTTCCGGTGGAGATGTTCTTTGGCTGTCTCCGAGATATGCGAGAGAAGCTTCCGGTATAGGCTGGCAGGGTTGACAGGCCCTATTTGGGGAGCGGATGCTTCAAGCAGCTCACAGGATCTTGCGAGCGAGTGGGCATACGGTTCGAAGCCCATGGCGCCGAGTTTCCAATCCCTGAAGATGTGAAACCCAGAGAACGACAAGCCATCGGGACCGAACACGCAGTGTTGGCCATCTTCAGAGAGGGCTATGGTGGTATCGAGTTCTGTGGTCGTTTTCTTCCTGTCCGCGTCATCGCTCAAACGGAACTCCAAGGGGTAGTCGATCGAATCGGGGGAGTCGGGATTCTCGGAGACGAAGGCTTTGACCGTGGTTGTTCCGATATCGATCGTAATCAACACTTCCTGAGGCGCTTCTTCACTGCGCGCGGGAGCCATCAAGGCGTGAGAAGACCGTGATTGTTAGGTAAAGTGGAGGCGTTGCCAGCCACGAACCGACCCTCTCCCGCCCCCTCCCCTCTCTCCCGGCCCCGAGAGAAACTCAATCCGTGGATGGTCACGTGATGGACATCACTGCACGATTTGTCTCCGTGGGGTTAAGCTCACGTATACGCGACGTGAAGTGATGTGACGCGTCCCACAAAAACGACCAGGCCCTGACCTGGAGCCCTTGAGCTGTGCCAGTCATTATGATGTCATCCACCAATGTGGTTCATGAGATCGAGCCTACTCGCTACAATGTTATCATTTGTAGCGTTACTATGGGCGAATTCATGTGCCTCCCTTGGTAAATATTTGTCCGGTAGCTTATTTGCCGATTTTTCGCATGGACATTCCAACAATCGGTTGTTCGTTACTGTCTGCATGTCAGGCCCACATATGTGAAAACCATATTCAAGACAGCGGGCTGTTCAGAGCTTATTCAGAAACCAACCATCCAGAGTGAACCACACTAGGGCTATGATGGCTAGGTGATGCAAAGGATTGATGTCGAGAGTCGGTGGACACTATTTTCGGAAAAAGGCTAAGCTAGATTTAGACCGGTCCCCAAATCCAATAACCACCATGCTCAAAATTTGGCACACAATGACGTGCCGCGGACGAAGTTATAAAGCCCCGATAACTTCCGGGGTCCAGAATGTGATCAAGGATGGCAGGTGTGGTGCTATTGCAAGCTTCCAAGGGTCAGTGGCGACTGAAGCGAATAAACAGAAGAGGTAGCTATCGAGTCCTCATCGCTTTGGGCCCTCGGTGCAATCCCAAAAGCAGATGTCTCCGCCAACACCGAAGGCAATCGATCATGCGCTTGTCGGAAGTCAGGACAGACAGCCGGGATATGAAGGGCAAGGACATGATAAGCAGGGATCCGAAAGCCAATGACCCGAAAAGTAGGGAATTGCCTACTCCTTCTCTTTTGACTGTCATTTTACAGCAAATTGCTTCATGCGGCCTCCGAGGAGTCTCTCAACTTATACAGCGAGAAGCCCAAAAGGCACTGAATACCAGTATGTGCAATTTGTCGCTTCTTTGACTTGCTCCCAATGCTAATCGTCGTTCAAGATCTATCTCTAGTCGACCATCTCACCCAGCATATCTCAGGCAAAAGGCCTGGCCGACGCGATGACCCAATAATACGCTCGTCTGGCACGTGGCATCACGGCCAAGAAAAAACCACTCTAGAACCGACTTCCTCGTAGGCTATTTGTCTGGGGCCCTCCGGAATTTTTGCGCGGATACACGGCTGCCACTGCCTGCACCGAATACATAGCTGTCCACTGATAAAGTACCAAGGTCTGGCTTGAAACTGAATGTGAAAAGTAGCTTTATTTGAGCCGCAAATGTTCTGTAGGATGGTGAGACGGATATGGGGTTGCATCGCTTATTTGTTGACAAAAAAAAAAAAAGCGTACATAAACGCTGCATGAAAAAAAAAAGAAAAAAAAAAAAAAAAGTAATCTGGGCCATCTGCCGTATGCGTTCTGCCGTTCAATCTCATTCGATTGTAGGCCGATAAAATTGCGTAAAAGTGGACGATCAGTCTCTAGATATCCGCAAACCACGTAAAGATTCTGCGAAGACTTGCCTCATCCTTCGGTGCATCCCATTCGCAACCCCAATCAGACCCTAAGCCCTAAGTCCCAAACCTTAGGGTTTTGGGGCTCTGTCCGCCAGCCGAAGGAGACCTCAGCCGAAATGATTCTGATATACTGAATCGGATATGGAGCAGGAACTTCGCAGGCACTCTTCCGATAACCTGAAGTCTCTCTCCTCATAATCTAAGAATCAACCCTTTATTTGGATTTGCCCTGGCCGATACAACAAGTCGAGCATAACGAGGATGTGGGGCTATGGAACTGTGGGGTGCATGGGCCAGCCACAATGATCTTCGATCTTTTGGAAAACAACCAGTTCGTCCTACATACATTCTCAACTGTAGACCTTGACATAGCCCGGCCAAGTCATTAATTACAGTAATTTATTACACCCTATACTATTCAATATATATAAGAAATATTGATCTCTATATTGCTGTAATCAATACCTTGGCGGACAGGCTTGACGGGCGGCGGGCGGCGGGTCACCCCCGGACCCTGGGCTATGTCAAGGTCTACTCAACTGTACCTCTCATACCTGAGTAGCCCATGAGGCAAACAGCCATTTCTACCTTAAGTAGGAAATCAAGCGGGCGAGACAAATACCCATTGGGCTCGAGATGACAAAGTACCAAAAATGGAGCCGCGGGTGGGAAACCAGCGCATGGTTACCGGGGCTTGAGCTCGGAGACCTTCCGTAGCAAAAGCCACAGCACAGATCTTGGCCATATTGGAGACCCGGTAGTCGCTACGCAGCTAGTGCTCAAAGGGCAGTTCTTGATTCGCTATGGTCGCTCCACAATCGACTCTTACGTTCACAGGTTACATGAGCGGCGGGGCGTAGATCATGCTGTAATCTCGGGGGGTTGGATCCACAAACGGTGTACCTGCTGCAGATCGATCATTTGGGCTAGCCAATCGGACCGCCAGGTAGCTCGTCTAAGCTGCTTCTTCCATGTGTGGTACTAATGTCATGTCATATTGGCCGAAGCCGAGGATCTTGTTTGGAATTAGACGCGCAGGGTTGGGTCTGTGCACAACCCTCGGGCACAGGTGCGAATTGCGCTTCATGGAGAATCCGATATTCCCACCGTGCCCGACCTCGTTGGAACTTCATGTGGAATTAGTACAGTAATGTAAATGCTGCTCTTTGCAATTGTGACTGTCGGGCGACCTTTCACGAAAACATGGTATTCGCACCACAGTTCCTATGCAGGGGAACTCAACAAGATCTCACCTTACAAAGTCCATTTTGTTGCCGCGTCACCTGCTTGTGATCGGGGGCTTGAGCAGGCCCACCTGCAAACGATGATCTGATATCCCCAAAGCAAAACGCGGCGTTTCTTATCCTTGCCTCAGGTTCCTTATACGACAAACGCTGTCAGATATCCGACTACATCCGTGACCCAATTAGAAGGTCGAGGACCTTGGCCCCCACGATTCAAGCGAACCCCTACTGCATATTGACTGCGCCGCCAAGGTTGCGCTCTGGTTTTCCAACTATAAAATGCCCCACCCAAGTCAAGTCATTGGCTCACTTCGTGTCAGGGGTAAGTTTTCCCTATGCTTTCTTATTCTTTCATTGATTTTTCTTTCATTGATTTTTCATTCATTGATTTTTCATTCATTGATTTTTCATTCATTCATTTTTCATTCATTCATTTTTCATTCATTCATTTTTCTTTCACTCCTTTTGTTTTTTTTTTTATTTTTTATTATTTTTTTTACCACCCAGCCCTCAGACGCCCGAGCACATTCTGTCTCTAGTGCCTTCAATAGTAGAGCAAGCGGAGGAGAGCACCGGTAAACTATGGGTAAGATATTGCGGAAAATCAGATGTGCAGACAAAAGTACATGTCATGACATAGCTTGAATTTAGACCCAACCGGTTCGCCACCATATCTCATCAATGGGAGAACTGGAACACAGGCTGTTAGCGGGGCCGGGGCCACGGCTAAACAAAGAAGCAGTCCTGATTTCAGTCCCTGAGCCCCGTAGTAGCAGAATAATCAACGCACTGTTGAGGTTGTCACTGGCTGATTAGCTATATACCCAGAAGAAAAAGAAAAGAAAAAAAAAAAAAAAAAAAAAAAAAAGGAAAAAGGGGTCCCGATTTTGTCGTTTCCATCGTTTGCCTGGTGCGAGGGGTCTGCGACACGGCAGGCCAGGACATTGATCAATTTTCACCAAAGCGATGACGCTATCGTGGTAGGGCAATTGGAAATCGATGCATGCCATCAAGCTTCCGATTATGCGAGACTTCCTTGGTAAGAGCGCGCCTAGAACTCGCCTTATCAAGTTTTGATGTCATCCAGGTCTCCGCCAAACACCCCTGTCCTGGAGCTAATGCAGGATATGCGCCAAATCACTTTTAGCACCGGCCAAATCACACCCTGACTTACCCACTCGGAAGGCTTCGTGTCTGTTGGGACGGGGCCACAAAGTGAATGAGGTACTATAAAGCGACGTTGGCATGGACCAAAATTTTACTTATCACCTCTTTATAACATAAAGCACCGCAATGGCTGGACGACAAACACGGGCAGCGGGAGATGGAAATCAACAGCCGCAGTACGAGCACACTGACAGGCAGACACCAAGGCAAGCCCAACAGCAAGGACTGTCTCCGCCATACACGGCGCGACATTCCACCCAAGAACAGAATGCACGGCCGGGCAGTCCGGATGAACTTATGCCTGACGGGTTTGGTGACATAGATAGCATGTTCCCTCAGGGCCCTATCTATGACACTTCTGCATTTCCGGCCAGACCCATGCTTGACCAAGGCCATCATCCGACCAGCTCCCAGCTCTTTGACGAAGTCCTAGAAGGATTCCTCATCAGCTGTGCCAATGAATTATACGTATGAACCCTCTTCGAACGTACGCTTCTAGACGCTAATATGATATAAGCCTAACATGAGAAAAAGGCTGGAAGATGAACAGGCAAAAGCGACACTGATCGGCCTCTTGTCATCATATTTCCGGGCTGAAATGGGCATGGGCCAGAGCGGTGGAGCCAGTAACAGCAACAGCGTCGGCAATGAGGGTAGTGATTTCCAGACATGAGATAAACCCCTGAAACAGTCAGCAGGGTAAAAGGAAGAAGAGGAAATCAAAGATGTTGGGGGGATAGGGACTGGGGGAGGGCAGCTGCCCACATTTGTTGCTCAGCCTGAAGAAAGTGTGGGTGGGATCAATTCTTTCCACTATAAATGATGTACTTGGCGCCTTTGACGATTTGAACAATTTATACGCTTTCCAGTTCTTTTGATGACTTTCGGTCCCATTGACTTGGACTGGCCTTGAGATTACATGTCCCGAACTCTCTTACCATGCTCGCTTGGTATCATGAATCGGCGCAAAGGAAATGAAGACCGAAGAAGAATGAGACGGAGGATTCCATTGTCCATTCCATTGACCTAAAAGTTGTAAAGCCACTTCCTTTGCAACCCGTCATGACATTCTTGGTTTGATGAGACTGTGGAAGCATTGTTACAGTACCGTTTATCTGTAGGCCTTTTACGGATAACACTTAGAGAGACGGGCGTGCCAGGAGCAGCACCCACTGATGATCCTATTTATCACGCGTCGACCGAGTGAACAGAGAAGCCATAGTGCCCACAGCTACAATATGTAAATATGTAAGCTCCTGAACCTCAAGATGGTAATGAATCACCTGCACGCAACAACCCTCCCCCCCCCCCAGCGTCTCCATCCGGTCCCAACAATAGCCAAAATTCCGCAAAGTAGAATTGGCGAGATAGTGAAAAAGCAGACAGACAAAGAAGACCAAGCAGCTAGAGTCTGGACATGTCATATCGGCTGGTGTCCCCGTAATGGGAGTCAAAGATAAACCGTCAGAATGAGGCTCGGGTAACCTCTAGGGCCATAGAGGTCGCGAGGGAATATACTTGAACACTCTCGTTCAAATGCACCGTATTTTGTACGTTATCGGTCTATCGTACATCAATCTTTCACACTAATAAATCACGCCTGTCAGGTGCCATTTACATACACTGGATTGTCGCGGATATGTACTCTATCATTTTGGAATTTGTTGATTTCAGTATCTGCATGAGTGCACCATGACTTGGCTCCAGAACTCAGTCATCGTATCGTTTGCTTGCTTCTGTATTGTCAGACCCAGCTTTGAAGGAACAACAAAATCTCCCATTCGTAGGTCTACTAGGCATTAGGTCATCCAAGATGAACACGGCTTTCTATATACCTCAAAGCAGCAAGCGAGGACACCTCGATGACTACCTATATTTGTGAATTACCAGAGACACCCAAGGTAGAAATGCTCATGCTCTTTTGTTAGATGATTGAGCGCGCAACAGTGCCTCGATCTTCCTCATTTGCTTCATATCTAGACCCTGGACAGGGCATAATCTTGAAGCTCTCGTAGCCTGTAGCTTCTTCTAAGAATGTGTTCAGATCCAGCATTGTTGCGTCCGTGTTGAAGGAGGCTCATGCCGTTTCGAGATACCGAGGTCCCTTGGCCTCCGCTTCCTCTTGCGAAACTGATATGTCGGGCTAGTTCTTCTACCATGTTGAGTCTTGCTAGCCGAGATCCATACAACTGGGGCTTTGCCATATCTATGGCATCCAATATGCGCTGTTTCCTCTTCAATACTCGTTTGTCTACACTAAAGATCTTCTCAAGTTCACTTATCTCCGATTCCAGATCGCGCACAAGGGAATAAGGATAAGCCAAATGCGCCTCGCTGGCTTTTGTCTCTTCTGCTTGCTGTCGCCCCTTCTTTGGGAGAAACCAGGACCAATTCTCCACCCGGTTGAGCCATTCCGAAGCTTTCAGGTCATATTTCAGGAGTCGGAGGACTTCTTGCTCCGTTTGCACTATAGTAGCAGAATTTCTCGCGCGCATGAGAATATTCACTTGCTGGGAAGTGCCTTGCCGGAAGTTGTTGTGCGATGCTGGCTCGTCGGTGCAGGGCCAATCCCGGTGGAGTACTGGTGATAGAAGCTATCAGCCCGTCTAAGTCTCTTGTTTAGCGTCAGCGCCTTCTCACCTTTCTGGGATAGGAAGAAACAAGTAAGTGCCAGCGCTCGGCATTCATATAGACAGCTATCAGGTTGAGTGCTTGCTAACGATTGCAGAAACCGAGAAAATATATCTGTAGCATATGATAACATGGTGGTCGTCGTTCGATCCATAGCAGGAAGAATTGCCCTAAAGAACTCTCTTCCCTCTCGTTTTTTATACTCCTTTTGCGACCTTGTTGTCTCCGGATGACCTAAGTATTCAAAGAACGTCTCGACGATGTCCTCACACACTGTGAGCTTCATTCAACTCACGTGGGCCGGGGTACTCATACATCTACCATATGATCTCGAAGGTTGTCTAAATCCATGGGGATCTGAGATAGTGTAGCAGACAGTTAGGTTTAGTGCAGACTCTACCTCCCACGGTACAGTAGTTTTGCAGGCTAGTGATATATGGGCACGGAGCCCATTGTCAAATTGCAGTCCTCAAATTAAGCATAGCAAAACCAGTAGGCTATAATAGACCTGGCCAATTGCAGGGCTATCAGTTTGCTACCCAACCGCAAAGTGTCCATATATATCAGCTCTTGTTCGCACATCATTTCAGAATCTCCACGATCGGACTATAAGCGCTGTTGAGATGGCACCGAGTATGTCCAAATGGGTTCCTCCCCCCCCCCCTCCTGATGTCGAAATCCAGGAAGCAAATCGTCCTTTATGGCCCCGGTGCCTAAGTTTAGCCTAGATTGTGCCTGCTGTTATTATCCTGAAGTTTCTTGTGTGGTATACTCTTTACTGGCTACATCCTACGTGGGCATTATTCAAAGATGTTGCGCAAGCTTAACCGTCTATTTGCTCATCTGGAGTGGAAGAAAAGCCCCACTTACATTAATGTAGATACTCCCTCGGTTCAAGGATGGCCCATAATGGCTGAGAATTATGATCGGTATCCTGTGTCGTCTTCCAAGGCATTGACTAACGTTGACGGGTCCATTGGTCCAGAGAAAACATCGAAGGTGGACGCCCAACAACTCAATACGATCCAACACCGGGCCCAACGCCTCGATAAATGGGGTCTGTTTATTGGACTCGTTCCAGTGTGTGTTTTGCTTTGCCTCTTCCACGGAGTGTCATCTTACTAACTGTATCTATAGCATCGGTGATATCGTCAATACTGCCCTTGCGATGAGGCTACTCCATGGTTATAGAACGTTGGGTCCAGACCTCCCTAAGTCGCTATACAACAGAATGGTGGCCAATATAGTCATCAGTCTTATCATTGGCTTTGTTCCTTTTTGCGGAACCTTTCTTGACCGGTTTTTGGTTAGATGTAACAGGCGCAATGCTCTTATACTTGAATCTTTTTTCGAATCGAGTGCGGCCAGAGGACGAGAAATTGAAAAGTAGAACAGCTGAAGGGGCATTTTCTAGGCACACTATTGGATACAAAGGCTTAATGTTACACTACGGTTTAAGTGTCCCTGAAAGTGAATTGTGCGTTTTCTAGATATGAGAATTAGCAGAGTCACGGATTATCAGGGCAATGGATTTTAGACTGTTTTCATTTGAGATCATTATGCACCATATCTACTTTGCTTTATTTTCCCTAGTTAGGTTGGCATTTCGGGCGACTGCCCAACTGCTTGCATAGATACTGGCGACTGAGCCTCACTGGACGCCAAGAGAGCAAAGTTGTGGAATCTTGAAGTTCCAGTATACGCTCGAAGGGCCGTCTCTCAACCTTGTCTTTTAAACATGTCGCATGTATCTCAACACGATATACTGTGTAGTCTCTGTACCTCTAGCACGGCTCTCCTTTACGACGCATGGAGTCCGATCCTCGAAAGAAACGAAAATAAAGAGGAAAAGAAATGGAAGCCCCTTTGATGCCCAGCTATCGGGCACCCTGGATGACAGGGGGAGTACGTTGGGAACTGATTCGCGATAGTCAGTCTGACTCGGAAGCTAGACTCACCCAAATGTTTCGGATAATATCTCATGAGCTCTGTATTTTAGGTGTAGCCTCATTCAAGAACGCTTAAACTTGAACAAGTTCAGTCCCACATTTGGCACTTGGACGACATTCTCACGTAATGTCAACTATGCTAGAACCGGTGGCCATAAAAAAGGAATTAATGTTGTATAATCTATGACGGCTTCGTTTGTCAAAAGAGAGCTTCTAGGTGAACAGCGTAATAATGCCGTGTATTTGCCGTGTACCTGCTCCATTATAATTAGACAAGTCTGTGGAGATTGTATATTTTGCTCAAATGCGAGAAGAACGAAAATGAAGACCCAAGCGCATAGTATAGTCTCTGAATAGCGTAAACTTCAGATGGGTCGATTCTTGCAATTCCTGACATTCATTATTAGAGGTATCTCTACCTAACGGTTTGTGGATTTGAACCCCAAGTACCATGGAAGTTTGACGAAGCCTAGGTTTGAAGAAAAATAATAGACTAGATATTCAAGGCGGGGAGGTAACTTCATGCCGCTAGTTCCACCGCTGCGGTGTACTATGGTCCTACGGCTGTGACCCTTACTCATTGCTAAAGGCGGCTTTATGATGGTTGCGACTACGGAAAATAAGTAACAGTTCGAGTCGACGACAAATGGCGGAACCATGTAGCCATGGAAGAATACAGCACCATTACCAGCCGATTCTTGTTGCACCCAACGCTTTGTCATTGATCCGTATTCTATGGTACTGTAGCCTGCGCAGAACTGCCGTGTTAAAAGCACTAATGTTGGCCTTTGCCTGCCGAAAAGCGCAACATCATTTCTTGTATACAGTCTTGTAAGTGCGCCGCTTCATTCCACTACTATGATGGCAGACCACAAAGGCTTCCCGAGAGGTCTGCTCCACCCCACCTGCAGATCTTGAGATGCTAACCGAGGGCTTCAATAGGATTGGGTCCTTATGAATACCTGTACCCAATGCGTATACAAAACTTGGTTGAATCGCATCGTGGCACATCGTACGTTTTAATGTACATATACGGGACTGAGCGTTTGGGTCTTAAGTGGGTGGTAGAGAGACTTGTCGCTGGTTACTTTGGGCTTCGACGGTCGTTCCAGGCAAGGCTTGGTTGGAAGCACTGTTGGTACTCGTTCCTCTCCTCTGAGCTCATAGACACGGGCGCAAAGACAAGGGGTAGTGTCGGCGGGCATGGTGTTTGACATCTAGGGCACTTGGCATGGTCGGCTTCTTATCTTTTGTAGCGTCCGCACAGAAGGGGGCGGAACGAAACTCATTCGCCGTTATGTCTATTGTAGGAAACATGCATGCTCCGCTGCGTGGGGCAATGTGCAACTAAATTTGACCATGCCGCGGGCCGCGGCCCCGTTGCACCACTATTCGGCGTCTCTGATTTGGTAAGTATGTACCACCGGCAGACTTTTACCATAATTGCTTTGTCCTTAAATATGGCCCAATGCCGACCGCACCCCTATCTGGCACGCCTTGCTGGGAAAGGTGAGCGAGGGTATTTTCCCAAGTGTCCCCTCCACCAAGGCATTTCTGGGTGTATATTCTCGTTGTCGGAAAGTGCAGGCGTCTATTTTGGACCAAAGGCTATTGAAAAGGTGGTATAAAGTAGGTGTCAGTTTGATGTTCAGGGTCAAAACAGTTCTCGAAAATTCTCCGAGTGGTGACTCTCAATGGTCCCTCCCGTCTTACCATGGGCTCTTCTTCCACGCCGTCGTGTGGACAGCCTGAGCACGTTAGTCCAGTTATATGAGCCCTACACAGATAGTGTGCTGTGGAAGTGCCGGCCAGCCAGCGTGACCATCATTCACGGTGACCAGCCACGGGCATACGGTCCTGGTCTCTACACATCATTACACGATGTTCAAGGCGAACAAACCCTTTGCAACTTTTTGCAGCTTTCTGCAGCCTGTAGCCTCGAGTCGCGACCACTCTATGCCAAACAGTCTGTTTCTATGGATGCGGGGCTCACTGCTAAATTCTTTCATAGCCTATGCCTGGAGTTTAGTGACGTTATATGTATCAATGTACGAACCGTGGACGAGGCGGTTCGCATATTTCTACAGTTTAGAGACTGCACCGAGCTTAGAGCCCATACAGAGCCACAGTTGATTATCCTGTTTGAAATGATTCCACCACGGACCACAGTAGATGAGACAGATGTAAAGAAACACCTCGAAGCCTGTTTGGCCAAAAAAGGGAATTCCTCCCAGTGGACTTCGCGACTGTTGCAGCATTTAATCGTGCGATCTCATGGCCCGCAAAGAACCAATGTGCCCGAACTTTTGACGGATATCCAAATGTATACTACCGTAATGAGAAAAAGACGCGAGAAAAGGAGCCACCTATGGACACTTGGAGAGCTCAATTACCTATTTGAGCAGTACCTCATCATCAAAATACCCTTGAGAGCATATCACCAAAGGCTGCCGAGCTTGGTCAACCCAGGGCAGGGGGCTACCTGGTATCCAATGGCGTTTAGAAAGCGGATCTGGCCTGGGAAAGAGATACAAGAACACAACGGCTTATCCAAGTGGTTCCAGGCTATTGACCAAGACAGCGATTTGAACGGCGCTTTGGCCCCGGTCTTTGCGAAGATGTTTCTGGAAGATGCAGATCTCCTCCCGCACGGTATGTGATATCCCACCGAAAGAGTACCGAGAGAGTCTACGCTGGGCTTATCTAACCATGCTGGTGCGTTTAGGTTTCCTTCCCACAGAGCTCTTTGCTAGCATATACGGGCCCTTGTGCAGACAAGCATGGCACCATGCCGTTCGGGATTGCGACTGGATAACTCACAAGGGACTTGGAAGCTTTTTGGATGCCGTAGTCTCGAGAATGGGGCACCAGGTCCCAGATCTCTGGCACAATGCGCAGTTAGGGCTACAGAAAGTCAGAGGAAAGCCGTTGTGCTGCATGTGTCCATGGAACATGCAGCCATGGGCTGTTTTCCCCTGCGGTCACGGCATATGCGAGCGCGATGCTTGGCGTTATTCTGGGATCCAGCCCAATGATGCTGAACATCCGACTCTATCCCATTTTAAAGCCTGCCCGGCATGCCATGCGCCGGTGGACTTGAAGTTACGGCTTCGTCCGTTACAAGCCGGTTATCGAGTCGCTACCTTCGATGGAGGTGGGGTCTTAGGAATAGTCTCGCTCATTGCCCTACGAACTATTACCGAGGGTCTTCCGAGGGCACTATCCGCCCACCACTTTTTTGACCTGATAGTCGGTACAAGTACAGGTATGTTGTCCGGGTCTTGAGTATGGAATGTACGTCCAATTGACGGTCAGAGAAATAGGTTCAATTATAAGCGCTGCGCTTGGTCTTATGCAATGGCCATTATCGTACTGCATCGAGATGTTTTGCTCCACGGCAAACGATGTGTTCATTAAGAAACGTGGAATTGGAGCACTTGTGCGAAGATTGCTTCGTCTCCACAAGACCGGCGCGCGCTATGACATGAATGTGTTTTGTCACGTACTCAGAAATGCTTTCGGGAATCATCTGATGCGACAGAGCATAGTAAAAACGAAACAAGATGTCGTGCGTGTAGCCATCACGTCGGCAACTTTCGATTCCCGACTATGCTTGTTCCGTTCCTATGGTGACGTACTTCGCGAGGCAGAACGCGGAAACTACAAACCAGAGAGCCTTTTCGATCTTCCCCTGTGGCAAGCGTACGTCACCCTTTGGTTTGATGCTTTTGGCCTTGATTTGGTCCAGAACACGGTGTGCTGATCTTCTCTGTTTTCTGCTTAGTATTGCCACCAGCTGCGCTGCCCCCCTGGTCTTTGAGCCGGTAAATGGACTTCAGGATGGGGCATTTGCTGCCAATTGTCCCGCATGGGTGGCAATGATGGAGGTGAACGAGCTTTCTATGCTAGGCAGCCGTCTGCTAGACTTTTCAGTAAGCTTTGGGACTGGTCAATTTCTGAGTCCAGACAGGAGCCGTTCTCGGAGCTGGTTGAAGCATCTCGTTCCAGAATGGGTCTCCAGGCTGGGTTGTGGTTTAGGCAGCGTCGTGGACGCCGACTCTATGTACGGAAAGTTCTCTAGCGCCCTCAATAGGGCCGAAAGAGATGGTAAACATTATCGCGTGGAGCCTTCGTTTAGAACAGTGCCGATTGCCCTCGATGACCCGGCCTTCCTTACAGACCTCACCACGGAGACGGAACTTTACATGAAATCCCCAAATGTCCAGCAAAGTACTCTTCACTTACAGCTGGCAATGCTTGCGTCTTGCTTCTATGCTGCTTTGCTGTCACCGCCAGCGTTTGACTCCAACGTGGGACAATACTGCGCCCGCTTAGCAGTTCTGTCCCGATGGCCTGAAGATGGGGACATACGTCAGTCACTCGGTGAGAAACTAGAACATGCATCTTTTATTGTGGGTACCCTGGCGCGCCCTTACACGATTCCTTTGTACTGCACGATTTACGTGAGCGCTTTGGATGTGCCTGTTGAAATAAGTCTCACCCTTGACGGAATAACATCATGCCCTATTAGCGGGGCCCCGCTGTCTCTGACGCAGCTGATATACCTGCAACATCCGCCATGCTGGTCTCACTTGGCTACACGCAAGCGGGGCGGCTCCCATTTGGCCGATGGTTGCAACAAACGTCGCTGTATTGCCCAACATGCAAGTGGCTGACGCGAAATGGCTTTGGAACCGACTACCTGGTCACGGGATGCCCAGCCATGAAGGACTAAATGCGTTCTGTAATTTTCCGGGATGTAATTGATGCTGCTTGACGTGTTCCAAGGCCCGAGGATTCAATAATTATTTGCTGGCAATGATTCCTTTGATGGAACGAAGTCTTTGTTACGTGTCTGGATGCACTTGCTACCGTCGCCATTTGCCAAAATAATGAATCAACAGTCTATGTCAGGGTCACCGGATAATAGTGTCAAGATCAAGATTGTAGGTCTCATGCTTTCACCTGGTAGTCATAATTCAATCTTCGTGTGAGAGTGGCGCTAGCTTTTGTATATATCTTGATGTTCTAGAGTATCCCGATCTCTGTAGAGGACTTTACACGAAGCGCGGCAGGCAGAAGGTTGACTAAATGGTTGCATAACCAACCCTGGGTACGGAAGACTAGACAATGAATAGCATGCAAGCTCCAAATTAGTTTGGGAAGACATAGTTTTAATGGAAGTATTGAATTTAATATAAACAATTTACAATATTTCTATTTTGATAGTGGAATCTTTACTCAACCTTTGATGTACTATATTCATTGAATCCCTCCTCCTAGCCCCATTTTCTCCGAAAGGTTATGCGGCGCTAGGACGCCGTCCTACGCGGTAAGCTACTGTATCTGTAGCCAGGACCTTGATTCCCAGAGTGAATTTATGTATGGTCGGAGTTCTGTCCTGTGCGCTGAAATATTTGAGCAAATCCACATACGTTTCCTGCCAATATCTCGCCTTTCCTCTGGTATGAAGTTGGCCACTTTACTCAGTTTCTCTTCCGCCAATGGGCTTCAAAGGCTTCTCGGATTGAGTAGGGAACGCTATCACAAACTGGATTCTCAGACTTGTATGGTGCTCTTCACCTTGGCGCAAATCTGAAGGGTGCCAGTCTCCGGGAAGCCAACCACTCGATCGCGCGCGACACGGATGTTCCCCGGATCCACACTCTGGATTTCCAAGACAAAGCGACGAACATAGGTCGCAACTGTCAGATAAATTTCCATGATTACCAGACTTGTCGGGACCCATCGGTAAGTAATGATTTCGAGCTAACTGAACGAAAGGGAACGGGTGCTTACTTCACGCCAACACACTTGCGACTGCCCTTTGTAAAGGGCACCAGGTACTTTCTGAGGTTGAAATCCTCCGATGCCTTGAACCACCGTTCAGGGTTGAAGTTGTGTGGATCCGGGGATATAACCGGATTGTGGTGGACAAAGTAGATAGAGGTGCTCATTGGGGTCTGCAACGAGGGTTCGTACTATTAGCACAGACAATCTTTTCCACTCTGCTCCTTGATATATACTTCTCGTGTACCCCGGGAGGAATGACATGCTCATTATAGTAGGACTTCATTTGGTGCCACGCGCGGCAACCGAATAACCGCTGCGTTGGACAAGCGCAACGACTCATTGTCCACGGCGGTCTGGACGATTAGCTTCGATCGAGGTCAATGTGAGTGGGCAGAGACGCACCAAATACGGAAGCTTCTCCAGTTCCTCCCACGTAGCGGTGCTCGTTGGTGTGGGCAGAACCTGCCTGAGCTCTGCCCGTAGTCTCTCCCGGACCATATAACCTTGGAAGACGTAATTCGCGGCAAAGGCGAAAGAGCGCATTGTCGTCTCCGTCCCCGCCACGATGAGAGTGAAGCCTTCATCTTGGAGACGACTCAAAGTCCTCTCGCTCGGAGGGATTGCCTCGCTTGTCAATCGCTTGATGATAGTTATTCCCCCCCCCCCGGTGAGCGTGATGCGCTGGCCGGCGACGACGGCTGAGAAATGCTCGAAAATGGACCGTTGAAACTCGAACAAGGCCGATTTGCCGGGCATCAGAACTGCCATCACCTGCGGCGGTACCTTGTGTAAGAGTCCGGTTAGGAACGGGGAAAAAAACGGTTGATATGGCTAAACGCCCGCAAAGTCGTTGGCCGCCGTGCGGATATCGCTGCGGAAGTCCGGGTCTTCCAGGAAGCCCCAGCTTTTGCCATAGCAGCAGAAGGTGATTACGTCTGACGTGAGTGCACCGAAAGCGCCGCAGAGATCAACAACCTCTCCCCCGACGTGGAACTCCACCAACCGACTCATGAGCTTCCCTACCCGTTCTTCAATCACGGGCGATAATCTTGACACTGACCTCCTGGAGAAGAACTCATACAAGAGGCTGCGTCGATAGCGGTGGACGTCATGCTTGACGGTCGCAACTGCCGCATAGGGGACACCGAACGTAGGGACGAAGGTGGGCTCCTTATCGCGCTTTCGGACCGATGAAGTGTAAATCTCGTCGTAGAAATCGGGGTCTATGATATGGACTTCGCGTGGATTAATACGTACAATGGGTCTTGTGCGGCGGAATCAGTTACGGCCGGGGCATCTAGTTCGTCCAATGCTGACCGTATTTCTTGTGCATTTCCTCAATCCGAAAAATAAACCGTCCATCGCAGACGACATTGTAGTAGAGCTCATACAGAGAGGTAATGGCCGTCATTTTGGGCCCCGGGATTCTCGCAAGGGGATGGAGATAGAGCCGGTAGAAAGCACGCAGAACCAAGGCTGCCAGTACGGCACCAACAAGGTCCCATGCGTGAATTTTGGCAAGATTCATGGTAGGCTGCAGCAGGTGAAGGTCTCCTTGCTCGTGATCGTGCTGTGGATGGTTCGTAGCTTCCAATGCCATTCATCGCAGGTTAAATGTCCAATTCTTTTAGTCACCCCCCAAGCAACGCGAAGCTTGCTTCTCTACCTCTATCGATTAGGTTAGGGGCCATCGACATTAATATTACGTGAATTGAGCGTACTAGTTACAGGATAAGAGTGTATTACGTGAATGAACGGTCAATCAGGATTGCGTGAATAGTGATCAGGTGATTTAGTGTGCCATATAATCATAATTATTCTGCGGCGGCCTCTGATACCAACGGTCATTGAACGGGGATGTGTTTGGTCTCAAAGAGTGTCCCAGCTGACAGACAAGTACACCCTTGGTTGTATTCCATGGATATGACTTTCTCGCCCGGCCACCATATGGTGAACCCAACTATGATATTCTTTCGAAATATAGAGCACCCTACACTATCCAGTCGTTACTTTATATTCAGTACCGATAGGATTCCCTGCGTATGTTTTGGGGGTGATAGAGTAAACTTTAATTACTCGCTCGTCTCTCGATGACCGAGCCAATATGATGAGTTTGTTCTTGACCTCAGAAGGCAGGAAGCAAGGCCCGAACAGCGGGAATACACTCGCATAAAGTCCAGAAAGTTTGATCTAGAAATGCATTTGGAGAGATTCTGTGGTCGTGCAGCGGCATGCATCAGTTATCCTTCAATTCCCTTTGATGCAGACGTTTTTTAAGATGAAAAGATTGTTTCAGAAATGGTCTGAACATGACAGGCAGGGTTTAAACATGCCATTGAAGCATCTGTGGATCGATAACCGGGCCCCGTAACTACATAATAACAATCCGGAATTCAAGACACAATGTCTTATCTAATTATGTCACTGCCATGGTGGAAACGAAGGCTGCCGCTTAGCAAACGTCCGGTCAGTGTCTATATTATTACTATAGCTCATGTCCCGCATGGGCTCTTCTTGCGTGTACGGTAATATAGCAAGCCACCTGTAACATACCTGTTTTGTTTACGCGATCTTGTGCTTGCAGAATCATTTGGAATCAATAAGCCGGTCCCAGAATGTCGCTATACCGGATTGGTCTCTTGAACCCCTACGGAAGTTTTCGTAGAGGGATTGAGGAATCACGTTAGCAGTACGGTGGCATTACGGGGACGTGGAATATAGGAGGTTAAGGACTGGTCATTATGCCGAACATGGATGGCTCCCATCGGCCGCCAAATCCAAGTTCTCTGCCACTTCGCCCAACCCAGTCGAGTGCCTCTTAGATGCTTCCTCTTCCCTCTCTTCCGGTGTCGTTACACTCTTCCATTCTAGCTCTTCGTTCCATTGCCCTCGCTCCAGGTCAACCTTGATGTTCCTACCCGAATCCGCATCTAAGTCTCGGTATCGGACCGTTCTCATGGCACCTGTGCCCAAACCTCCGGGTCTGGCTGGTGAGTACCAATACTGGACCGATCCCATTCTTTGCCAGGAAACTCGAACCGGACTAAGAAATTTTCGCAAGCTTGGATGGCTTCCAAATTTCAAACCAATGGCCTTGGAAGGCATCGCTGTCTTCGAACGATATTGGTGGAAGTGAGTATTCGTTCGGTCGGGAGAAGCCTGGTAATAGACAAATCAAGCTCCTTCTCGGTGAAACCAATTTTAAGGGTTGTAATGCAGCTACCCACCCCGGAGTACGTATTTTCTGAACGGGCGCATCTTGTGGAAAACTTTTACAACCCGACACAGAGAATCTTGGCGAGAAAAAGCTACTTGCTCGACAAAGGTTGGCGGCACATTCCAAGCCTGTACCTCAACGACAATATATGGCGCGCTCGTGCCGACATTGCGAACAGTCGAGAACAGCCGGGACTACACAAGCGGAGAAAATCACGACCAGGGATGTCGAAAGTATCCAGCATCCAGCCTATGCTGCTTGGGTCCAAAACACTGAGAATTTGATGGCGACCAGGATCCAGAAATCGACTGGAAGCTGAACTGCTCGAAGCAAAGGTGGAAGCTGATTCAAGAGCTAGGGTTCGGCTTACTTTATCAACAACAAATTGACATGGTATAGGTACATGGGCCCTATGACTAGATTAATTTGTGGCGGTACAATGAAACGGATGGATGGGTCATTTACCCTGACCCTCGCTTTAAGTTCATTTCCCAACTAAGCTAGAATACGAACTCGTGCCTAGTCCGGCGGGTAGTGGTTTAGAGTCCAACTCTTTTGGTGATATATAATTTACCACTAAAATACAAATACATGATTGTCTCAAAGGGATTGTTTTAGAACTCTTGCGATGAAGTTTGAGCCTCGCCGGTGAGATGGATACTGGCCAAATAACACTACGAGGTGGTAGGCGATAACAAGGAAGGCCAGAGGGGCAAACGGGTAACACTTTCCAGTGCTGCAAGAAGGTGAGCAATATGGTACTTCTCTTGATTTCTGAAATATAATGATGCGACAAGATGCGGTCAATAAACATTGTGGGCAGATTGGCAAATCTACGAAGAGTTACAAATCGTGGAATGATATATATCGAGCTTGCAGGGTACCAGACGTAGAAGGAACGACGCAACCATTTATCAGCCACCGCAAAGATGTTTGCATTGAAATCGTATAATGGCTGTATGAACCCCTGACTCGTTTCGTACAAACATCTAGCCCAAGTTTGACGCACCGAAACAGTTGTCACATCAAGTGATGTTTCAGTACTTCACTAATAGGAACGAAGGTCTCCATTACACTTGAACAAGGCGGCAAGATGATGACGTTTACGGGGCCCTTCAATGCCCGTAAAGTCAATTTTGCCAACACTCCATCTTTGTGCTCAGTCCAACCCCGCCCTCTCTTTCACTCAGATAGGCCATGGAGCTGGTAGGAAAAACTTCGGTCAGCCACTCTTTACAGAGAGATATACAAATGATCCGCGTATCAAGGCGCACGCATTAACGGGCGGCAGATCCCAAGTATCCCACACTGTCAAGGATCTTGTAGTTTTGAGTCCCATGGGGCTGAGAGAAAGACAGAAAGTGCGGACACATCAGTCAATTCTTTCAAAAGTCATTTGTATATATAACAGCACTGGTGAGATATCTTCGTGGCAGGCGATATGGCTAGATAAGGATGAGTACTTTTCAGAGACTAGGCAAGGAATCTAGATGTCTATTTTTCCGAGGGGGCAAACACCGATTTCATTACTTGCGTACTATTGTATACAAAGATCCTCCGACTTCACCCAGGTTCACCAAGCCAATCCCGATAGGAACAACGATCGAAGTTGGAAGAATCCTCCACTGGCTGTGTCATTCTTTGGCTAATGATCACAATAATCAAACAAAGAAGCGGGAACGAAACATATCATGGAGGCAACTCAGCTATCAGATCGTATGGAGCGTGAAAGCGTGAGGGTCTTGACGAGATACAAAGTGGCCGAGAGCAAAGACCATCTCGAGGAAACCTGGATGGCTCTATCGCATGCCATCGGCAGTAGGCGCGGGACCGTCGTTTGCCGCAATATGTACATCGTAGGCCGTTTAACCAGTGGCCAGGGAAGCTGGAGTACGGGGGAGGCTGTAAGGCTTCTTCTATTATCAGGCCTCCCCAGGGATCCGTATCAACGACGGGCTGTCTTGTTCCATGGTGCGCGCAACTAGAAAGAATTAAGAAAGCTGGAATTGTAGAGTAATACCAGAAAGGCGCACCTATCCGAAAGTCGTACCCAGATCCCGGTGATGAAGCGCATTAGGCTACAAGTTTTACCCAGTAGATTTTCCGCAGAACTTCGGTCTCACCACCACCTATTGATCTATATATGGAATGCAATAGCTGCCATTGACAATTTCAAACTGCTTTGTTGCGGGCCGTTGCTCATAACATCTGACAATTCAGCGAAGATGACGCAAGAGTTGTCATCGTCAACGGATTCAACAATCCCCCTAAACGAGGTAGTGTCATGCCCTCCCAGCCTTCCGATCGACTAGCGTGACGTTATGGAGTTTTCGCCTAGTTTGGGGGGTTGATCCGTCTCGCAACACACGGGCGCACTGCGTCTCGGATCTGAATTTGGCACTGATTGAACAATGGTATGTACTGGTTTTGCCCATAGACATTGGTAATTAATGTACGTTTCAAGGACGTTTGACATGACTATATATTCCCCTTAGCCTCATCGTTGTACCCTTTCTCAAACGCCCTCTCTCCTTGCCATCCCACGTACTGACTTTGCAGAACCCACGGCATGACTGAGTTATCCAGAAAAAGTGCGAAGGAGTTTGCAACAACGTAAGTAAACCACCACTGCTGCAAGTTGGCATGTCTGAAACAATCCTGCTTTAGCATTCTCCCGCTCTACTGTGGCCCGCACGTAAGAATTCGGATCGACTTCAGCGATCAGGAGTATACAGTCTCTAAAGGGCTTCTCTGTGCAGAATCGTCCTATTTCTCAGCAATTCTCGAAAAGCATTGTCCCGGATCCCAGCAGCAGACCGCGACTCTTGACAGAGTGGAAGGCATTGTCTCAGGACAAAGCGTCGAAGCCCTGATTCAATGGTTGTACCTTCGTATGGTGATATTTGATATAGAAGACCCTGGGGATCAGATCTCAGCTGCCATAGAGCTTGTAAGGCTCGCTGACATGTGCAATGTGAGCGGACTGGAGCCTCAAATGGCTCGGTATATCAAAAAGATCCTGATTGCAAATCCGAACCCTCAATCCAACCATTTTTGGAGACACGTGGACACCAACACTTATTGCCTGACCTCACAGCACATTGCGGCGGCATCACTTCTACCTCAGAAGCACCCGGTCCGTCGCATCTTGGCTGCAGCTTCCGTCGAAGGATACCTTCGGGATCAAAACCACAAGTTTGCCGAGGAGACCCAAGAATATCCATCATTTGGAGCCGATCTCCTCTGGGAGGTCGGCATGGCTTTGGATGAGATCAAGTCCACCAGCAAGGTCGCATTCAAGGATCCTATCAGTGGTCAGAGGGCGGAGATCAAGGCGGGTCGGGAGATGTAAGGATTTTGTTCGAGCCGTTGAGCTGGGAATAGTTTGGCAATCTTTGAGGAAAACGAATTTGTTTTTGGGCCTTCAGTAAATATCAAAAGGAATCACCTCGGATGAACAGTCTCAGATAAATGCCCCTATAAATTTGTTGACACGCTTCTATATATCAGCGGCTTTCCCGGCTCGCCGCTCCTAACTGACCCCGTGCTCTAGAAAGCATCCCGGAGGTCTCGCCCATCACTGACGCGCATGAACACTGACCGCAACCACAAGAATGAGCGCTACACATGCGATAGCCGAGAAACAACGGCCCATATTCCGTAGAAGCGCGAGTAACAGCATATCTCCTGTAATGCTCTCAAGCCAGCGAGACATTTCCGGCAACCAAGCCTATTTTTATCCTGGATTCAAAAATAGCAATTCAGATATAATATACTTCTTCCTAAGCACCCTTTTTTTCTGTGTCGCAAAAAAATAGCTCCGTGTTGAGAAGGTTTCTAGATCCGGCTTCCGTGTGATTTACTTCCTAAGCGTGGTCCACAGACAAATCTTGAACATCCCGGTGCCTCGGGACCTCAATGGGCGTGTACATTAATTATGCCACGAAGGGTGAAGATTGGCCCAGAAGATAAATCAGAGTGTCGAGCCCCTCCATCTCATGGGGAAACCGATTGCAGGTATTCACCTACAATGTCAAACCAGTATCAGCAACCACCGCCACCTTCTGGCTCGGGTTTGTTTGACCACCATGTCAATCGGCTGAAACCGCTCGAAGGATCTTTGAGTACGTCCCAGGCCGCATCGCGGGCATGTAAAGACCAGTGCTGGGTGAGTCCGATGGACTCCAAATCTCCAAATCAGCGGGAGTTATTTGAGAGTATTGAGCTTCTTTTGGGGATAAGAATCCAACATAATGCAGGACGAAGTCAATGCAGGGGGCCTTCATTGGGAGGTGAACCTTCATATCGCCCATGGAGTGAGCCAGGTAGGCCCGGACCAACTCTGGGCTGGAAAGGAACAAGACATGCTTCCGCTGGACCCCATCATAATAGGAAAACGGTGATTGCGTTGCAAAACGCTGCTTCTTTAGGTGACCTGTTTGACTTGGCTAGACGCCACGGGGTTCAACTGGAGGATGTTCCCCTAGGCCTCCCTTTGATCCGATCTGTCCTCCGGCGGTCACACCCGGAGCAATGGGAATTGCGAGAAATGGGGTTGCCTGTCACACCCGCAGGGAAGGTAATTCAGCCTGGGTCACGGGAGTATTTCCACCATCTGGTGTCACCGCACCGGGAAAGGCCTCTTTGTTTGAGCGCTCGAGACTATTGTGATCACCATGAATACGAAATCCTCACGTGCGCATATATAACTGGAGCTATTATGATGCAATGTGAAGCAGTGGCAACGACATTAGACGCGAAGCGATGGTCAGTGTTGCAGCTGGCCCTGAATGACTACCAAGACCCCCGATGGGACGGGATGCATCGAGCTTTGTGGCGGATCTGGACCTTTTGCAGGGTTTTCGGTTCCAACAAAGGGCGCGAAGAAGATTGGCAGGGCCAGCGCGCCTGGCTCGAAGGCCATGCCATCCACAGTGATGACGGAGGTGGCTTCGGCATTTACCCTGGGAGCCTTCAGAGCGAGGTCCTCGACAATCCTCCAGAATCCTTCGGCTCTGGTAACCAGGGAGGGCTCATGCCGGAGGAGTTGAAAGATATGATGTTCATCTGGATTTGTCTCCAATGGATGTTACGGGCACGACTTCAAAGAGATCCTCTACCAGAGCCTCTACGGCGAGACCACACGCAGGCCAGCTCGACGCTGATTGAGAAGACTGCGACTGGCTGGAAAGTCACAGATACCCTGGTTGATTCGCTATTAAGCCTTGGATTGGCCGCTACCAGACATCTCTTGGCCACTCACAGAGAACACCCTCTCCAAGTAGCCCAGAATCTACAATGGACCTCACGGCCCGTGATCCTAAGACAAAAAAGGAGCCACGCATTTTTACTAGAGGCTTGTCAGAGAAAGCTGCGGGAACGGGAAACAAAGGACCATGGGTCAAGGTTACAGAAGGAAGACGGCTATGATGACGCCGTTGCAAGAAGTTTGCGGAACTACACCTTCTCACATCGGAACCCTAACTTCATGCTTGGCAGCCAGCGTCTGAATCATCAAGCATCTGCAACCCAAATCAGGAACCCCGCGGCATAGGAATAGCTTCAAGTTAGTTGTGCTGGACAGCTGCTGCGTGTATTTCTATTAAGTCTTGGGATGAGCATATAGAGAGCGTCAATCGGCCATTCCTAGATTTCTGTCTTTTTTGAAAGGTCAAAGTCTCCGCGAGAACGGACCAAGCCGTGATCAGTCGCGGGGGCTGCCTGACCAGGCTGGCAAAGGGGGTTCGTGTAGCCCTCCAACAACTTTGAGTAACGTAGCTGATCGGATTCTTGTGCCATCCGGACAAGGAAGTAGAACTCTCGTCAGCTCACGTAGTGTCTCCATCAGAGAACTCTCAGGTTCCGCGAAACCCGTCACGCAATCTACCACTAAGCAGGTCAAGATTACACGAAACTTGGGGGTCGAGGATCTCGAGTATATTTAGAAAGGCCTACTGAATACTGTGTGCAGGTAGTTTTGTCATGGCTGCAACAGAACAGCCTTTCGTTGTCAAATATAGGGTCGGACCTTGTGTTATTTCTATCGCTACCTAGGTTATTGCATGAGATAAGACCAACGGGGCCTTAATATGTAATATGACTGACGTATGCCAAATTGTATCCAACACCTTTCGTTATAACGTGTCGGCCGAGCTCCACTATGTTTTTGCATCCGTACACGTCTTGCTGAATCTACATTTGGTCCCAGGTGGGCTAGTGGTTGACATTCCATATTTACTACAACGATGGACAAAAGTGAATCACTTGGGAAGGACACATATTACTTCGACGATGTGAGCCCATGTTCGAGCTCCGCGGCGCCAGCTCGAGCAGTATTAGAAAATGGTATCCCAGGATGCATTAGGCCTCCTAGAGAGGTTCTGTCGATCTTCGAGCTCGGAAATTGAAATCAACTATCCGCAGCGCCTAGATGAGGATTACACGCTCAAAGGCTCGCGCGATGCTTGCGCAAGGCTCAGGGCTTATATCTGTGAGGATAAATCCGGCTTTACCGACGCTCTCCGGAATGCGCTCAACTTGCAATCGGCACTTCGTGAATTCCATAGGCTGCAACGTATGCTGTTTCGTGAACCACTTCCCGGTCCCTTCCCAGAGACAGAGCGCATTGGGCATCAAAGCATTGCCGCACCTACGATGAGCCTTCAGAGTTTGCTAGATGAGATAGGAGAATGTGCGTGGTATATTGTGGAACTGCTTGAATCTACAGACGTGCTTGTTGCCCCAAGTCCACCCTATCCCGACCATTGCTGAAACCAACCATGTTCCTGCCCAATAAGTCTTATTGAATAATTCTTATCGGGTATAAGCCTGTGTGTTTATCTGAACTTCCCATGAATAAACCTAACAATCCATAGCCGGGATATACTACTCTGTATTCTAAATAAGATTGAGTCTGATAACTGAAGATTCTTTGATTCTAAAACCTGCGACCCTATTGAGACGCCATTTTTTTCTTTTTTTTTACCTTTTTCTTTTTCTGCGTCATGTAACTCTTTGTGGCTCTGCGCCAAGTAAACAGTAAAAGGCTGAGTTTACGAATGTACCGGGTCTCCACATATAATGTCCAACATACTGGAATCGATACTTGTTTCAAGTTTGAGGCTATATTTACGGCATTGTGGCCTAGGAGGTTCTACTAGAGCAAGAACGAACAAAGACGTGGAAGGTCTTGTCGGTAAGTTAGTACTTGGTAACCAATTGAGCCGCAAGGTAATACGTGCATGCTGTAGTGTGTCGTACTGCTGTCAAGGATATGATCAGATCAAGGGGAAGACCCAACGATAAAGGCCCATTGCAAGATACAAACCACTTGTTATATATTCTCATAATGCATAGGAAACATTTAGTTGTTCCACGTTAGAAGAAATCAGGGAAAGTGTGCATACAGTACGGAGATCAAGTAGTACTCGGCATAGACACTCTGAGGATCATGAACGCCGGTGACTTTTGGTCTTGGTATGTGACAGCGGCAAATATGACCTGTCCACTGGTCGCAGAAATGGCCAATATAAGCATTTGAGGCAATCTTCTTCTCTCCCTTCTCATGCCATGCAGTATAAGGTTGGGTACTTTCCATCTCATTATTGATTTTACTTAATTGTTCCGTAGGCCTAAGCCAAGAGAGCCAGAGACATACTCTGTGTTTCAAAAGCCTACTGTCTGCTCCATAGCCAAATTCACAATCACAATGCCAACGCAAATGCTCTGGAAATTTTTAATATTGGTCCTGAATGTGAGAGCCAATACTCTATCCGGGGATGGCAGCCGAAGTGCCTTGCTGCCTCTCCTCACCCGATCGGACAAGGCCTGGACCGATGTCTCTCCCGGCGAAAGCTATTCTACTGCTGGCTTTGGCGGATCAACTGACCCGGTCGGATCTGGCGATGCCTATGTTGGCAATGTCGGTCGCCCTTATGGCAGTAATATTATGGAAGTTGCCGCCTCTGATGCGAACCGATTTCAGTATATTGTAAAGTTTGTAGGGCCTAGTGCTGGTGGCTGGAGAGTAGCCATCTGGAACAAAGTGGGACCTGGTGGTAAGCTGGATGGGTGGTATGGGAACGCCTGCTGCCAATTCACTCTTGCTGCCGATGAAGCAAAATACATTGCCTTCGCCACAAATTCGCAGGGTGGCTGGGTTGCCACCAATACTACATCCATCCCCACTAACCAATTAGGCAGCTACGCCGGCACTTGGGGTGAGTTTGACTTTGGCAACACCGCACATAATGGCTGGTCAGGCTTTGATGTGTCCGCGATCCAGGCCCAGAATGCACAATTAGAGGTCCAAGGTATGAGGATTTGCTCCATGCTCCATGACGACCTCTGCTCGTATATCACGTGGAGGGCTGTTATTGTCCACAACGCTTATACAAGCTCCAAAGCGGATGTTGGTGGAATTGGTGGCAATCTCCCCGCTGGTCCCGTTCGTTTAACTGCTAGCATTGGCTATGATGAATAGAAAGTAGCACTGGCTCCGCGCTGCAATAGTAGACATTTCATTTGGCGGCGAAACGTTTGTCTCGCTGTGAAGGAACGGCCAGAATGGGGTAACCCTGTGTGAGCCTAATGAGTTCTCGTATTAAACTAGTCCCAGATCTGGTTTATATGCGGATAACTTAAGATAAAGGGTCCAACCAATTTAGGTATCTATTATCTTCACAAATTTCAGAGTAGTATTGGAACCGCCACGCCGTAGAACCTCGTTCATTCTTGGCTTTGCAAATGGCATCGTTCTATATCAGCTGGACCTTTATATTGGTTCTGTATGATAGTATTCTAAGTGCCCCATTCTAAAAGCCCTATGAGAGATTATAATCAAAAAAGCTGAACATGATGAAGCCTGTGGAAGAAGATATATACTGTAGCTCCGGAGCTTCATTGATATTCCTGTCCAGGGCTAGCCTCAACTCCCCAACGAGACTAGTTTGTTTGTCAGAAACTACACAGGCCACGCTGTATGACGCTGTTAAGGCACCTGCCACCGTAGCTCTTCTGTCATATGCGTCCTGCAGAGTCCCTAATCGGTGCCGCTTTGTTCCTTTGGTGCCTACGTCTGCAGAGTGCCCTGTCTCATTCTGATGTCATATCGGTGTCACTATCAACAAACGACCGTGAAGCGGTCTGAGCACAAGACATGGCATTTCCGGAGCCGACTTGCGCCTCTTGTGAAAGCCCAGATGCTCGGTCTCTGAGCCACCCCTAATTGAAAGAAAACTTCCATTCAATGGGCTGATGGTGGGACTTTAATTCTCAAGCAGAGATCATAAAGCAGGAAAAAAGGGCCGTGTTGCAGCTTCCCATTTATCTCCTACTTTATGACCTGACAATTCCGCGATCGGGTGCTAACAGGGAACTAAGAAAATAGCGTGATCATTGTTGGATCCCCTGTACTGATGGTATTGTCCTGTCACCCTGATACGCACTACTCATGCATTAGGGTTAGACCTGTATCTACAATACTGGGTCGTGACCCACAGAACTCCATAATAATACAACTAATATACACATGCTACAAGAGGTTATGAGCCCTCATTGCTCATCATGGATAGTGAATCGGGACACCCAAAACTCATCCGAACAAATTACCACTCTTGGAGACTGGACGCCGAAGTTCAGCTCACTGGTCTCGGAGCACTAGGCATCGTCGAAGGCACCGAGCCTGTTCCCGAAGTCCCCTCCACCACACGAGCAGCTGAAGTCACAAACTATAGCCAGAATGTTAAAGACTACCGACAAGCTCGAGAAAAGGCCATACAATGGATCTGGAATCATATCCACAGCGACTTCCACAGCATCGTTGCAGCTGTCCGTCGAGACCCGCAAGCTATGTGGCTCGAACTGGAACGGCGACTAGGAGGAAGAAACAACTACAATATCTGGGCTGTACGACAACAACTTGGGAGTGAATCATTCAAGGAAAACGACACCATTCAGACTTGGTCTGCTCGTCTCGATACATACAACCAACGCCTTATCGGGACCGGATCTGAGCTCTCCGAGCTAGAGAGAATCGCCAAATTGCTCAGTACACTCCCCAAACGCTTCGAAATCACAGTCTCTCACATTCAACGAATTCCCAATCTTGATTACCAGACTGCTCTACAGCAGCTCCTCGACTTCGAGAACCAGTTACCGGTTGGCGCTGCGAATGGCTCTGGAACAGCATTGATCACTCAAAATCGGCCTCGAAGACCATTCCAATCACGACGAGGAAGAGGCTATCGCTATAGAGCCTCTGAGCCATACCGTCGAGAACATCGAGCCGAAAATCCTCGGCAGACAGTATACTGCTACCACTGTGGACGAAGAGGTCACACTAAGTCAAAGTGCTGGGAACTTCAACGACGTGAAGAGGAAGACAAACAAAACCAAGCACGGCTATCCCGAATATCTCGCGGCACGAATTATAAGGCGGAGGATGGTGCAACTACATCAACAAACCCAACTCAAGCACTATCGCAATCCGATACGAACTATATGGAAGACGGATTTGCTCATATGGCAAGCCATGGTACATCTTCCAAAAATGAATGGATACTCGACTCTGGAGCCAGTCATACAATGACTAACACAAAGTCGAATCTCACACACTTCAAACGATTTCACCAATCACGTCAGGTCACGATTGGCGACGGCTCGTACGTGAAAGCACTCGGAAGCGGCATCCTTCATATTCGGACAAACCTGGCTTCCATTGATCTGAAGGAAGTCTGGTGGGTACCTCAGCTCAGTACCAATCTGATATCTGTGCGTTCCTTGGACGACATGGGACTAGAAGTTATCTTTGCTGGTGGCCAATGCAAGATACGACGCGACGAAAAGCTTCTTGCTACCGCAAGCCAAATCCGGTCGAATCTCTACCAGCTTAACCTACCTGCCTCTGCATTCAATGCCAAATTTAACAATTACCACCCGATCACAATTTGGCATCAACGGCTTGGACATCTCAACCTCAAGGACGTGTCAAGGATTACACGAATTCAACTGCCAAAACAACTATCTCGATGTGCCTCGTGCATGGCAGGAAAGCAGCACGCCGTGTTTAACCGAAACCCTCAACAAAGAGCGACGAAACCATTTGAGTTCATACACTCTGATCTCAGTGGCTTACTGCCTACATCACTAGGTGGCTATCGATACTTTCTCGTCTTCGTGGATGACTTCACGCGATACACCCACACGTATTTTCTGAAGGGCAAAAGCATGACCGAAACCATCGAAGCCTTTCGTGCCTATCACGCGTGGATCAAGACTCAGTTCGGTGCGACCGTTCGCAGAATCCGCACTGATAATGGCACTGGAGAATTTGCCAATCAGTACTGGCACGACTATATGATCAAAGAAGGCATCCAACATGAGTTCAGCCCTGCTCATGCTCCACACATGAACGGTGTGAGCGAAAGAACAATTCGCACACTCAAAGAGATGGCGAGAACCATGCTTGCAGGAGCGAAACTGCAAGATCGTGAAGAATTCTGGGGTGAAGCTGTGGCGACTGCCACGTACACACGCAATTTATCCCCCTCTCATGCATTCAATGGCAAGGTGCCACTCATTGGCCTTTATCCAAACTTGACCCCTAGGTATGATCATCTCAAACCATTTGGCTGTTTGGCCTACGTTCTCGTTCCACCCGCAAAGCGTTCAACGTGGCAATCACGTACAAGAAGATCCTTGTTTATGGGCTACATTCACAACACCACAAAGGTTTGGAAGGTATATGACATTGAAGCAAAGCGAACTTTCAATTCTGGGCAAGTGATATTTGATGAAGAACAGTTTCCAGGAATCCCTGTTGAATCCCAAACCCTGCAATGCCATCCATCCTGGCAAGTTGAAGGCCCAAGTGCTGTGGCCAATATTGTGCAAGCCAGTTTCCGAGACCTTCACGTTGAGGTTATTGAACAAGAACCGGAACTGTTGAACTTCAAGATCTGTGGAATTGAGCCACCACATGACAGTTTTTTATGCGACCCCATCTTACCTCCACGCGCAACTGCTCTCGCGGCTCGGCGGAGTAGGGAGGATCTATCCAAGGGCGGCGCGGAGCCGCGCTCAGTGAAAAAGCCAGCTGGTAGGCTCCGAGTGGACGTAGCAGGCGATCCACTGGATTTTCACACTGCGATGCAGGTGGATCCCGTCAATTGGTCTCGTGCCATACGCGAAGAGTTTTCCGCGCACCGGAAGAATCAGACATATGAAATTATCCCCTTGCCCTTGGATAAGACTGCGATTGGCTGCAAATGGGTGTTCAAGACAAAGTACAATGCGCAAGGGGACATGCATTATAAAGCTCGCCTGGTTGCAAAAGGCTTTGAGCAAGAATATGGAATACATTATCGAGAGACATACGCACCTGTCGCAAGGTTGACGTCCGTGAGGCTCCTGCTGGCTCTCGCTGCCTGGTTTCAGTGGGAGATAGAGCAGCTTGACGTGATCACTGCTTTCTTGAACCCTCACTTGTCAGAGGAGATATACATTGAGCCGCCAGAAGGCATGGAAATTGAAGCTGGAAAAGCTCTACGTCTGTGTCGGACGCTCTACGGTTTGAAACAATCCCCTTATGAATGGTACTCTGATATACACAAGAAGCTGATGACTCTTGGGTTCCGTCGGTCAACCGAGGATCCCAACATTTATGTCTCCACACTCGTTCAGTGCATTTTACTTCTCTACGTGGATGATATCCTTCTTGCTGGTCCACAAGAACACGTCTCGCAGATCAAACAGAATCTCATGAAGCTGTATCACATGAAAGATCTTGGAAAAATATCCCTCTTTCTGGGCATGCAGATCGAAAGAGATCCTTATCGGATTCGAATCCATCAAAAGCGTTATATCGACAAGCTATTGGAGCGTTTCAACATGTCAAGCAGTCACGGCATCATGACACCACTCTCCATCAAAACCGATCTTCATGAAGCCCGCGACCACGACAAGCTTCTCGAACACGACGACATAAAACAGTACCAAGCGATAGTGGGAGGTCTCATGTATCTGATGACGGCAACTCGTCCAGATCTTGCATTCACGCTGTCACGTCTCTCTAAATTCAACGCAAAGCCAACAACCAAACACATGGAAGCCGCAAAGCATGCTCTGCGATACGTTAAATACACAAGCGACATGGGTCTAGTCTACGGCGGAAGAGACACCGAGCTGTACGGTTACACCGATTCCGACTTCGCTGCGGACGTGGACAATCGAAGATCGACAAGTGGATATGTGTTCCTCCTCAACGGCGCCTGCGTTCATTGGCAATCGAAACAACAGTCACTTATTGCTCGATCCACTCATCAAGCTGAATATATCGCAATGGCAAATGCGAGCTATGAAACAAGCTATCTTCGACGCTTGCTTGCAGACATCGATCCGGACTGCCATCCGACTCATCCAACAACCCTTTATGCCGACAACCAAAGTGCGATCAAAACAGCACAGTCAGGCCAAGATATTTCCCCTCGATCAAAACACATCGACATCAGATACCATATCACAAGAGAAGCACTTTCCAACGGCATTCTTCGACTTGAATACATTCGTACAAGTGAAATGACAGCAGATATTTTGACCAAGGCCCTTCCTCGTGAACTGCATGAGAAACATATTTCGTCAATGGGCCTACGGAAAGGATTTGCCTGAGGGCGAGCACTCTTTTTGTCCTGATCGGTGATTTTACTCTCGATGAGAGATGTTTCCACACGACCAAGGTTTTTAATGAGGCTCGCAAGGGAAGCCAGACTACGAGTGGGAGATCCTGTCCATGTGAAGAGTAGCGCGTAGTCAGGCTGAGTGGGAGTGTTGGATCCCCTGTACTGATGGTATTGTCCTGTCACCCTGATACGCACTACTCATGCATTAGGGTTAGACCTGTATCTACAATACTGGGTCGTGACCCACAGAACTCCATAATAATACAACTAATATACACATGCTACAAGAATCATAACTCAATCCTCCAAAACCTAATCTACGGTCGCAACCACTCAGTGCGATTTATCTGAGCCAGGTATACCAGGTCTTCAAATTTTTTTTTCCACTAGTGCTCAGTCCCCTCGTCGGTTCCCGCCCGCGTGCTCGAAACCCCAGCCATCGTGACTGCGCGCCGTCTACATTCAACTTTACTTGGACTCTACGCAATGTCTCCGTCAATAGAGGTCGGCCCAATTTTGGTAAACACGGGAGGCATCATCTCGAGAAGGCACTCAGCTGACACACGTGCAGGCCAAAAGACTGAACGCCCAGTGGTCTTTCGACTGCTCACCTGGGCGGGAACTAGGGAAAGGAAGCGTTGCCGATGTGTATCTAGGTAGGCATAGCGGCTTTCCGTCCATACGTTCACCCATCCTGAGCATCACTAGGAACAAACCACTACACCCAAGAGAGAATCGCGATCAAAAAGCAGCGCCTCCGCTGGTCCTCTGGTTCTAAGGGGAGCATGCTTCGCCATGAATACGGTGTTTACCAAGAGCTGGGCCGAGGTGAAGGCATCCCAACTGTGTACGACTACTGCCGCGAAAGGTACAGATACAGAGGTGAGCGTAGATATCGATGCTACTTGGTCATGGAGCAGTTGGGTCCAAGTCTCTACAAAACCATGCAGCACAGATTGGGAAGACCGCGACTGGCAAGTAGCGGACTTTTCTTCTCCCTGGAGGAGGTTGTGAGCATTGGAGAGCAGTTGATCTCTGCGCTGCAACTTATACACAACAGGAATTTTATACACCGGGATGTTCAACCTAAGAATATTGTGTACGACAGATCTCGAGAGCGAGTGTTGCTGATCGATTATGCCGTCGCCGAAAAGTATCGAAATCCCACGACCCACGGGCACCTACCCTGGCAAGCCGCTAGAATGGTCGGATCGCCTATTTTCGCCAGCCGCAACAGTCATCGCGGTCACACAGTATCGCAGCGTGACGATATGGAATCCCTAGGTTATGTCCTGGTGTATCTTGTTCGCGGACAACTCCCCTGGCAACACCTCTCTGCGAAGGCCAAAGACCTGATTGCTGTAAAGAAATCTACCATCACCATTGAAGGCCTTTGCGGTGGGTTAGAACCTCTGTGCAAATTTTTCCGCTCAGTGAAGCGGCTTGTGTTCGGCCAGGAACCTGATTATAACGGCCTACGCCGGGTGTTATGTTCACTTGTCATGTGAAGCTGCCCGGTATGTGCACATGGATCCAACGGCCCAACTGTTTTTTTTTTATGGGGATCGGAAGAAAGTCAAGTAGCGCCCTTGGGCCTCAGTATCATACATGTACAATTAAGTCCCTTTCTCTACCACAATCTGCCTATCTGTGCCACGGCATTCCACTCTCTCGGGTTGTTCAGACAGAGTGGAAGTCCCCTAGACGGAGCGTTGAGTAATCTATGTTTCTCCATTTTGACCTAGTGCTTTCGGGTCTCCTGTCTTTCGGGCCCATTCATGAACTAGCCTGGTTTGCTCTGCCAAAGCCCACGAACGGTCTCGTGGTAAACTTACCTCCGTAGTTACAACCCGTATAATGGCGCGTGCTATCCCCTTTTGATTTCCTCCCATGCCAGAATGGCCTAGGTGAAACTGAATGATTGGTGTGGGGCTTGGTAGCAGCTTAAAGATCCTACCCAGACCGGCTTGCATGCACAGGAGCCTCGGGGTCGTGGCCCCTCAGGCTTGCCGGTGGACGCGATATCTGCTAGTTACAAGCCTTGTAGTGGTCAAGAAGCTGTGGTTCTCTACCGTGCGCGGTGGCCTACACCCGCTGTGCAGAATCTGCTTCCGCTCCCTGCCGTGAGCATGCTGGTTCACCTCCTCTCGCTCAAAGGCCGACATGGTGAGCCCGCTCAGTTGGATATCCGTCCAACAGACCACTAAATGGGCCATATAGCCCAGTGGCGGCCCTCGAGTTATATGCCGGGGAATCCTAGGCTGCCTTTTCTGACCGGGGGAGCGAAAGTGGTGTTGCTTTGCATTTTTGTAGTTGATCGGGCCTGTCGGTTGCTCATGAGCTGCACCTCAGGCTGCCAATACTGGCGGTGATCCCTGTTTCATTCAGTACCACGGATCGTACGGTCGCCACTGCTTCGACAGACCAGTCTATCCTTGCAGGCGACAGAGAAACTGCACACCGGACTCTGTGTTCTAGACTTGACGGGATTGTATCTGATATTAGGGCTTTGGTGCCAGGCCAGCCTTCAGCCAGATCCCGAGCTATGGAATGATCTCTAGGTCAAATGCGACCCCATGGTCTCCCACGCCGTACCCGATCGACCTGATCCAGAGGCGCTCGGCCGCATTCCATAAATTAGAGTACTGAAAGCTTTGTCGCTCTAAACTGGAACTTATTGCACTGGTCCGAATCGATGGCATTTTGGGAAACCTCTGCAGCCGGGGCAGGAATACTAGACCAGAACAACCCGGTAAATACGAGACTGGTTCGGATGAACAATACCACCAAAGCAAAGAAACTGCAACAGCTTCGTAGTATAATGTATCTAGCCTGACCCCCAAGCATATCTCGGAAAAATGGGCATATTCTGAGCAAAAGCCAAGGCGATTATGAGACTGCCGCGTAGGGGGGATCATACGGAGGCTGTACTCTGACGGAGGAAACACGATTAAATCGATAAGTCTAGCCACGTCTCTACTTGCCTCAAAGAGCCTTTCCACGAAACTGTCCACGAATCTTTCCACAAAATTATCACGCTCATTGCTAATGGCATGTATGTGGAATACCGGAAATCCGGCCATGGGATGATGTCGAGACTACTTAGCTGTCAGGCCCAACAGATCCGTATATTGTATGTGAGTCCACTCTTAGTGTCACTTTTCCCTCACTGCAACATTACCTTCAACGGTGCCTTGAGTACAGTTGAGGATTACCCAACAAGATGTGAACCCAGGAGTACTTTGCCATCAGTTGGAGATCCACACAGCCAAATTTGAGCCATTCTCGGAAGAATTAGGACGTGAAGGTCGGTCCTGACAATATAGAGCTAAACTTGTCACAAGAGCCACAAAGGTGGCTTAGAAATCCCACTCATACTTTGCTGTTTCTGATATAGAAAATAGTAGCTCCTTCTTTATCCCTATCGTTCTTAATGTGGTGGACCCATCAAGAAAACGCAATCACCCACGATGGACACCTGGTACGCAGTTTCAGACACCGACAAGATGGTCAAAAGTATCGAGCAAGGACACAGAATGCGCGCGGCTTGTGGCCGGTGGTTCTGGAATACGGTCAATTTCCTACCACCAGGGATGATTCTCACAAGGTAAGTGACACATCGACCTCGTCCCCCTTCACGACTTACTGTGACGTAGTTTCCTCCTCTTTCCGCCTGTGTTGCAAGGCCCTTCGTCCCATGACCTGAGCAAGAAAAACGCCAGCATCGGTGCTGCCTTTGCACTTGCCGCATGTGGTTTTCTGCCTTTGTCACTGCTCCCGTTCACAGGACTCAGGTCACGAATGTCACTTCTAGGGAATAAGTACGGTCGGCTGCCTCGGAAATGTATTATTTGTGGTTGCTGACTTTGGCTATCAGACTATGTCTCACGGCGGGCCTCCTTGGGGCATTGAACGTTGCGATACATCTCGCATACGACCTTACAACAAGCAAAATGGTGGTGGCTGCCCTAGCTTTGGCAGTGTCACAGATTGTTTGCTATACCGCCGTCATTTGGCTACGCTCTCGCGGCTCTTTCGGAAAACAAGTCGAATTCTCCATGTATTCCCACCGTGATCGCCCTGGACGGCATCTAAGCAACTTACAAATGAGAGATGAGGCGCCCAAGAAGACACCCAGCAATCTCGACGGACAACAAATTTGGATATGACGGCCGTTCCTTCGTGGAGGCTCACTGATAGCGAATCACAAATGTTTGGCACATCATGGAAGAAACAATACCAACGTCCCACTGAGAAATGTACTTGCACTGAAATACCCTGAATGGCCCAATTTCGGATATATTATCCCAGTACTCTTATTGTAAAGACTTGAATCTAACGTAGTCTCGCAGGCAGAGTCTGTAGTCAAGCTTCCTTGGGTGATGTTCTCTGTTCACGAAGCTTTCAGTGCGCCATGAAGGTTCTTTTGGCTAAATCTCTCCTCCACCCCGAAACTAACTTGCCGAGATAGAAATGGACATGGCGCAAGTCTCCCATCCACAATTTCGAGGATATATGCGGACCCAACTTATTATTCTATATAAAATATAGCTCTCAGGTAATTTAATTTTGTCCAATCATACAAAGTCGTCAGGATAATCCTTCTGCGACAAAAAAAAAAGCCATGATCTCAACTTCGCTATATTCCATGGCATGGGTTCTGAGATTAGGCACAGCAAGAGCCCCCGGTCACTGTCGAAGCCATAAGTACTCCCGTCCACAGGCTTGTCTTCCAAGATATGGCTGTATGGCTTTTTGTCACAGGCTGCCCCTTTCTCATTTCATCGGGAATAACAAAGCTCAGGTCTACCCCCGCCTCATCCATGCAACAGGCACAGCCATCATCGACGGACAAAGATGCATTGGACCGGCATCTGTTGACATTCAGAGTAGAAATAAGAGATATATTGATCTGTTGATACAGTAGTAAGCACACCCAGACAAATAGGAAAGCCAGGACTTGGATGGTGAGCCCGGACGCGGACAGCTAGTCAATTTCTCTCATTTGCTCATGTAAAGGGAGATTATACTGAGAGACCGATGTCCGTCCATTCCATGTCGCAGGTATTCTGCGTTTTCTCGAGCAATGATGCAAGGCTGCAGCGATCGCTGCCATGGCAGATTGTCCAAAACTTTGACAAGGCCAACAGCGGGCCCACCGCGACCGAGAGGATCGAGTACATGTTCAATAGAGAGCTGTATCCGTTTGATCTCGCCATCATTGAGGTCGCTATATCCCCAGACCAATTGGTCGCTTTCTTCATCTGTGTAAAGGTAGGCTGATATTATGCTTGACAGATATTGAAATTTAAAGGCGATATCTTTGCCATTAGCAGATTTGATGAATGTCGTCTGGATTTTTTTTTTATGTGTTGCGCAAGAAAGTTCTGGTGCATTGCTCCTGTTCTGATATATTTGGTCAGCGTCGCACTATGGGGACAAGGCGTCAATCGCCGACCGTGTATAATGAATATTTTCGACAACCCTTCGGGCTTGCGGTAACTGAAAAGTGTCGGAAAAAATATCGGAGGATATAACCGGAGAGCATCTCGAGAACTGAGTGTAGGTTTGGTCTTAGTTGCTCAATGATAGCTAATGTCGGGCCAGCCTGGATCCTTAATATATATCTGAGCTTGCGAGGCTCCCACCCCATGAACCACTAGCACGGATCAAACAGAGCAATTATCGGCGACGCCGATGACATTGGTTGTTAAATATCAGTGAACTGTACTGCGTTGGTGCTCAGGCCGGGGACTGCTATGCCCATCAAGATCACTGTGGCAGGCACGAGGTTAACATTACGCGCATATGTCCGTTACAACTTTAACCACTCTGGTCGGATAGTTTAAGATCTCTGAGGCCCGCCGCGAATTCCATGACAGACAGAAGGGAATTTACCACGATCACTCTTCGTCGAAAACGTTCTGTCGCAGATACAAAACTCGGCGGACTTCGCCATGTGGGGGTGTCAAACAAGTGTTCCAAGGCTGCAAAACAGCTATCATCCTCGAATGCTTAGGGACGGCCTTTCACTGTCTTGCAACACTGGTGCGGGTCACCAAATCGAGAAAGCAAGACGGAGGTAATTCCTCGCGAAGAAATAATAGCTGTCTTACAATCAAGATCTCCTATTCTAACCCGATTCAAAGCCTTTCAGTGCTTTTGATGGCTTCCTAACTGTCTTCCCATGTGGCTCAGGTTGTATTGCGGGCAGTGGATGACTTTGATCTTTCGATAAGGATGTGGTGGCAGATTGCAGAGCACATTCATTTCCTTCCAGGGCATTTGTACTCTTCGAGGTGTGCTGGTACTGCTATGATGTCTATTCCCCATGTCCAAGCACCTCCATGTTAGGGCTGGTAATATCACGTGAGCGGACTGGACCAAGAAATAATCTCGACCAGGAAATAATCCTCTTTCAGGCGTTGTTTTCCTCTTATGCTTCATGGATTCTCCTGTGCACCCCATTGGATCCATAACATCGTGAGCCCTTACTCTAGCGGATCCGCTCTACAAATTTGACTCTCCTTTGATTTTGTGAAATTCTATCTCGAAAAACTCGGCATAGTAGCTACCACAGCTGCGGCGACCAGACAAGCACGATAGACACTGGCTCCCAAAGCCTGACCAGACGGGCTTGACTATGCGTGAGCCAAGCATGCCTCGTTATTTGAGCTTAGTAGTAGGGGGAAAATATCGTTATGCGATGAAATGCTAGGGCCCAAATGATTATTCAAAAAAAAATAAATGCAGCATGAAGGTGGGTTTGGCCTGGATCCGGTACCGTAGAGAATGTGCGGCACGTCTATTTACTAAGGACGCGATGTCTCTTTACTAAGGGATGCGATCCCGGAAATTCCAAGTTGAAAAGGTAATTATGTCTCGGGAGTATTAAAAATTAGACGATCACGCTACGAGATCACTTGAGCATGCTCGCACAATCCAAACTTCTATACTGTGGTGTGGAAAGCATGCTAACAGGGCACTAGACTGTGCTTTCAGTTGCGACTGTAATTAATGGAATCGCCTCGATGGATCATCACGTTGCCTCTACTCCTGCGTCAAAATGGTCATCGAGCCATGCCTCTTGTTTAAGAGCTCTCCTGATAGAACCATGAGGTAGCCGGCAGGCAGCGCTCCCAGCCAAGGGTAAAAGGCAGGGGAGGTATGCGAGATGACAACAGCTAGTCTGTTCCATGGCTTACTGCAAATCTTATGTGATAGTAAGCGATACAGTACTGTACGACAAGAGCGGAATGTGCTCCACTGATTTGGGCTTTACTTGAAATATCATGCAGCGCAACTTGGGTAGTAATGTTAAAGCTCCACATGCAAATAACCAATCCGCATGTGGACAAGCTCCCCCTCGAAACGGGCGTTGCATGCTTGCAACTAAACACAATAATGAAAGACGTACGGCGGAAAATGGAAGCCTATGTTTGATGTCATATTGTAATCGATGTCCCCGACATTCTCCTTGCTAGTCTATATCTTATTACACGTCTTATATGGCACCATTAATCTTCTCAATATGCTTTGATGATATTCCAATAGTTTTGACCCTCAGTGTAGCAGATGTAGTCATATGTCTGAAGGGTCAGGTTCGGCCACTGTTGCTTGCGCTCTGCTCTTGAATGGATTTCGGTTAGAATCCCACCCTCATTGTAACTGAGCGATCCAGATGTTCATTCCAATTGTGACAAGAGAAAAGCCGACCGCCATACATGTGGAAACTATTGTGTGAGTTCCGAGGCTAGCTTTAGCACCGTACTTCCCTAAGACTTCCTCAATGTGCTGCGTGTAGACATAGTACAGGCTAATGGACCATGATGTTGCAACAGTGAGCAGAATCGTTGAAGTCTGCGCCAATTATCAGAGTCCGTGCATAGCCCATTGGGGGAGGGGTACTTACAATGGATGAAACCACCAGTAATGCACTTCCATGAGAAACGAAAACCCTTTTGACGCCAAAAACCAATGTCAGAAATGCTGCGACATAGGCAGATATATATAGGCAGATAATGGCTCGTGAGCTGTGTAGATTTCCTGTAATATAGACCTCACCATCACTGGCCGATAGCCCGTTCATCTCTGAGGCAAGGGACTTGAAGATCCCCCAAAGGTTGAACGAGAACGAAGTGCTTGTATCTGAGCATTTATTTAAGATACCGTCTCGGCCTTGACAGTAACTCAGAAGGCCAACGTGGTAGTACGCGGGCAGATCTGCTTTGATGTTATTGAGCAATGTTCCAAGATCATTACTGACTTGGCCAACGGCGGACCCTGCCCCCCTCGCCAAATGCTTTTGTGCCTCTCCTCCCGCACTTCTAGCAGCCAGTTGCATTGAATTCGTGTGATTCAATAGACGCGTCCCGACAGTATCCAGTGAGCGTCGAGCGATGGCATCATCGATCCGTGGGAAGTTGCTCAGATCCACCTTGAGATCGGAGTTAGCGCGTTTTCTCCAATTGACGGAAGGGTGAGAGTGAGTACCTTCATAAAGTATAAGTTAAATGGCGTGAATGGCGACGTGCACCCGGCAAATACAATAGCGAGACAAATCAGCACGGCTACGGGAAATGATAATGCTGCGATGGGAACAATCCTGTTTAGCCTTGTGCGCGAACTGGCTCTCATGATAGACATCTTGATTCCCCCAACCATATGGACGGGCGCATTCCACTTCAAGTAGATAAAGCAACGGTTCAAAGCCGGTGATCTTATGGCTGGGTGGCCACTTGTCGAATATTGACTGGAAAGGATATCCCAAAGATGCCCTCAACCCAACATGGACCATTGAAAATTGCTTTTATTAGTTTTGCCATTACTGATACAAGGTGATTTGGACATCCGCCAAGGCCTAGAATAGCCCCGTGGATAACATGTTACCGGAGACTCAGGGGCCAGCCCACGCGGACTTCTAGTGGGATACAACGTATCCGTTATGAAGCTGGGCTGGGATGTTCGACGACAACATGATTTACTCGGATGACTAGGAATAACTCATGTCCACAGTCAGGTAACCATCTACCAGGCTCGCTAATCAATCATCGGTGACGCCAAAATCTTCCCAAAATCAATATAGTGGCATTTTTGGATAAAGAATTATTGGCTATTAGTCTAAGAAAAAAAAATGAGATTGGCCCAAAATTCCATTTGACGGTAACATGTATCGAGTGGTTTCTGTGGTCGATTTCTAGAGGCGCGGGGGAGGCCGGGGGGGGGGGGGGGGGGGCGCACAACCCGCTCATACGTCTTGGTTGCTGAGTTTCCTAGCCAAATCCGGCTTGGAAATGTTTATTTCGAAAAGTGACCTGGCCTCGGACACCACCAGGGCTGTCCCAAATCATAGAACAGCAAGTTAAATGAATCATGCTACGGACCAAAGCATAAAGTCGGCTAGCTGGCCTTACCAAGCTATGTTTTGGATAACCAGGATCAAAAGCAACAAGGAAAAAGAAAAAAGGGGACTGGCTCCTAATTCAATCCCTGTTGTCATGTTTGTATCATCAAGGTCACGTTAATGCTCACCGAAAATCGTCGCGCTGTTTGGCAACAATCAATATATCACTGGATACGAAGTATGATCTAATTGTACTAGGGCTGGCGTTTGGATTCACTCGATTGACATAGACTACTGGTCTCTAGTTCAATCCGGATACCTGGTGTCGTTTTTATTCTACCACCCGAAGTCCCGATAAAATTGAATGAGTACAGCCATTGAGATCTATTCATGAACTAAAATAGGACCTGTGTGATGAGCGCCACCCACAAAATCCCGAAGGGCCAAGTGGTTGCACTTAGCCCCTAGGTAGTCTGAACACGTAAACGAGATACATGTAATCCAACGAGTCTTTCATTTTTTTTAGTGGCCCAGCAATTCTACTTGTTGGCTTCAATGAGGTTTTCTACGGGCAGGACCCCTTCCTTTGAGGTCAGCACTACCTCTCGATATGCTCCGAGGTGTAACGTCGCTTTACTAGCCCGCTACATAGCCTACTTGCCGTGATACTATCCTGCGCATTACACCAAAAACCATGCAAGAAAAGAGAAATTTGATGGAACGGAAGATTTCAGTTCACTAATTTGATGGACCGTGCAAAATAATGCCACAATGAATTGTGGTGGACAGTGTAAGTCCAATCCGCGCTAATTCAAATTCGGTCGAGCTATCTTGCCTACCACAGTTGGTTAGCGCCCGTATTTATATCTCTTTTTCATACATCTGCATCATGACCCGTAGTACAGTACAGAATTTGTCATGGATTGCGGAAGAATGTGCAGATGTACCTTATAAAGAGCGCCTTTCGATAGGTCCCCGTTAGACTCCATGTGTTGCTTGCGTGAAGCAGAGGAAAGACCATTTAGTCGAACCCGGCACTGAAATCGCACCGACTACACTTATGAAGCTGTGCGGCTTTTAGATCCCTGCCTTTCCTTCTCATGATTCAATCCACGGTCGTCTTGGTTGGCTTCCTCGCGGAGGGAAACGAACGAGACAGAGTCCCACTATTGGTAGAACAATCAGCAGCATTCCACGGATTAAAGGCAAAAGGCTCTTTCCGTGTAGTTGGGGGCTTTTTTGAGCCAATGAACCACTGGTGCATCATGGTGTTCTACGAAGGATCCGTGATAGGAGATCCTGCTGTGGAGGCATTGCGACAACATCTGGCCGCATCCTGTTTGGACGGTAGAACGTACGAGCATGTTGAGCCTATCGCGGAGCCGCTATTTTCGGAGGCAGGAGGGTGCGATCCATTCGCGGCATGGAAGTGGGAGACACTGATTTGCTATTTCAGGGGTTCACCGTATCGCCTGATGTGGGATGGCGTTATGCACTTTGCGAATGCCAAACTATACACGTCCGCCGTGGATGATGCATTAGAGGAGTCGGAAGGGACGAGTGTGGATTATGAGGCATAGGGAAACGTTGCGTATACATGTTCTGGTGAGGTCAACGTGTTGTGGTGGCTTGAAGCCTGAGTGAGATAACTCCTGAGCTGTGATGTTCTAAATTTGGCTTTCTTTTGCTTTGTGGCCGCTTCTTCCTCCTTTCCTTTCCTTTCTTCTATTTTCCATCTTACATCTCGTTATTGATCTTGTATGTAATTTTGAGCGATCGTTGGCAAAGAAGGACCATATTATCCACTAGCCGTATGGCAGTAGAAATGCTACTTTAATAAATGGTTTCTTTCTACAGCATAACCTGACCATAACCTGACCTGTATTTGTCCACAGGTCTTTCTCCCAGACTTGGCTTCTCCCAGACTTGGCTTCTCCCAGACTTGGCTTCTCCCAGACTTGGCTTCTCCCAGACTTGGCTTCTCCCAGATCCGGAATTCACTCGCGATCAGTGCATGAACATACTAACAATATAATTTACATAATAAAGTTATTCCATTATTGAAGCTCATAATCCGTCCGATCTGCCGTAATTGAAGCTCCGGCTGCAGTCCTGCGGGAGATTTCCCAAGGAAGCAGCGCAATGAGTTTTGCAAGATAGACGCGCGAGTATAAGACATGCTTTATTTAGGAGAGTTACGATCATTGAGAAAGCCAGAGAGTCAATAACTCAAGTTGACCAGTAAGCTTAGCGCGAGGGTTAGACAGCATAAAGCATAGGAAAAGAAGCTGTTTACGTCCAGCTTTTCAAATTTGGCAAGTTGACTTTCATTGATGCAGAAAAATCAGTCAATACAGAGTCCAAATCCATGAAGTTCAGTGCGAAATGCTGGGGTCATGGCAGTTCGCGCGAACAAACGGAACCGGAAGGAAAGGAAATGTCGGAGCCGCAAGAAAGGAATTAAGGATCATACCATTTATTCCGATCTATACAAGACTTCCCGGTGTTACTTTTCTGATGCATTCAGAGGCCATGTACATCGACGGGTCGAGTTGGATATTGAGATGTATTGGTATGGACTACGACGTAGAGATACTGCACTATTGATCCACGCCCGACGCCATTTCGTTAAAAGGACATACAAGAATTGGGGAATCATCTCTTTGCGAGTCATCCGCATGCTATTTCAAAATCCAAGGTTCGCTCTCATGGGGGAGCTGAAGGAGTTGGCTGTCAGAGTGGCGCGGGACCATATTTGCCTAGAGAGGTCGCACTTCAAACGCATGATTGCGAGATTAGGATCCTTATCGCCATGGAAAGGGCGCATGTTTCGATCAATGCTTCAGGAAGAACTTCATCACAGTTGGATCATTGGAAAGTGACGAACTGAGAGAGTGGTCAAATACCACTAGGACCCTTTGGGACAGGCTTATTCATCGTTCACCCAATTCCCCCTAGTATTTGTACGGTATTCCGGGCACATTCGGAAGTACGGTGTTGTAACACGCCGAAGCTTATTTGTATAGACCCCTGAGATCGTTCAACCGATCTTAAACACCTACAATCAATCACCTGATTCTATTGGACATGTTCAGTACCAGCCAGTACATCAATTCCTCATCCTGACAGAAAGATTTGGGCTTATCCGCCGCCCATCACATGGTATCATTACAAACAAAGATACCGTGCTGACTTGGCTAGTATAACTGATTGCAACTGTATATTTTGAGCCTTCCTCCGTTATTGTGGCTGCGATTCCCTCCGCCATATCTTGAATGGGGCCTGTGCAGTACCGGATGGCGGATTTACTACGATGCTGTTTCTCTTTTCCAGAGGAATCCCACGGTGGCGGTCGGCAGTACATTGGACGCGGGCCAGAGCGGATGGTCTGAGTGCAGGGATGTAGGTGCAAGCGCTTCGCACGTGTGGCACCGGGTAAGCTTCAGTCTCTTTCAGAGGACTTCAGATTTCAATGTCTTCGGGACAGACAGCGCTGCGTGCAACACATCATGCCCGACGAAGATCGCTGTTAGTTAAAATGAGCATTGCCAGACATCGGCGACAACAGCGGTCTCTCCTATTGCAGGACCAGTCTTTGGCATTACAACCCCTCGTTGCCCTTAGCGCTGCGAGCAGAGAAATTCCTCGTCCATCCCCGGGTGTTTGTCACAGGGTATTGAGGAATCAGCAGAGTTAGTCGCCAACAGAATATCACAAGACCCGATATAGCTCAACACTGAATGGCAGGCGGGAGTCCCGTGCCAAATGTCCTCTTTTCGTAAAGTCAAAATGTAGCACGCTGAAGTGCACAGAGTACCGACAGCGGACAGTAGGACAGAGCATGACGGGCTCGAGGTTGCCGGAAAGAGAATTACTGATTGAGCTTGTGTGCTACGAGTCAGAGATATGGATCAATAATATGGCATGCAGAAGCCCAGGATGTAAGCTAACTTCGCCAGGAAAAATACGCAATGGCGCCCAAAGGCACTGTGCCCCTCTGGGCGACGCCCCAGTTGCTTAATGCAAGGCACAGGCCGAGGGCCTCAAGTTGGGAGGCTAAGGAGATAGCTGCGTTGTTAGTGGCATTACTAATGGCGATGCTGGGATTGTCCATGTGAGTTTTGTCTGTGATAACAAAGATTCAGGCCGGATACACAAAGCAACGTGTAACCAAAATGAGTCCGTATCGACTATGAGACCCTATCGCTGGAACGAACACTTTAAAGGCCCATTGCAATACTGCTAATTTCCTGATTGGTATCGCATAACTATCAATTCGATATCATGTCATAAAGTTGCTTCTCATTGCCAAGCCACTTCCTGAATGCTGAAAGTGCTCAAGTGATGAAACGGCACTCGACTAATTTTTACTAACTTACATACTAGCTTAGCCTAGACACCACATAATGTAGACCGGAGAAGGACTTGGCGCCGTGCTACCGCCATGCTTTTACGCAAAACTGTTGCAATGGCCCGGTGGCCTTTACGAGAACTGGCCTGTTCTGGGATTACACATCAAGCTCCTGGGGAGTGATTCGTTAGAACGTGATTCCCACCACAACTAATCTCCTAATATATGGTCAATCAAACGCAGGCGATGACCTATCGATCTTCTCCAGTTATGATACGTCTTCCTGGATGAGTACCTGACATAGCGAGTCGATGTCTTTTGGGCACTGCAGCCGACCAAATTTCATGCAGGGCAAAGGAATGAGTCCGACGGAGGCGTAAGAGTAACCTGCACCTCAAGAAATTTTATGCTCACAATTTGCGCCCGAAGCAACCAGCGGACGATCCAATATAATCCCAATGTTGAGATGGGACCCCAGGCTGTATCCCAGAGCATATATACATAGATATTTAACTACATAAGCTTATAAGCTTCAGTGGAGCTGTCGGGTGGGTAAAAGGGTATCTAGCCTGTCGTTGTTTGTTGCTGATAATCCCAACAAAAAAAAAAAAAAAAAAAAAAAAAATAGGCGTGAGTCGCCGACAAGGACTGGTCCAATACACCATATAGGGCAATATTTGCCATCCCTTTGCCGAAAGCTGAGCCCATAACTAGTAAAGGACTACCTTTAATTTTGATATAATTACTAGACGGGCTATGTCTAACTGGTTGATACATAAAGGGTATGGTCCTGCAGAACTACGAAGAATGAGGATCGTGCGGTGGGGCTGGAATCAAATAATTCGTCTCTATCCCAACAACAATGGCAACTATCCAGCCTAAAGAAATCGTGTCGAACACAGCCCTTCAAGAATATATAAGAGGCCGACCAAATCAATTCTTTTCACACCACGTACTTTCCCAAATCATTGCATCTCTATCCGTCTTCCGTTTTTCACACGCCCCAGTACCTGTTCTCGCTACCATGGTTGAAAACTCACCCATCAAGTCCGCAATTCATGAAGAGGGGGCCAATTTCAAGCTGGGGACTCGACCAACCAAGCCCAGTTTTGGTCTGAGAGCGCCAGAATCACCTATAAAAAGTCCGTCGATACCAAGAAGCGCAGCGGGAGCAAACAACAAGCATGCTAGCAAGACTATTAAGCTGAGCGCCGGCCTTGACGTCGCTGGTAAAGCAGTGGGTAACAGATCACACTGCTGTCCAACAATCATCTCACGAACCTTGCGTGGCTCTGTTTCACACGGCATGCTCCACCCTTCACAGAAGCACTCGGGTAAACGTCGACTCTCTGGTATTTTTCCAATGGACGATTTCGACCAACCAAAGTGCCGCGACTCACCGTTTCGCTCACTTGTGGTATTTGACGCGGGGGGTTGAGGGTGAATCCAGTACGTACTCTTATCCCGCATGCGGCAAACGCCGGAACACTTTGTGGTAACGTTAACGAACCAAAAAAACAGCTCCACTTAGGCTTTCGCCAACCAAATCTGACAGAGGCCACTGGGTCTACCTAGTCACATGGACGACTTCCTAGGAGGCTCAAGGTGAATCAGATTGGGGTTTCCATGGAAGTCGGCTATCACATAAATGACACGCCTGGACTTGCCGAGGCACAATTGAATAATGCAAGATTGTCCTATAGAGATTGGGTAGAAGTCTGGCTGCCTGGCGCCCCTCTGACATGCCCTGAACATTTCCTGAGCACCAAGATTTTATCTGGCGTCGGTCCGCTGTAGATCCCTGACTGGCTACAAAATCAGAAACAAAGCCATCAAGAGTGTTACGTAGGCTACTTTAAGTGGAAGCGTTTCTTTTGTAGGGCGACGAAGCCACAGAAGAAAAGCGCATGTATGGAGACCGTTAACGTAAAAAAAGCTACTCGACATTGAAGATATTGAAAGGCTTGCGAGCCTTATTGCCTTCGTCAGAGGATCATGAAGAAGGTCAATTAAAAGAGCACTTCCTATTCCTCTTGTATCTGCTCTCACAATGTAGCCAAAATAAGCTCCGGGAGGCGAAGTAGTTTGCTCTATTCAAATTATGCTAAGTGCAAGCTCAGCGGAAAGGAAACGCAGTGGAGCAAGGGGTCAAAAGCGTGCGGAAAAATCTGCATGTATTAAATAATGCTTCTGTACGGGTTCAATCTCACTAATGAAGCTCTTACATAACACTCCGCTGATTTTTTTAAACTGAATCAGGTTATGCTGCTTGTCTAGCTCACATCATACGCCATTAGGGCATTACCATAGACTTTGGCTCTCATTTCAACCGAATTTAGATATACAGGACGGGCTCGTGCGCACAACTATTCTCGTCGTTGTAACGACCTGTGCTGGCAGAAAATGGCAACTGTGACAAAGTTCGTTGATAATGAGCTAACCCCAGGGCTTCTCCGTTATGCTCGTGACTCACCGGTCAGTGTGCGCGCACACATCGCTTTCTACTTGAGGCTTTGTTCTCTACTCCTTCTGTGGAATCTGCGATGTTCCCGTAGCTTTGAGGAGCGGATGAACGGAAGCTTTTCTGCCTGACTACCAATTTTGGCCTTCGGTAGGTTTTATTAAGATAGGTAACTTTCACGTTAACCCTGGCCCTTTCCTTCTTTAGTAAACAAGCTTTTCAAGATAGATAGAAATCAAGTACCACTGGTATATAGCTGAAGCTTGGGGCCATATTGATACTTACTGAAAAGCACTACTTGGCGTGTGGCATTCTCTCTCCTGTAATATGGCTCTGATACTGGATGCTTTTTTTCCGAGCATCCATCAGTTTGAGTGACCGGTAGAATTACACGGCGGTTACGGGAAGAACACAGCCGCCAATTCGCGCGCCCCTTCATCGCTGTGGGTGATATTCTAGCTCGATTGACGACGAGGCAATCCGAGCGATGATGTTTCCGATGTTATTCTATAGACGTTCCCAGACCAAAGTGGGAAGGCCGTCGTCGCCTGGTGCTGTTGTGCGTTTAGCGGCCTTGAGCGATCTATCTAAAGCAATGTCCGAGGCTGAAAGCCATTGGAAGGTATTGGATCGCGGCTAGAACGTGGGCGAATAGTTCCTCTCGCGCCGCCACTATCGAGGGGAAACACGTGTTTATGAAGGCTTGAAATTCCTCCAAATTGCCAATTGATTCCCTATCGCCAGACTTGAGGGCCGGCAAATGTAGCATACTCGCGAAACAGTAAGGCTAAAAACGAACTGTATACCTAATCAAAGGCATGAAAAGGGAAGAGGAAATCAATGGCAGCTACCTATCAGCACAGCTGTAGACTTAACTGACATGACAGCGGGGAGCACACCTATTGGACGAATTTTAATCATGGCCAGCGACAAAAGGCAACAGAAGATAGCTATTTTGGATGCTAATGTGGGAGATGGAATGCTCATTGTCACGGACCCGGCCGTGCTCTCCAGTACTGTCAGCATGACCTGCGCTTCTCTGACGAAGAAAATGATTTTAATCTGATATGATATCTTTCATGTCTATATGGCATAGCGATTGTGCACGAGCCTGCAGCCTTGCTGCACTGGCAGTCTTCCAGGGGCATAAGACCAAACGGATTGAGATTGTATAGAGATCTATCCGAGAACCGGGGCTCCATCCTTGATTTGGAACAACAACAATGTGGAATAGCCATAGTGGCGGCACTCCAAATCAAGCCAGCAAGCCACCTGGAAACTGGCTTAGGCAGAGAGCTGTCTGATAAGACCCAGAGGAGACGGATTGCAATTACATAGTGCTTATAGGTGTGGAAATCTTGAGGTATCGAAATACTATTTTAATTGTCGATCGCGCTGTTTCCATTCCACAAACTTTGAGAAGTAAGCCTTTTCACGCTGGAATTTCTTTCTGCGGTACGGCCCCCATCAAGCTTTTGAAACCACATGTTTAGGAGGCAAGTCATACTAAGGGCAGAAGAAGGCGCAGAAAAGCTCAAAGCAAAAGAAAGTCACTTCAAGCATTCCTTTCACTGGCAAATATTAAAGCAAATCCCCCTGTTATCAACATCTATTTTCAAGCATAATACGTAAGAAATATGGTGAGACCGGATAGACAAAATGGACTTTGAGTAGCCGCCAGCCTGACCACGTTTAAAGCCCCCGGCCAAGTTCTGGTAGTAGATGCAAGTGTCGAGTGAAGATTCCAACTGAGGTACTCAGTAGCTTGAGCAATTGGCGCAAATTTGATTGAGTATGATTGAGGTAAAATGTCGAGTCCGGTCATATGTTATCCAGTGGGAGAACTATCAGAACATGGTTAGCAAAAAGACAAGTCTTGCCATCACATTAGTACATTATGGAAGGCAGGGTTATGCTTGAATCTACCAGTCTAAAAGTCTATTAATAGACAGGGCCTCTAGATTTTTTTTGTAGTTTTGTATTTTGGGGTTTGTTTATTAAATGTCTATTTTTGGATAACAATATTTTTTTACTTTCAACTTGAAGGGCATTTGAGGTCACCAAGTCTTGATTATACACGTCATAGAAACAGATTCTGGTGTTTGTGCGGTTGAAATGGGTAGGATTGAGTCAAGTAGGGGCACTCATTTGTCTGGCATATGAAGATAAAATAAACCCAGAAGTGGCGGAGAAAACGGAAAGAATTGGATGGAATATATACAACCAATTAACGTTAGATGCCATAAACCATGATTAAGGATGGTGACATATAGAAGCGACTGCGGTGGACCTACGCTTAGTGACGGGGTTTTTTTTTCTTTTCTTTTTCTTATTCATTTTCATTTTTCATAAGTTCAGAATAGTACCAAGCTCTATGGGTCAGGAGGCTCCGGAGATGGATACCTTTGCTCAGAATACCTTTGCTCAAATGGACCATCTTGCTAAAACGAAATCGTCGTGATACATCAATTGAGCTTATCTACGACCATGCCATCGACTGCCACGCCACAGTACTGGACGATAGTAATTTTTCTAGGGTTTTCATCTCTTACGACATGTTGAGACAAGGCTAAATCTTTTGAACTGCCACCAATTTTGAGAGCACTGGACTTTGAAGTCAGGCATGCAGATTTATAGAATGTCATATTGTTGGAGCACCTGAATAGTCCTGCACCTCATACCGCTGTTTGACCGTGTCTATAACACGGGGCGCCCCCTTTTTGTTCAACACATATTAACCTAACCAGAAATTTTCCAGTAAAGTTTGCCCCAGACGGTGAGTGGAGTGGAAAGTTTCCAGTCCACATCAGTCAGTGAGCAAAAATGTAACGTTAATATTATTTTAGGACAGGTGAAGCCAGGTGTTTGGTGATATGCAGTAACAGGATGCCGAAACAATTGTGAATTAAATACATGTCGAGACTTCCCTCCTTCACACCCCATGACCTAGTGACTGCGATAGACCTAAGTTTAGAATAACATGTACTAAGTTAGACTACAAGAACCAATGTGAGACAAGAATAAAGTATAGTCATACTTGAAACATTGCTGTGCCATGGTCAACTACATAAGGCCTCTGCTAACTTGCCTACAAGCTATCTTCAAAACCGAAGGTCCTTCGCATTGTTTCTAAAGTTACCGATCGCAGACACAATGAAAACACCCACTAGTGCAACGTCGCTTCTGCGGCAGCTGGTTCTCAGTCCCCAACGGTCTATCCTTGAATCCCTCATCCCGGGGGCTACAAACATGGCTACATTTGCGCAGCAGCTTCTGAAAGGTAAAGGAACGACTTTTACTTACCTCGTGTACCTTATCGGCATCCTTACCGCGACGAAACCGGTTGCTATCAACATGACTTGTTGGTTACAAAAGTACTTCAGTTAGTTCCCATATCGATGCCCGTTGCTCTATGCTAACCCGGAGCAGCTTCGACTGTTCATATTCAATCCTCAAACGAAACTTATGATATGTTGGCATCCTGGATCACATCACGCGGTCTAGAAAATGCCGCGAGGTCCTTCCTTGCAAAGGTAAATACCACACGGGGGGTGGCTCAAGATAGATGCAGGGCAGTCAAAAAACCTCTGAATTACTTGCCTTTTAATGCATGTTTCTGGATCTGGTATAATAAGCAACCGCTTCTCTGTAAGATCAATCAGGAAGGCCCTGGTTACTACAACGAGAAAATTTCGGTCACCTGTCTAGGCAGATCTTCAGTCATTCTGAAAGACCTCTTGAAAGAGTGTCAGGAGGAATACCTCAGTCATATTGAAAACAGTACAACCATATTTGGCCACTCTGGGGCTCAGTGGAAGAAGGAGAAGGCAAAAAGAACGAGGCCATTGTCAACTGTTATTCTGAGGGAAAATGAGAAAAACTCCCTTATCCAAGATATGAAAGACTTTCTCGAACCACAGACGAGAAGTTGGTATTCTGAGCACTCCATTCCCTATCGACGCGGCTACCTCTTGCACGGTCCACCTGGGACAGGGAAGTCTAGCTTTAGCTTCTCAATTGCTGGGGAGCTGGGTATGAACATTTATGTCGTTAGCATCCCCAGTGTGGACGATGAATCGCTAAAAACCCTCTTCGAAGAACTCCCAGATACATGTGTTGTTTTACTGGAAGACATTGATGCCGTTGGGTCGGTCTATTGCCGCGAACTTGAAAGACCCAATAATGATCTCGAACCGGGGAAAGAAAAGAAGGGAGTCACTCTTTCTGGGCTATTGAACGTACTTGACGGCGTTGCTTCACAGGAAGACAGAGTTCTGATCATGACCACGAATCATATCGATAAATTGGACCCAGCGCTCATCCGACCCGGCCGAGTTGACAAAAAGGTCAAATTCCAGCTTGCTGACAGGGAAGTCACCATGCAAATATACAAGTTTATCTTTGGTCAGCCAACAGAGCAGTCTTCCAAGAAGACTTCTCACGCGAAAGACGACCCTTCCATTGAAAGGCAAGCCATCGAGTTTGCGCGCAGGGTTCCAGAAGAGCAGCTTAGCCCGGCCCAGATAATATCATATCTTTTGCAACACAGACACATGCCAAGAGCTGCGTTAACGAATGTTGGGAAATGGGTAGAAGCCTTGCGGGCAGAGTCCGACCAGCACCGAAACTTTCTTGAGTAAATAGAAAATGGTATAGATAACGCACTCTGTCAGACCAGACGTCCAGAGTTCTCACGGCACGGCACAGCCAATGATCTATCTCTCATGCTGGGATCATGTGGGGCATGAAGGACAGCTGTCTGGGAGTTGTCGGTGACTATTACGTATTTGGGGCTGCCACGGCTGTTCTGATCTTTTCATTGGAATCAGATCGTTGCTTTTTCCGCACCCGTGATTAGTCCTCACGTATCTTTTAGTGGCCTGTTTGCTGGCTGAACATCTACCTTCGAAAGTGGAAATGTGAATCTATCAGCCAACCACACTTTGCAGACAGCAGCGAGGCAGAAGGAGGCAATTTCACGATAAAATTCAAATAGCATTGTCATATAGGCTGAAGAGAAGTCATTGAATTTCCGAAATGTGGGACCTATGTTGAAAAGTGAAAGCAACGAGGGACCCGACCAAATCACAGTCTCCTATTACGTAGATGCCCAAAAGCTTCATGCCAATATTGTACTTTACCATGTCACAAAGTTTACCATGAAGCTACTCCTAATGATGATCTGTGAACACTCCATCTTAGCAGGCTTATGTCATGGCCATAGTAGAGACTTCCATGCCACTGCTATCTACACTTTCAATGTTTTGACCTTATCGTACGGGCTTTTTTACTGTGCCAGAACTGTTTCAATAACGTGCAGGCTACTGTATTAGACTAGCAAGCAACAGTTTGGAAGTGTCGCGGATGGCAATTGGTTGTTCCTTTGCTATATCCAGTCTCCGTAGTACCAGGCAGCACGAGATCCATGCGTGTCTTTTTTGAACGGCTCCTAGTACCTCAACGGCACTGCCTACAGCTCTGACACTCAGAGCATGGGTATTTTTGTGCTGCTTCAATCATATTGACTTTTTCAAAGTCACATGCCCGGTGTTGCCACTTTAAGGCCAGACAAACTAAGAAATCCCAAAATAGAGTCCCCCATTTTTGGCGTCATCCCAAACTGATCTGTTATTTAGGCTTTTGTGTCCAGTTTTGACCAAGCAATATCCTCGAAAAAGGGGAACTCTTTCCCAAGACAATGAAAACTGTCAAATCCAGAGTCATATTTAAAAGAAAACACGATGACAGATGCGAAGAGTACACGGGTTAGGAGTATTTTGTGACAAGACGCTTTTTCTTTGCGTGACGCAACAGGCTCAAACATTTTCATGTTCAAAGCATCAGACCTCGCCAACTTTCTTACCATGCTCGCTTGGTATCATGAATTAGCGCGAAGGGAGTGAAGATACAAGGAGTCAAGAAGAAGAAAAGACAGAATTCCAACGGAGCTTATGAATCCACTTCCTTTGCAACCTACCTTGACATTCTTAATTCAATACGATTGCGGTAGCATTATTATCGTTCGTCTGTAGACCCCTTCTGGATAACACTCAGGAAGAAATTACCAAGAGCAGCGCCGAAAAACGACCCGATTTAACACGCCTCCACCAAGTAAAAAGAGGCTGTAGTACCAACAACTACAATACGAAAGTTCTTGAGCTTCAAGATGGTAATGGGTCGCGTGCATTGTAAGAACTCCCCCATAATATCCATCAAGGACCTATAAACTAATCTATCCCGTTGAAAGAAAACTTTTATTTTGAAATGGGGACGGCTCGATGGCAGTATGGCATAATAGAAGGAGGACCACAAAACATTCCCAACCCATGCCATGCGAGTAGCTCTTGAAAACATCAGGCACATTCACCTTGCTGTTACTTCGTGGGAAAAGAATCTAGTAAGTCAAGTGGTCTGTATTCTCTGCTGTTCAGCTTTCTAGGCTCTAGCAATAAGAAGATCGAATGCTTGCCAAGACATGCGAGGCCTGGGGTTCCTACATTCGTCAACGGATTCACCACTGCAATGTATATTATCCGATGCAGTTCTGGCACAACTATATCATATTGAGACTTTTTCTGGATTTTAATGCGAGAGTGACGTAATAGACTACCCCGTAGTCCCAAGAGACTCAGGGTAGGTGAAGAAGAAATCAGTGATGATGGTCACCGTGGGACAATTATCTAGTCTCGTAGCACATGGCATATTGCTTGCGGGATCAAGATAAAGGACAAAGCCGTTTTAGATATGGACACAGTCTGGTTCCGATACTACACATTTACGTATAAGTTAATTAAATTGAGAAGTCAACCAGCGTAGCTTTTGTGACATACTATTGCATTTGCTAGAAGCAGCAACTACCGGATGACCCCAATTTCCACATTGCTTATACAATCATGACGAGTATAGGATGTGCGACAAGAACTCACAGCTAAGACTGGTGCACTAATCACGATAATTTTTGGTTTTGCGATCATGCCCAAAATTCCCCTTTAATAGTTTTCTATTTTTTCTGCCTTTATTTCCTTTTTTTCATTCCTCTCTTGTATACATCTCAGAGTCAAATGATAGTTAAGCCTGACAATCTCCGGGAGAAATGCTCGGCCCGGGCTCGAGTACTCTCAAGTCAAGCAAGCCTATATTTTGCTGTAGCGTCTATGGAGCGAAACAAACTCTCAACTATACTTGGTATAGAAACTATAAGCAATGAATGATTTTAGCTGGTTACTGGCGAAGGAGCCCTTTTTCATCAATCTCTAACCCAGAATATGGCCGCTACATTAAAGGCTACCGCGAAAGACTTAGTACTAGTACAAACATGGTCCATTTTGAATTCAAGCTAGAAAGGCCGATACATACTAGCTAAGAGCGAAAGAACGCCTTGCGGGGACGAGCCATACGTCGACAAACTAGCAGTTTTGCGCCACGTGTGTGAAGGCTGCTCATCGAACCATCTTAAGTCAAACGTAATTTAGCTAACCTGCATGCAAATGTCCTCAACTAGACAGCAATTCAAATATAATAATTGATAGGCTTCCTAAGGCCAGCCCTACCTACTAAGTCGACCTCGGAGCTGGTAACAACATCCAATTTTGTGCACAAAGAATCCTGAACCGCCATCAAGCCCAAGCTTTCAAGCAACCAGACTTCCTGGCTGGAGGAGAGTGGCAGTTTATATAGCGGCTATTCTCACGGAGCGCGACACCGTGCTTTTGTAAAGCCCACGGAACAGTCCATCAAGTCAGGTAAACAGCCGCGAATAGAGGCATCAGCCAGTGAAATCCGACACGGCCCAAAAGCTGAATAGTGAACAGCGGAAATACAGACGACACCCCGTATCGCATGGATACGTCAATCGCGAGAACGGAAGCTCCGTGTTTGGCACCATATATCTCATTTTTGTAGCGAGCATAGGCTAGCTATTCCCACAGTGGATCAATAGTGGCTATTCAAGATGTGGAAGTAATACTGTACCTGTGATAACGCAAAACCAAAACCGAAAACCGCGGACGCTAGAAGAACCCAGGCCCAATGAACATTGTGACGTGGCAGCCCGGCCAGACTATCAGCATGTCAGCATATGTTGCGTTGCAAATTACGAGGTCTTGCATCATTCTCAATTCAAGCATCCGGGCTAGGCAAGGAAAAGAACTATCCAAAGCTTATCGTTATAAGTGAAGTCCACATGGCAGTACCCGCCAACTTGGCCCCAGCAAGAACAAATTCCGGCTCATTTTTCAGCGAGGCTCGTCCTTTCTTTTCGATGAATGCCAAAAGAAGGAACGCCATGAAGCATGCTACCAGTTGGGGTAAGAAGGCTAACCCTGTCTGGTAGGATTAAAATCCGTAGACCTCTTTCAACATGATCGGGAACGCTGCGTAAAGAACGAAAAGTACGGTTTGGCCCGCAACGGTAATAAAAGTCGTGGGGAAGATTATAGGCTCAACTCAGAGCATATGGAATGGGCGTAGGAAAGCGGGATCTATGAACTTGCGCCAGCCACGTCGGGAGAGTCCAAGTGCCTTTCTTCGCACCTCTGGCTCGTAGGTCTCTCCGATCCAAAGTGTGGCGAGGAAACAGGCACTGACCAGTACGGCTATCAACCAAAAGGTCCACCGCCATCCACCGACCTCTACAATGGACTCTCCGGTGATTGGTCCAACGATTTGTGCAGCAATACCTCCAAGCCCATACAGTAAGAAAACCGGGACTGTCAGACGGTCTTCAGGCATTTTCCATATGCCATTCAGAACTCCCGCGAAGATGGTAACTGGTGAAGAGCCAAGAAGTCCGCAGAGGGCACGAGAAACCGCCAGCGTTCGAAAGTTTGAGGCCGTTGCACCAACGACGGGGTGAAGACCAGATGTAAAAGCAGAGAGCATTTGAGCCCCATTGTCTTCCGAACTCCTCCGACAATGTCGACGAGAGGAGGGGCCCAATGATAAACCCAGCAGCGTATAGGGTAACGGGTGATATAGCTAGTGTAGACCCAATGTGAAACTCGGCTCTAATCTCTGGAATACCAGCAATGTAGACTGAAGTCGTGAGGGCTCTACATGAAATCTTTAGCGGAAGTCCTCATAGCAATCACCTGAACTTACATGACAAAAAATGACGCAACAGCAACGAGTGAAACAAAGGTCTTTTTGGCACTACTCCACTGGCGCGCGCTATAGTCCGCAGGTGGTGAGGCAGCTTTGGTTTCGCGTGGTGGAATGTGAGCATCCCAGAGAAAGGGGTCACTAGAAGCCAGAGTGGTGCTAGATGATGGAGTCCCTGGTTCCTCCTGAACTGAGACTTCAAGTTTTTGGTCAGTTTCTGTCTTATTCAAGGGAAGCTTGGAGTGCACTGCCATAGTTAACAGTAAATTATTGGTGATAGACTAATCAAATATCCAATAAGATATACCGTTTTTTTGCGAGAAGCGTGCGAATCAAGTAATGTGAGCCTGGACATGAAGTCTATTAAATACTACTGGCAATAAGCTGACAAGGCATAACCCATGCCTAGACCATCCTAAGAGATGTGTACGTAACATAGCCAAGCAAGGTGGCTATTCCAGATAGCTAGGTGACTGTCTATCAGCGCACAAGACTGATCAGGGCCTAGACCAGAGTGGAATCTGTTAGCACTGGTAGTATAAGTAACCACCATGTTCAAGGTCATCAAGTTCACCCGTTCTAACTGGACGTGATGTTATAGACTAGGGAGGATACGGCAGTATGTCCGGTTGCTTGAACGAGCGCCTCTCGGCATGGCCCCACACACACACTGGATCATAGGCGTAGGATGTCGCTTTATATGGATCAGCCGGAACACTTTTGTTTTACCCATGAGAAAAATCCATCTGAATCGAAAAGCTCCTGGCCATTGGCATGTATCCCCATCCCTGTTCTGCATTGAGAGGAGGGGTAGAAAAGGTCCAGCGCCTTTTTTATATGCTATGGGACGGATCACGCATTCAACTCAGCGCTCGGAAGGGCCTCTTCTTGGGCATAGGAAAGAAGGTGAGTAATCTCCAAGCCCACAAGGTCTGGTATTTGATGAGCTCATGGGTGGCATTGGTCCCAGATACAATTTCATCGCGATAGCCTCGATTACCGCCTTGATAACCCCGCCGGTGGCCACACAATCGAGAATGTGCTTCTCCAAGGATACACTCCAACACTCCAACTGAGTGAAACTGGGAACAGGGCCCGCGCCGCAATTGCGTTGTCTCCTAGCCAAGGAGTTTGTTACTACCCAGGGAAACTCCATGGGGGATACCAAGCGTTCCTCATTGACCAGCTTTTTGCCGACTGTTGTAAGCCTGCGGTTACCGCAAGCCTGACGCTCAGCTATCAACGACCGGTATCACCCGACGCGGAGCTATTCCTAGAAGCCTGGCCAAAAAAAGTCAATGGGCGGAAAATTGAGATGGAAGGGTCGATCAGGGCACTGGATAAAGACACCGGTGATATGACCACAGTGGTCACAGCCTCTGCGCTTTTTATCATCCCTCGGCAGTATAGTGACTAGTTGCTAGGATGAAAATCTTCGCGCAGATTAGTTCTCACCCTGCAATTGAATGCCAGCCAGTTAATGTCTAACAATGATAATATGATCCTGCAGCGGGAAATTATAGATTATTGGTAGACTGTAGCAGTTCAGATAGCAAAATAGACATCCAATATAATTTGATTGGGACCCGCACCTCCATTGTACGTGACTCTTCTTTTACCGACGAAATTCGATCGCAGAATTCCAGTGTTTTTTTAAAAGCCCGGTGGACCAGCAATTTGGCCTGAGGGATTGTTGTCCTTTTACACCACCAATTAGAGTGAGGAGCTAACTTGCCAGACCAGATATAGCATTTGTCTCCAGTGCAAGTGAGTTCCAAACGTTCGGATTATAAATCATTAGCTTTTGCAGAATCACTCGATGCCAATCGCGTAAACTCTTAGTAAGCATTGGTAGCACCCTAATAACCCTCGGGTTTAGCTAGACACTTATGCCAGAACGCATGCCATGCACTGTACCTGACTTGATACGTAACAAGTTTAAAATAGCTCATTTGAAATGAAGAAAAAAGTGCATTTTGCATTCATCATCGCATTGGTCTGACATCACGCACTGCAATTTATTTCCCTCTGTGTCTTCAACGTTATGCCGAACTGTATGATCCGTGCCAAGTGTGCTCATGATCAAGTAGTATAACGTAGCTTCACGAACAAGCTAGTGGGACGACAGACAACCCCCATGAGCACACAGTAGTTTCAACAGTCCGTTATTGTTCTGCTCCAATGCAACGTTAAGAGGCAGTTTTTGCTGCTGGTCGGTCACGCCGTTCGGGGAGGCATCATGTTCAAGGAGAAGATGTACAGTGCGGAGGTCGCCGTTTATCGTCGCAACATACACCGGCATAAACCCATGGAACATATCCGGGACGTCTGATTGTGCCCCACTGTTTAGTAGGATTCGGACTATCTCCGGTGACCGTCCGTTTATAGCAAGCATCAATGGATTTATATAACCGCCAAAGTTGGTTATTGCAAACTTCGAGGCTAGGAATTGGTTGTCGCCGAGTATCATTTCATGCTTGTCACCAGTGCTATGACATGAAGCATCAAAACCCTTGAGAATCTGAGGTATATCGGGAATCTCCTGTACTAGTTCAAGCTTTCTAGCATTGATCGCATATATCAGCGCCACGAACTTCTCGTGCGTTGATCTGTAGCAGGCATGTCGGAGCTGGTGATAAGAGCCACGGTACGGAAACACAACCAATAAATTGAAAACATCGTATGGCCCTAGGCTTGTTGTTATGAGGTAGAAGAGCTCGAATGGTAGCGTGTGGAGGGTGCTCATTTTGGGAGTAAACGATGGAATAATGTTCACTGAGCCCAAGGATGTGTATATGGCCGTGCTAGGCTTTATGAAATGAATACCGTAACATACAATTTCCTGCTCCCTCTTTCTATCACCGGCACTCTGCATCACGTGTTTATTTAGGCATTACCTCACATATCAGATAACTATAGACTTAGCCATTCAAGTGGATGTTTTGCTGGGTCCATCTCAATTGGTTGGCCCACTCGCATACCAAATACGTTATACTTCTACAACGCCAGATTAAACTAGCTCTAGACTTCCCAGAAAAAGGCACATACCTGGACCCGCGTGCGGTAAGGATTATGATATTTTCTTTGTGGTGGGCACTTCGTAAATTCCATAAAAACGAAAAACATTGACTTTTGAATATTGATTAGTACTATATCAGTGATATTGTACAGTAGCACGGCACTGCGAAGGGAAACGCTTGATAGTTAATCCTGGATCGTAGTAAGTATTATAACTCATCCGCAGCTTCAACATCAATCATGGAAGCGTCGAGTTGGTGGAGAATTATCAAGACTTCAAGCTCATTTGAAGATATAAAGCAAGATGATACCTACTTATCATTTCGAAATCATGTAATGTTAGGGGCTTTTCGGATTGAACCGCGAGTGTAGACAACGGCAGGACCGGATATGTGAGGCAAGTGGGGATATTAGACAACATCAGACAGATGGGTCAGGCGGCTATGGAATTTATGATTTCCTTGGATGAGGCAAAATAGCCAAAGCTTTTGAAATGCTCATACATCGACTTCAAGTTAGTACAGTATCCTTCCCTTTTTGTGTCACTCGCTTCAGCTGGGCCAGGAGTCCCGGAATTGCCGTGTTGGATACGTACGACTGGAAACCACTTCCACCACGGCCCCTTCATCCCAACAAGGGCAGTTATCCCGTATTTGGAGACCTTCAACTCTCGCGTGCCAACCATTCCAAGTCTAACCCGGTGTCTCCTTTGGACCCTCAACCCAATTGTAGAATTAATCCATGCTTCAGAGGTTGGGTAGAGTCCAATGTCGATAAAGATCAAGATCGCAAAATCAAGCCATTTCCCCTATAACCATTCTACAATTCTGATACTCAACGACAGGGTTTATTTGGGCCGGCAAATGCGGACCGCAGCATTGACAACATTGGCGAACAGGTCAATCGACGAAGACCGTCTCGTTCAAGTTTAGCCACAGCAAAGCATGAAAGCGCCTCTAAGAACGCCATTTCCCTCTCTTCCAGGCTCTGGCGTCAGCCTAGAACGTTAGGTATGGGCGAGTCATCTGAGTAGAAATTATTGTCCACGTTCTTTGGGTTTGATTTGATGGGTCAATTCTATCCTCTCAATAATGCCAAGATGCATCGGGTGCGACAACGATATTTGGCATCACAGCCTCACCCGGATACAATGATCAATGACGAGAGACACTAAATGGCCTCATGTGCTTGGTTGAGGAATTTCATTGTAGCTTCTCCATATAGGTTAAATATGGATCGAGGGCGACTACGTGGCCTGAGGCTAGACGATAATTTCAGTCACAAAATACACCGGGGATTCGGGCTTTTGTGGGACTTTGTAGATGCCTGTGGCACAGAGACCCGATACCCAGCGTCGGGTAAGTGTAACATAGTTTTTGCCTGTTCAGTCTCTCCGGTTGGTTTTCTGCATATTTGTCATTGTTGTGGGTTCCTTGACTAACACGGATGGCTCTCTTACTTTAAAGTATGCAACCGGCGGAAACAGAGCATATACTCCAGATCTGGAATGTTCTAAAATCTTTACTGGTACAGCATTCTGCCCTGAGGCAGGCACGGAGGCGAGGGCCGAAAAAGCATACCGGTATGGACTATCATCACGTACACTCATCGCAGCCGTAATCTAAATATTCACATGGAGAAAACTGTCGTTGGTTTTATGAAGCGTGGATTGGGAGAAGTTCAGCAATTTTTAACGGGGCTAAATGATACACGGGGTCCGTTCTGGGATGGATTAAGTATTTGCGGGTTTTTTGAGGCAGCTTGGGTAGGATGGCAAGGTAACTGGGTCAAAGGGGAGACAGAATTTCCAAAGTAATATTCTGTTATAGGTCCGGTTACAGTATGAATTATTCCCATATAGCCAAACCGTCATACATCTGCATTCTCGACGTCACCTAACCCATATACGATGTTCCATCTAACGGCCTACTTGAGGTCGTGATCTAAGGTAGGCTAGTGGAAGATGCGCGATTGGATGACGGCAGTCTCCTATTCAGGTTTTTCCGCGTTTCCTAGAAATGACATTATGCAAACAGTCTTTCGCGCGAGCCTACTGTCTTCCACGCTTCAAACAAGAGATACCTATTCTTAGAAATATCTTCAAAGTACTACAGTCATGCTACTGCCTTCGCCTGACCCTCGCAAGCTCCAATCATACGGTGCTCTGCGCTCAGTCAGGAACCGGATCATTGATATTATAAAGCTGTAAAAAGGATCATCAAGTTTATAAACCGCTCGATATAAATGCTGGAACATTGGATCTGTGCTCTCCATGTCCAAAGACATTGGGTCTCTTGCTTCCCTATACATCATCTTCGGGTTTGTGTTTCCCTCGTCGAGAATGGTAATTGGCTCGCTAGCGTGGCAGGCCGCACTGTACGATTCCTGGTGTCATGCGTCAAGTTCAATTCCCTCGTACGCTACCTGGCTGCTCACGACTTTTTCGGGTTGGCAGGTGACTCTTGGTACCTTTCATCGCAGGCATTGGTCTGGGTTTCATTATTTGTTGGACCTTGATACTAGCCTGGTCTGCCCGCGAGTACGTAACATTTTCTTATATCCATCGCCAAACCTACAAGGGGCGGGTGTGAAACCAATTCTGCTTTAACGGCTGGGTTTTGACCGGAAGGCCTTCAGGGGTGCTGCTTTTTCACAATGATGATAGAATTTGACTTCAGGCCTAATTGCCACTTATAGCCATACTGACGTCCACAGGCACCAAGTTTTACCCCGGATCAACTATGTCAGCTCAATTAGATCTCAGCTTCTCACCTTCCGTGCTTGCTTGAGATTGAGCCCTTTTTTGGCGGACCTATTTTTTGCCAGTACCGTGCGCCATATTTAGAAACCCCAAAATACAGAAAGGATGATGTTGCAGCGAGGGCCACAGACTAGTGTATCTGACGATTTAATAAACCAAGGCATCCTGGCTTTTATTCGCGGCTTGGGGTTAGGATTCTAAGGATATTAATACGATAAGAAATCTGCACAAATACATCTTACAATCTATCAGCGGATAATATTGGCAATAATCTGTTAACATAAACTTTTGCCACAATGATGGCATCTAAGGAATCGTTCGCTTCATCACATTCCATTCTCCACCAAAGGAAAAGCGACGGCTTCCATCCCGATAAACCATCCAAGCGTCCGAGTGCCCAATACGAATCGGGTAGTAAGCTGAATTTCGGCGCGGAGAATCTCAGTATAAAGGAGGGCCGCCGAGACAAGCCTCTGCCACTCATACCACATTCCGCATGGCCTTTACATCCATTCCATTTTCAGAACGACAAACGGAATTTCCCCACACCTGGGCGTTCTAGTATTTCAGCAGATGATACTCACACCAGTTTTACAGATGAGATCGAGCTCCAAGATCTACGCCAACAATGTTTATCAGGTACGGAAGCGCCTCTAGAATGCTACGGTGCTGGAAACGAGTCTGAGAGTCGGCCGCTACTTGTAACGGCAGTCAAATACAAGACCAAAGGCCACCGCATCTCGTCTCGATACAGCGAGGCATCAATGCGAACATACTACTGCAAGGCAAGGGCCACAATCCTAGGACAATCGCGGCGCAATATCGGCTCTTCTATCTTATTCTCATCCTTTCGCATGACGCAGGGTATCAGGAAGTTGTTTTGGGGATATGATCAACTTTACCACACTTCAGAGACAAGGTATATTGGCGAACATGATTTCTGGATGTTGCTGAAAAGATTCTTCGGCCTGGTGCCACTTCCGCCATCGCTTTCTGGGCTTTTCCCGGCTAACGATGAGATCCCCTACATCAAAGATTATTTACGGTCAAAGCCAATTCCGGTAGAGCATAGCGATGGCAAAGATAACGATAGAAACCTGGTCAAAGTTTGCACAAGATTGGCGGAATGGGTTTTCCGTCATAGCAATAGCAGAAGGATTTTCTTTGATGAGGATCCAGAGACCTATTCCAAGTCCCCAAATACGGATTGGGAAATATATCAGGGATTTGGGCTCATTCACCAATTTTGCAACGAACTGGAGTACAGACAGCTGGATCTCTCGGGGTTCAGGGTCCAAACAGCGTGGCTTCAGGTAAATTCTGCCTTTTGTACACCATCTCAACAAAGCATCGACACTAACTTAAATCAAGGCACAAAAGATGTCTTTCCAAAAGGGTCAATGTATGTTGCAGGTCTGGGAGGCATTACGGTATCTGCTGTCAAAAGGAAGGCATTTTGATCCGGCCCAGATAATGAGGGGCGGGCTCTGTCAAATATACTATGCGCTCTTGACAACTGAACTCAATATTCCCGGTCGCTCCGGTATCAAACTAGTTACTTCTCCGAAAGGACTGTTGCGATACGGAGAACAAAATGCGTAAAAGCCTGACGATTGACCTCGGCATTGGTGGTATTCCCACCGGGGAACTGTTCAAAGTCCATAATTTTCTCATTTTTCATTTAATTTCCAGCTTCACCTGACATAATCTATTTGGCAGCGTATACTCTCTGACAATCCTTGTGTAAAGTGTCTGATGTAAAAATTCAATCACAGTCACCGATTGATGATATCTTACCTCGAGCCACCACTTTTGGATTGAAATCATTTGCAAAATAAGCGCTTAGAGGTTTCGAGACTTGGAGGGTTTGGGCAAAGATATCATTCCACCAGTAAATATTTGAGCTTGGCCTTTGCTATTAGCGTTCCAAAATAGGAAGACGCAGGCCGTCGAGCCCTCAGGTACTG